GATAAGTTTAAAAATAAAATACTACAGTTAACATAGAAAACAAAAGAAAAAAAACAGCATAATTAGCTCTTAGTTATTTCTACAATAAAATACGAAAATTACCTAACAGAAAACGTCAAAAATTGTAACTGGCAATGGAAGCAGTAATGTCAAATGCCAAATGTTTAGTTGACACTGACAGTGTCATTGTTGTTTCGTACTTCATGTTGTTTATTCTTGCGTGTTAATTGTTAATGTTATTGTATTTATAATAAAAAAAAAAAAAGCAAAGAAAGCTAAGTATAAAAGAGGAAACAAAAAATAACATTAAAAAATAAATGTATAGAACATATGCAAAACTAATTTACAGTAAAATTAAAAATAACGAACTGGCTAGCACAACGAAGAAGGAAGAAAAGACATCATTTTTTACCAACTCTCTTGGGTCTTAAGTGAGTTGACCTGGAATCCTTCACTACTGTTGCAACTGTTGCTGCAGAAGACGAGGCCTGAACCACCTCGGAGCCAGGAATGGCATCCATATCTGATCTATTATGGACACGGTACCGCGTTTGGTCAGGACCTAATACAAAGATGGTGCCATCTCTTGTCCAGCACTTGGAGACTCCAAAACGTTGGCGCGCTTCTTGGAAAACAGCATGCCGTCCCTTTGTGAGAAATTCAGACAAGGTGATTCCAGTGCCTTTAAGATGTTTTTTTGCCAGCCATATCTTATCTTTGATTCCAAAGTCCCTGAATTTAACCAAGATAGCCCGGGGCTTGTCAGTGGCAGTTTGACCCAATCGATGAGACCGGCTTATAGCCTCCAATGTTATGCCAGGAAGTTTCAAATGATCGGACAAAATTTTGATAACACAAGTTGGAGTGTTCTCCTTCTTTTCTTCAGGTACACCATGAACCAGCAATATTTTCCGTCGAGTCCTCATCTCCATGTCATCATTCTGTCGAGCCAGGATTTCTACTTGGAGTTGCAAGTTCTCGAGTGCAGTTAGAACAAAGGATCTGAATGTATTGAATTGGTGATTTATATTTGATGTTGGGCTCGTAGCTGGTATTGCACCTTTAAGATCCTTTTGGAACTCTGCCATCCTCAAATTAAAGTGCTCAGTGAGGTCCGCAACCGATTTCTTAATGGATTCCATTTTTGAGGTTATACTTGTTGTGAAAATAATGTGCTCCAATATTTGCTTGTTTTTAATTATATCAGACTAAGCAGGCAGGAGTAGGGATGTCACAGGTACATTGATTTAATTTTAAGGTCTTTAAATATATTATTATAAAAATTAAAAACTTCAGTGATGAAAAATGTGTCTTACTTATTCCACTCCTACCAACAAAAAAACATAATAATGTATCCATTTGGATAAGCTGTGGTCTGTTTATTATACCTATCAGAAAAAATAAATAAACAATTCACCCCACGGCTTCTATCGCATCCCACCTGCCACTGGGGTGTCGGGCGACGGAGCACGACCGTGACTATAGAAAGTTGGGAGTGCACGATCCCCTACTTGCTCAGCGTGTTGATTCACGCACTCGTATTAATTAAAGGAAACTGATACGCATCTTGTTACGCATAATTTTAAGCTTAACGAGGATAATTCGACGGCATTGTAGGATGCGTGCTTTGCCCCGAGTTACAGGCTCAATTAAAGAAGCCGCTTACCGTTGCCGCAATGAAGCACATAGCCATATACCATACGACTGGCGCCGAATATTCTCAGAAGCACTCGACGCGGGTCGAGTTGAAAGCTATTTATGTGCAACCCTGCACTCGAGCACCGCCGTTCCGCGACTGTCGTCTCGCTCCCGCATACATGTCAAGGTAGGGTTCAACATTCGAGGATTTGGTTCGCACCGATAATAATACGCCGAAAGAGAACGCTGACTACAAGCTCCGCGCGTCTGTTTTATGTGCGCGGAAGCATTTCAATGGGAAGGAGGTATTCGAATCGTAAGCCTGTTAGAAACTGCGCAACCGAGTGTGTACTCAAGCCTAAAAAATGATATCGACACTGCGAACGCTATGGTATCGTGTCGGTTATGTTGGAGCGCTTTCAACAAACACCGTGAATGCTTCCGCGTGCGTTTCAACGCAGCTCGCCGCCTGGAAATCATCAATAGATCGCGATGGGGTCATCAGCCTTGTCCTTGTTTCGCTCACAGAAATATTTACGCGACCGCACAATGGCCCACGTTGCAGCTCTCGCTTAGGGTCAACGGTGTTTACAACCAAGCGCATTGTCGTTATACAATATAAGTGCGGCGTTTCGTAATACAAATGAATATACCCCGCCGCCCCGTTTTACATATAACAATAACAGATAAGATCTCAAAAAGCTCTGCCTTGCGACAAAGTTTTATTCAAGTTATTATTTTTGTCTTATTTCTTATCCCGTCATTAGGGCTTTAACTTTCCCTAAAAAAGGGACGCGGATAAAGTTATAGGAAATGGGGTTCCTCATTTATTATCCAACTTAAACGTTGGTCTTAAAAATGAATCATCATGAATTAATGAATCATCAATCATTTCTCTTTCACAATTCTTAAATAATTTTATTTAATTTTTTTCAATTTATTTGAACACGGCTTCAAAAATGTTACAAGATCAGTTATAAAGTATCTAACAAATTCCATTTCAAGTATATCTACGTAAATAAATGTTTCTTTTAAAGGTCATTAATCAAATATCCAAGTTTTTACCTCTTACTACGTTTTTCACGTAGGTACATTACCGTTTATTTCAATTATGATGACAATGACTTAGACTGACTTTTATTCTTCTTTTTTTTTGTATACGGACACGGACATGATGTGCGGGTACATCTGCACTCGGAAAAACTATTATTGTGTCACTCAAGGTTTTGGTCCCGTGAGGATCGAACCTTCTTGTAACTTGTATTAACTCATGTTTTTGCTTTTTAAGTCCCGAGAATATTAAACCCACGGGTTTTGAGGGATCGAACCTACAAGTCACGGCGGGCGCGAAAGCTTAATCATTACGCCATTGATGGAATCATTCGATTTCACTGAATATTTATTAAAGCTTGTGCTAATTCTTTCATTCATAACGTGATGAACTTTTTACGTAAACGCAAAATGCGAAATCCTTTGAGTAAAATACTTAAATACAAAATTATATTTCATTATATTATATTAAACTTAACAAAATGAAATTGTTTCCAAACAAAAGTAAATCAAGATAAATCGGATTTTTAGAATTAGAATATACTCCTTCTTTCAAATTTCTATTATTACCTCCTTAAAAATATATTCATACATATGAAAGATATCACGCTTGATACCGACGTGCTTTCACTTTCCATCCGTTAAGAGGACTTCAAGGTCAAACTCGCTTATATCCTGATCAGACAAATATATAAATTTTATGATCATTAACCGCACCTACTCCATTAAGCAGTTAGTACTAAATCAAAACTCAAAGAATGAAAGAAAATACTGTGAAAATATAAATTTATGTACTTACAGACTCATAGTGGCCAAATTTGTTTTTTTACGAAAATTCCGAGTCGTTATACGTATATTAAGATAGCCTACTCTATGACCTATGTCTACTGAAAAATGGAAAAACGACATATTTAGGTATCAAACAGTTTCATTGTTTCGATCCTAATACTCGTTCAAATTCGAAAGACGTTTCGAATCCGATCTGTCGAATATTGTTTTTTAGTAGCTGAATACAACGATATACACACATATAAGGACATTTATTTGTATTTTTGCGTTAGGTATAAAATGGATTGACGGACTTCACATTTCTTCGAAATATTTTTTTGTTATTATTTCGTTCACCGTTGAAAACGTGATGAGTCAGCACTTAAAATGGCAATTAACATTTTCATTGATGCCGGCATGCATAAGAATTTGAATACAGACTGCTCGAGTATATTGAATTTAAGGCGACCGCCCGGACACAAAAATTATAATACATGTTAGTAAGAGCCACTCTATAATTTGGTTAAATATGGCTCCCAAACCAATCCACCTTAAAAATCAATCATCTAATGTTAATAATTATAGCGTTAATCGAAAAATCATGAAGAAGTTATAAAATTATAAATAAATTATTCAATAGCGGACAGACATCGCGCCATGTTACAATGATTACAGGTCTTCCTTTTTTGAAAGCGCCATTACTTAACGTTTCTTTCACCGATGCGAGTAGGCGTCGTTATATTGAAATTATGAATGCATAGAAATTGAAAGTCATTGTAACAATAAAAGTGCACATATTAAATACACACGCAGTAGAAACTGTACGCAATGGCTTCGCTTGTGGATCAGCTATTGGACTAATGGATAAGGTCGAACCTTGATCTAATTGATGGAAGGATTCTAGAACAAGCGACCTGTCACCTATCACATTATAGTTATAGTTCTCTATTTGACTACGTCTTAGGGAAAACTATGTTTACTACATAATTTTACCAACAATCAGCGTAAAGTTGAAATTTTTCACAACGTACATGACACAATAAAGGTTAAAAAATATTATTCCAGTTATTACTTAATAGATTACAAATGCTTGTCGCCCTTACAATACAACCTCGTATTTGTGACACCCAGTTAACATCTGCATTATCACTTCCTGTTTATTATTGCACTAAAGTTTCCATTTGATTTATGACGTATATATATATTGTTAAGATAAAATACATGTACACTATCATGTTTACACTCGTCTATGCACTGACAATATTAATAATTATATGCATAACAGTTAAAAAAAATTACCGATTGAAGCTGTATGACACACGATACGAGTATAACGTGTTAATTTTCATTTTCAGACGTGATAACACGTCTGAAAATGAAAATTAACCAGTCTTTCCCTGCCCTGATACTGATTAACTTATCTCTGCCCCACCTAATATTATGTCTGAAAGAGGATGCCTCAAGCATTAAGTCCGCCTAAAAACAAGATTTGTGTAAAAGTTAAGTAAATAAATGTGTATGTAACATCATCAATTTCGCCGCAGGTGTTTGCGATGTGGTACACGTGGACCGCGTTGCTGCTGGTGTCCTGTGCACTGGTCGAGGCTGGGGAGGTCGAGGCTGGGGAGGTTGCCCAAACCGAGAGCGGCACGGTGACCGAAGCAGCGACGGACGCCCCCGCGCCGGTGGCGACCACCCGCCCCCCGCCGCGCACCCTCGACCGGCAAGCCGCCGAACTCGCCTGGAGGTCGTGGCTCCAGAGCCCCGAGAGCGGCAATCCGAACGCGCCCCCGAGAAGGATCACGACCAAGTCCCTGTTCATCACGCCGCTCGTTTGCCCCAAGGGCCAACGGTTGGATCGCAACGGCTGCGTTCAGGTAATTCGTGGGATATCACAATAAAACAACTGATCGTCGTGGTCAAATCAATATAGATCATATCTTTGAGGCTTCAACAAAGATAAATGAATAATGCACGTCGAATTTTATTAAGAGAAGAGAAATTTCTATCTTTTGGATATGGAAATCCAAAAATTAAACCAATGGCGGCAACCAGATTTTAGTTCAGAGTTAAGCCTTGTAAATTTATAGAAAACTAGCGCCACGGCTTTGCTACACCCGTGCAAAGCCGTGGCAGATGATGAATGTTGGTTTTCGACATCGCATTAGAAACCTCTAAAATTATTAGTGTTTCTCTACTATATTATGAATGAATTATATATATAAATATTCTTCTTGAGTCACTCTATTATTAAAGGAAACCGCATCAAAATCCGTTGCGTAGTTCTAAGATCTAATCATATATAGGGGCAGACTAGAGTTTGTTGAATCAGGTTTACTAGAAAACAACAAACAACAAACAACAACAAACAAAAAACTGACAAAAACCATTGCAATTGCAGGTGGTCACTGTCGACAAGGACGAGCACGAGCGTATCTTACTCGAGCATCTGAATGCTTTATTCACATCGGCGCCTGGCAGCAGTGACGTGCAATATGACTATGGTGATGAGGAGCCTGGGCCTCTGCAGCTATCCATACCAATTGGATACGATCCGCAAGCGACTCCGCTACACTCTCCAGACCAAGTCGATACGGTAAATAAACGATGTCCGACAAGTTTTCCTTTTAGTTAATTAAGTAAACGAAACGATATAAAAATATTCATCCCAAATCGATGCTTGAATCGACGTTTTAAATATTGATTTTTTTAATTTTTATGTCGAACATTATGTATAATTGTATATACCTATGTATGTAAGAAAATCTTTGAAGATAAATTTTGTCGTCGTATTCCAACTTGCAAAAAATTGCTCTACTAAGTTGACAAAATCTACATTAAATAAACGTAAAAACGTATGAATGTTTATTAATAAAAAGTCTGGTGTTATTACAGGGTCAGGATCTAAACTATGTGAAAATCGATAAAAAGGGCGAAAACGTTCAAAATAATGACGCTAGCATAGAAGCTGAATTGGAACTTCTCAAACTCCAACAAACAAATGACTCTAACAATAAAACCACAACGAAGGGAGCGCACGTTGTAAGCCACAATGTATTGACCAATTATCTAGCTTATCCTGAAAAGCCAAAGCGTGACAGCCCAATGCTTAACTCAAGTGAAATAGAATCATTAAATACGACTGACCTTGGACAAAAAGAAGAAGTTTATGGACATGTAGGTGTTGATCCAGTTATATACAATACTGATATTAAATATCAACAACCTCTACAAACACAGTCGGAAAATAGAGACGCAATAAAATCTCCGATGCCGGATATAAAACCTAATAACGTTTTAAATGATACTGAAACCATAAATAGTTCAACTATACTGGAAGGCAACTCACAACTAAATAAGAAAGAAGATGTTAACAATAAACTAAATCCAGAACAAGACTATTCAGACATCGGAGAAGCAATAAAACTAATAAGCAGATTTGCAGAAGTCACCACCGACGACAATTTTGCTAAATACCAACAAAACAATTTGTCAAAAGAGGATAGTATTTTAGGCACACGCACTAAGCTTCAATACCGCCGTAATAAACCGAAACCAAGCGACTCTGAAGGTGATAGGATAAACAATAAAGAACAAATATTAAGCGATGAGACACCCATAAACCATCATTCAAAAAAGGATCTCTACTATAGATATTCATGGCCAAATCAACATTTACGATCTCCACAATCTACTTATCCGTTTAAACATTTACAAGACTATTGGCCAGGGCAAAAACGTATTGGTGGTGTGTATGCAATGCACGAGAATCCTCGTCGTCATCATCATACTTATCCTCACAATAATTTTCGACCCCATAACTTTCCTTATGCTTACTCAGTAAAATTGTATCCACATTTGCAAGAAGCCTATTCTGGACTCCATCGGAATCCCCACAGAGTGGCTCGGCATAATGCTAGTCCCATAAGATCTCATGTCAATAACCAAGATCTTTACAGTTTACTGGGTCTAAGACATTGGTTTAGCAGTGAAGGAACATCAAAGAGATAGTTGGCTTTCAAACATCTTAGTTAAAATTGATGTTACCCGACGACACTTTATAATGGAAGCTATGGGAAATGTTTATTCGATTTTTTCTCTCAAATAAACAATTGCATTTAAATGGAATATTCGATAACTATCACATTTTAAAAACTATTTTCATCTTCTTCCATAGCTTTCAATATTAGCCTATTTATTTAAAAGCCAAATATTACAGTCATAGTTAATTATTTTGTTAGCTATATAAGTTATTGTAAATACTCCTCAAATTAAGCGTTTAACTTTGCTACTAGGTAATGTAATAATTGTTCTATTAGTATTATCGTTGTTTTGTATTATGTAAATTGTTGTATCAATGATTATTAATTTATGTCTATTTTATTGATGTATATTTTTCTTACTTCTTAAATGTTGTTATGAATTAGTCGAATGTACCTTATGGAAATTTTTGTGTTTTCATACAAATTTATCCGGCACTGGCTTGCCTCGAATATTAATCAAAATTATAATTATTAGTTAAGTAGGTACTTACTGTAGATAGTAGGTAATTGTGAAAGAATATGTTTTTTATGATTTCAATGTAGATATTGATACAGAAAATCGTTTGGTATTTTTTAAAAAGAATATTTCAAAAATAATTATATATATAAGCAACAATATATGCCCACCTGCTAAAATATGTAAGCATACAGAAAAGTTGTGTATTATACCTACTTTGTTTAAATTTTTTTAAACCTTTTCTTTACTTGAATTAATACAAAAAAAATAATGTTAATGCTTTGATGTAGTAAAAAAAAATATGAATTTTATTTTATAATATTTTGAGACATAAATCTTGCCTAAAGATATAAAAAATAATTTAATAAACTACATATTACATAAATTTGACTACAATATATTTAATATTTAACATCAGTCTTTGTTTTCCTACTTCACAGTACATAGTGCTTGTATTTTTTTTAAATTAAATTAAAATTAATAAAATTATTTTTTTTTACCTACATAACTGAACTACTACCCGTATAATGATCCCACCAAAGTTTAGTTTAAGTATTTAGTATTGTAAAACCATAATACATATTTAATTCTATTACCTAAGATATATGTCAAGATGAATACATATTTATATAATTCAGTATAAGTTGGTTTTAGGAAATGGAATGATTCTTATTCAATATTTAAATGTACTAAATTACATTGTTATATTAAACATTTTTCATGTCAAACTAACAATTAAAGTAGAACATAAATATGTCTACGTAATAATCTAATTTTTCAAAAACAAAATATTTTAAAACCAGTGTGTCACATATGTTATAGTATTTTAGCCTAAAAAATATTTTCTTTATTATTAATACCTAATAGTCATTTACACTATGATTAACATGCTTTTGCTATTCATGAGTATTAAATTATTCAATATTGTACTTTAAAAAATTACAAAATTCTAAAATTAAATTTCAAATGTCTTTAGTCTCTAAACTTATGTACATAAAATTTATCGAAATTAACTTTAGACCAGCATTTAAAATATGTTGTTCCAATACTATTTTAGTTGACAAATAACTAAAATAACTGAATAATTATTAACATTATATTATTTTTTTTGGAAATCATTGATAAAAAATTATGTACAATATTTTGCAACTAAATATTCCTAACAAGACTCTTAATAAGGTCTTAAGTTAATTTCCACAAATACTTTCATCTTATATGCATTGGTATAATAAAAACTGCTCTGTACAAATAGCTTTAAGTCATAAAAAATATATTGGAATTTGTAACTTCCTTAAAATTATATATTTGTCTAAAAAGTTGTCTGCAAATTAAAATGGAATCATAATTAGAAAATTGTCAATGCCAGTATTTTACTGTAAATATCAATATTATATTAAAACAATTGAAATCAAATGAAATTATGGATTTTTATTTTAGGAATGAAAGGCAAAAATTAGATTTAAGATATTTTATTGCAAAAAAAAAAACATTTCCTTACTAGAGTCTGTATGAACAATTATATCTACAAATGACCAATGACTTGTTCACAAAAAATGAGATTCTCTGCTCTTGCATATATTAATTAGGGTGATTGAATAGTGGCAATCTCCATAATAACAACATAAATTCCAATATTTATTATAAAAAACATTTAAAATGCTCTAGCTAATTTATATAATAGCAGTTTCAAAAATAATTCTACAATTTCTTGATTTATTATATAAAAAGTTTCAACATCTAAGCAAGCATAAAGAAAATAAAGATATCTTGTACATTATTATTATTACCTAATTTTAATGTCACCAAAATATTACAAAAACTAAGCATATTTTAAACTTACAAGTTAATATTTTGTACAAAATATCACAATGAAAATACTTATTACATCTTGGTGACATATAAAATACAAAATTTCAACTAAGCTGTTTTGACAATTTGGCGAAATAATATTAGACAGTCATAGTCTTAAATATATGCAAGAGCAGTTTGCAAAGTATCTTAAAGAGTATCGGAAATAACAACTGGGTTTCTTGTTCTGTGTAAATCATTAAAGCACCCAGCCTCTGACTACTTTTGACAAAACTTAACAATGGTACTTTTGTCTTTTCGGTGATATCAAGAAGTTACAACTTAAAAATATGTAAGTACGATCGGAAACATATATCCATCCAAATTTGAAAGTTTCCATTTTGTGATTTCATCTGAACTCATAAATTTGGATGCTGTGTTCCGGGACATGGCTTAAAGTCAAAGATTGATACCTGAAAATGATTAAATACTCAATATGGCAACAAAAAATAATGTATAAATAAATTAAGTATATAAGCCATATGCACATTGATCATTATTATTTATAATTACCCAAAACTACATTGCTTACCATTCTGAACTTCTGTGGTAGTAATAACCCTCTATTGTTGCTGCCGACTTATGAAAGCATATATAATAGAAACCAGCAAATGAAGCACCATTAATATCCTTTATTGTATGATCAGGTACTAAGAAATGTTCTTTCCATCTCATAAATACATAATCAGCTTTCGCTAGTGATTCATAGTCAAAAGAGTCTGAATTAAATGTCTTCAAATATGGTACAAACAAGTCAAACTTACTCTGAAAGTAAACAAAAGTAGATGAACTCAACAAACATATCAAAAGTATGAATAAAAATGTTGTAATGATACTATTAAATATTATAGCTAACAATTATGGATCTAATAATAATTATAAAAATTGTTTTTATTTTTATCATGCTACTTACTCAATTTCTTATATTTACATACCCAATGTTTTCTGTCTACGTCCTCATCAGCATCCCATTTTCGAGTAAGAAAGGGATATTTGGCCGATATAATTTCGCCGTCAAAAAACGTTGTCAATGTTGGAAATTCTTCTGTAAGTCCTTTAATTTTTAAATAACCGCAGAGGTATGAATTTTCTTCATCGACATGCTGTAAGTGAGAAATAATTGCATAATTTAATGTATCTTAAAACTTACAAGTCCTGCTGCTCTATTCTCAATAATTATGGGCTCTTTTCTTAAATATCTTGCATAAATAGGTGATCTATACTAGTAAAAAGAAATCTAAAACAGTCATTTAACATATATAACAGATATAAACAAGTATTTCATGGAGTTTTCTCTATTTGCGTACTTTGTTTTGAAATACTAACCTGCAAAACTACTTCCACTTCATACGAATTTCCTTTAGACGCTTGATGGCCTTGAAATTTAGACCCGTTATAAAGTAAAGATTTCGTTACACCAGGTTGTTTTGAGTTTGCTGGAGGCGGCGGAGTTATATCAACTTTAACTGGCATTATTTTCCATTAAAACGGTGACCTATCTTTTATAAAATAAACTGTAATGACAGATACTTGACAACTAACCTAAATGTCTTTGTTTTTGACACCATGATTCTGCTTTCCAGCATATTCTACAAGAAGTAAATCTAAGCTGTAAATATTTCTACGTAGTTTGCTGTTAAAAAGTTGAAATGCCCCATCGGGAAAGCTCTGTGGTTAACAGACCTCGCTGATTCACGAGAAACAACGTAGCTGTTGCACGACAACGACGCGATAACATCTTTTACTCCACTACCCGCAACCCCTGTAGACGAGAGATAGAAAATGTAAAAATGATAGGGGGAGAGGATACGATCATATGGCCCCCCAAATGGAGATGCGAATATCGGCGTGACTGTGATAATTTGTAGATCCTATTCAGAGGAAATAATCATCTTGTGATTTAATCTCAGGATATAATATCTATAATATCGCTTTCGATTTAACAATTTAATTAATGAAGATTTATAATGATTATAAACAAACAAACTACAGCTGCACGACAGCGTTCAGTAAAGTAACAAAAAATAAGTAAAGTAACAGCCTATACATGTCCCACTGCTGGGCTCTCTACAGAGGGTATCAGGGCATATCTTCGAAAAATATTTTTTTTTGTTATTATTTCGAAAATATGCAGGTTTCCTCACGATGTTTTCTCTTTGGTGGGCGCTCCATGGAGTGATCAGGCTCAAGGGTCCCCGAGAGGGGACCTCGGCTTGGGCTGTCACTCAACACGCGTTTAGCATTCCGATTCCGAGAGGGTGCCTGAGAGGGCCGGACCTCGGCTCGAGCGGTAGCTATTATCTGACTGGAGCGAAAAGCTATTGTGTTCATTATATTTATAAATTACCTCAGAAAAATGCCTTTATAAAAAAAATGTTCTTGAGTGGTTTGTAAAAATTGTATTTTTGGGATAAGGATTCATTTTTACTGTAATTCACTGAAACTATAGAAAAGTATATTATAAAAAATAACTATTTTATACTTACATTTGATTTGAAATTCCTTGTATTTTGTTAACTTTAGAATCGTAATTGAATCTTTTGAACACACATGATGGCACTTTATCATTATCACTGAAAAATTTTTCACAACAAGTCTTACTCATCGCTCTGTGTGACGAGAATTAAAGATAAGACGTCCCAATTGGGACGTCTTCGTAGCTTCAATTCGCCATATTAACATATCGTATCTACGTAAATGTTCTAATATCATTAATTATTATTATATATTCACAATCATATAGCGTATTTACTTAAAAATAAATAACAGTTGCTCTTTTTGTAGTTGCTGCATTGCCTAGCTTCGTCTACCTCTATATTTATTTTTTTTTGGTACCTTTTATTATTACAGATAACATTTTATTGATAAATATTTTTTATGTATTTTTTAACCAGCTCAAAGTGATTCTTTTCCCTTTTTACCGAATATCCTAATTTCGCATGATTAAAAACATCAAAAATAATGGAATTGTACCCCCGGTTTAAATCAAACAATTAATTCGGAGAAAAGAATTAAACTTTCATAGTAAAAAGATAATTGCTAAAATTATTCTGGTATACGTCATCTATAAATCTATGGTTTAATGGTAGGGTTTTATCGTTTCGTTGGTTTCGTTGACCGAACAACTTGTTTATAAATTGTTTTGTTTTGTAGTAAAATTGAACAAATGTTTTTCTAATTTATACCATAACATGACGGTATCTTACTTAGCTGTGCATATTATAAGTATTATTAAATGCCATACCTCTATGTACGTTTTGTGATCAAAAAGCAATAGTAGCAATATTTTCTCACATAATTATGGTTAACTGACGTTACTCTGTGCATCCTCAATTATGGCAGAGCCAGGTTATTATCACAGTGATTATATTCGACACCCGGTTCTCTATGAACTAGGTATCAAATATGGAATTAAGACGGAATGTATTCCAGAAATAGCTTTGCCGTCTAAGTTAGAGGAGCTCAAGGATGTCATACGTAGAGAAATACGTAAAGAGTTGAAAATTAAAGAAGGAGCTGAGAAACTGCGTGAAGTTGCAACTGATCGAAGATCCCTATCGGATGTAGCTAACATTGTAAAAAAAGCTAATTTAAAACTTAATGAACTCAAATCTGATCTGCAAGAATTAGAGTCTCAATTGCTTTTATCTCGTGGTCAGTCGACACCAACATCTCCCGAGGATTTATCTTATGATGAAGAAATTATATTGGCTTCTGAAGCAGCACAGCAACAGCGGCAATTAGGTGAAGGAACTGCAGACCGCAAATTGGCATCACTTGAAAAGCAGCTAAATATTGAACTCAAGGTGAAACAAGGTGCTGAAAACATGATCCAGAGTATAAGTAGCAGTAATCAATCACGAGACAAAAAGCTTCTTGCAGAAGCGCATCAAATGCTTGCAGATTCTAAAGACAAAATTGAATACCTTAAATTACGCATATCGAAAATGTGTAAGCAGCAAAAAGAGGATAATGCTGGTGCAAATGGTGATGGTCGAACTTCAGACATGAGTGGTATTGATCCATTATTAGATGAAAGGATAGCAGAGCTTAGGAATCGATTACGCATAGAAGCAGCTGTTGTAGAAGGTTCCAAAAATGCCATCCGATTATTACAAAGTGACAAAAAGGTAACAGATAAAAAAGCATTGCATGAAGCACAGACAAGTCTCTTGGAGTCCACACAAAAACTAGATCTGCTACGCTTATCCTTAGATATGCGACGTCAAGAGCTTCCTGTAGAGTGTCCTGCATTTATAGAACTTGGGCATGAATTACGCAGTACGGGTTCTAGTCCAGGCTATGTTAGTTTGTCTTGGGGTACAGGTTCAAGAGCTCAGTTTATGTCTCCAACTCCAATGATTAGTCCATGTGTGCAAGTCACAGGTACCCTTGAGGTTAGACTTATGGGTTGCCAAGACCTCTTAGAGGAAGTTCCTGGCCGTAGCCGACGTGATCCCTTAGCTAGTCCTTCAGATTTAAAATCTTTTGTGAAGGGTGTAACAATCCGCAATTCTATGAAGTACACTTATAGCATCAAAGAAGATACAAGTAATGAAATCATGGCTGTTTTAAAATTAGACAATCATACAGTGGCCCAGACAAGTTGGAGGCCATGTTCCCAACAAGCATGGGATCAGAGGTAAGTGTTTCAAAGAATTTTAACATTTAGTCTTTAACTTGTTTACAAGATACTCCAGTCTTAAATGATAGAAACTTTAACATTATGAAGTAGTACTCAATTTTTCAAGTACAAAACTTTATAAGTGTAAACTCATAATATTTCTACCATTTTAAAAGAAAGATAATATAAAAGAAACATAAATAAATAATATTGTACAAATTTTTAAATTAATTTAGAACAAAACACTAAAAGAAACTATAATTGAGTTTTGCTAATGTTTTAAGTAATTGGCTGTTTAAATCAATTAGGCAGTCTCAATAGATTTAAACCTTTGCATTTTATACATCTGTGTTAATTTACAGTTCTTAAATTGTTTCAATTTGTGTTTATAACTTTGAATAGACTTAGTATGGTTATTTTCCTTGAAATTTAATCTTGTAGATTCCAATGATTGTTCACCTAATCTTATCTCTAGGCAATGTTCTCATACTGTGACTCAGACACTGGGCATACAGTTAATATGTTTTATAATATATTTATTATTTTAAATCATTTTCCCAATTTCATAGAAAACTGAAAAGAATACTTATAAAAATATACAACAAACATTCAAGTTCTGACTCATATAAGCTTCATTAAAGCAGAGACAGTTATAGATTTAAATGTAATTAGAGAATGCAATTTATAGTCCATCATGACTGTCTACTCACAATAGCAGCATGCATGTCATGTTATACAAGGGTTTTTGAAATAATTGAAAGGATGGATTTTTTAAATAACCAATAGTTTTATTGTTTATATGTAGAATTTTATATCACTAATGAAGTCAATATGAAAATAATATCATTTAAATTCTGACTTAAATAAAAAGTACTTATAATTTAAAAACACTGTAATCACGAAGATAAAATATATAAATAGTAAACTTATGCTTTGATAACACTTAAATGAGGGATGTGATTGTATTTTTACATTTACGTAGACAATTACCTTTAGAAATACCAAGGTCACAATTATTACAAATAAATATTCAAATTTGTCCAAGATGGGAATTGAGCCTATAATTCATGGTACTAGAGCCTGTTGTATAATTTGAAAAAATTTAAATATTAAAGAAATTATTATTTTACATTAATGCCCCGGTTTTTGAAACACTGATCATCATAGATGTTAACTAATCAACTTTCAAATGTCATTTCAGTTGCTAAAAGGATGGTTAAACTCTTTGAATTGATCATCCTGATCATTAAGAAGATCATTCTTGTCAATTCAGAGAGTTTAATCATCATTTAGGCAACTCAAATGGAATTTGAAAAGCCATTTGACAGCTGATTAATTAACATCTATGATGATCAGTGTTTCAGAAACCAGGTGTCAGAATACGCATAAATTTTACATTAAGAATTATATAACATTTGTCCCTGCTCAGTTAGGTTCACAAACATCTCATATCTGCCATTTGTGTCCATTCCATCCATGTCCATTTAAATACAACCACAAGCTTAAGACAAGTAATGCTGCTATGAGCGTATTAACTATCTAATAAAAAAATTAAATGCCTTAATATGACCAAAAGTGGTTATCTTATCTGCATGTAAATCCAAGTGCAAAAGCACTCCCATGGAATTTAAACCTGCAAACCAATATCCTCTAAAAATATTACTAAAAATATTTGTCCCAGTAATCAAATTTTGGTACACATTGTAAAGGTGGGTAAAAACATACTAGATTTTGAACTTCTTTTAGAGTTTAATATATAATCACAATGAAATAGTCACTGAACATGTAACATAGCAATGATCAGGTAATCTGACCACCACCATATTAGTTCATCCAAATTAAAAAAAAATTCTTCCTTTTTATTTTATTTAATGTCAATACTAATTTTTCAGATTTACAATCAAGCTTGATAAATCACGGGAACTTGAAATTGGTGTCCACTGGAAAGATTGGCGGGGATTGTGTGGAGTAAAATTTTTAAGACTGGAAGAGTTTATTGATGATATCAGACACGGCATGGCCTTGGAGCTTGAACCGAAAGGTCTTTTATTTGCAGAAATTAAGTTTTTAAATCCTATTATCTCAAGAAAACCCAAGCTCCAGCGACAAAGAAAAATAATAAAACAACAGGGCAAAAATATTCCTCGACCTCCATATGGTGAAATGCATATTCCAGCTGTTATACTTGGACGGCTTTTAAAACGTTCTTCACCATCAATTCAAAACATCCAAACAGCCCATATTACTCAGCAACAGCAACACATTTATGAACCATCCATCATTGATAATAAAGAGGTTGAAAATCCAAATGCTACTCTAGTGGGCATGGCAGGGGTTAGACCCCTTGGCTTACCTGCTACTCCAGCTCCAGCACAAGTGCCTGTTAGTCCTCCGCCGAAACCAAACCTGCCTTTACATCCTCCTCCAAATGTATCTACGCTTAGGATGGAAAGGGAGCTACAAGAAGCTTTTGCCTTTTTAGAAGATTCTTATACCAGAGACAATTATACTCCAAAAGATCCCCAAACACCATCATGTAACACACCATTAGTAGAATATCCACCATCACCATCTCCAAAACTGGTATTGGAATACCCTAGTAATGAGGATCAGATTGTTGAAATAACTAGTAATATGCGATTATCATCATCTCGCTCATCTTCAGTTATAGAAACATTAGGTAAAGAAACTGATTCTAGAAGACAATCTGGAGAAATGTCCATGGAAAGTTTTAGACTACTCAGTGTTTTGGGGCGAGGCCATTTTGGAAAAGTTATACTATCACAGTACAAACCTACAAATGAGTATTTTGCAATTAAAGCTTTAAAGAAAAGTGATATAATTGCTAGAGATGAAGTAGATTCCCTGTTATCTGAAAAGAGGATTTTTGAGGTAGCTAATGCTATAAGACATCCATTTTTGGTCAATTTGTTTGCATGTTTCCAGACAGATCAACATGTTTGTTTTGTAATGGAATATGCAGCAGGTGGTGATCTTATGATGCATATACATACAGATGTTTTCACTGAACCCAGGGCAGTATTTTATGCAGCTTGTGTAGTTTTAGGCCTACAGTATTTACATGAAAATAACATTATTTATAGAGATTTAAAATTAGATAACTTGTTACTTGACACTGAGGGATATGTTAAGATTGCTGATTTTGGTTTATGCAAAGAAGGAATGGGATGGGGTGATCGTACAGGAACTTTCTGTGGCACTCCAGAATTTCTAGCTCCAGAGGTATTGACAGAGACATCTTACACAAGGGCTGTAGATTGGTGGGGATTAGGTGTTTTGATATTTGAAATGTTAGTGGGTGAGTCACCATTCCCTGGTGAAGATGAGGGTGAGGTGTTTGACTCTATTGTTAATGATGAAATACGATATCCGAGGACTTTATCATTAGAAGCTATAGCCCTTATGCGCCGCCTATTGAGAAAAAACCCTGAAAGACGCTTAGGATCATCTGAAAGGGATGCAGAAGATGTGAAAAAACAGGCATTCTTCCGTAATGTTAATTGGGAGCAGCTTCTACTCCGAAAAGTAAAGCCACCATTTGTGCCAACAATAAACAATCTAGAAGATGTTAGTAATTTTGACAGTGAGTTTACCTCAGAAGCTCCGGTACTTACCCCACCAAAGGAACCGCGCCCTCTGAGTGCTACAGATCATAAATTGTTTCAAGACTTTACATACATGGCAGACTGGTGCTAAGTATCAAGAAATGTTAATTGTTAAAAGATTCAATTATTTCATAATAATAAAAACAGTAAACCCCCCTTTGCCTTACAAAATTAAGAGTGAACTACTGTATTTTGGTATCTATCTAATCTTTATTGTAAGGGTGTCTGAATAGAGATACTCATTTTAACTTGTATTTAATGCAGTTGAATGCAATATTTTATAATTAATAAATTGTGTAACTTAAGACCGTAAGTTTTAAAAATGCTAATCTTTATTTTTTTAAACATCATGTTATAGATTTATACATATTTAGTTATAAAATTGATTAACTTAGAAAGTAATGGTTATTATTAAGCAAAGGCGTGTCAAATAAATCTTTATGTTTTCAGTCAATTGTTTAATTATTCATTGTATTGAAGTTGTGTGATTTTACTATCTTTAACTGAAATTCTAATAAAAATGTTTCTTAACAATTGGAGATTAGTAAGGATGGAAAGCATATACAATACAGTGAAATAATTATCTATTTACAACAGTTTTTTTAATAACAATGTAATATAAAACAATGCAATACAATGTTTATAAACAGAGAACTTTTTAAAATGCTCCAACATCAACTTAATGAGTATTTTGCCAAACAATTTTATTACAAATCCTAGCACAAGTTATTCTCATTTCATTCAAATAGGATATCGTTTGACTTATTTCATAATCTTTAACTTTTGATTAAAGCAATTCTTAAGACAATTTAAACGAGATAGAAATAAGAGTAAACTTCACACTATGTACACAACTCACACACAGAACTAAGTCTCCAATACCATTTTATTGCATTTGTCCACTAAAGCTTTCTTCACATTCTTGAGCCTTTATGTTGAAGCACCTTAGCTCTATCTGTTGGTTCAATGTCATTGCTGTTCAGAGAATTTCCACATTCTCGACTTACAACACATAGAAATTCAGAATGATCATCATTACCATAGTTATATTGGGACCCAATATTAATTAATTGTTCAAATTTCCATCCGTCTGACATAGTAGACATCATTTGTGTCAATTCCTCTTCATGGAATTGCAAAACTCTGTAGACATGTTTTTTGGAATCTTTTAGCGGTCGTCTGTCTCTCATGCATATTCGTTCTTTAACTAATCTAATGAGCTCCGTTATATTATAAAATTCAGCTTCTTCTAGCACTCCTTCCTCTGCAATATCATTGTTGATAACCAATTTGCCATGTCGAAGATAGTTTAATACAGGTGAAAAGTACGTCGGATCTCGGTCTATTAAATAGGCACCGGTTTCATCCTGAAATACACGTCCTTAAGTTATACATAATCAGGATAATAAAGGCAAAATTAAATGTAAACAGAAAAAGAATTCGTACTAACCCTGTCTGAAATTAAGTCGCTATCCTCTTGTACCAATCGATAAAGAAAAGAATTTGGATCTCTGGATAGTGTAGTCTTTGTGGTTAAAAAGTACGTTCCCCCAACATTTAGTTTAACCCATTGCTTACTACTTCGTCGTTCACTGTTAAATTTTTGAACATTTTCTTTCATGTTTTCACCATCATGTATCGAGTCCGCCATGGTTGCCAAAGCAAAGCATAGACTTTGATTAAAGTAGCCATGTTTTTTATAGGAACGCGTTTTTAAGCAAAAAAATGACAACGATAATTTCGGAAAAAAATCAATTACAAAATAATGCTAATTCAGTATAAATATTAAGTACCCTAAATTGACGGCACTTCAAATACACATATATTATCAAATATATGTGTATATATTATTATTACTTTAAGAATTCTAATTCATATCTTCATGAATAAAGAAACCTCACACAATTTAACAGCAAGGGATACTATACAGATTTTTTACAGAGAAATAGTTGATAAAAAGTTATAAAATTAAACTAGTGACTACTAATATTGTTACGTAAAGATATATTTTTATCTATAGCATATTTTAATGGTTTATGGTTTAATTTATACTCTACTCGTCTCCTGTATAAACAATTTTAAAACTACTCTGTAATCTGTGATTTATATACCTGTGGAAGTGGAAAGCTTTCTGTGGTCCGTCACAGAAAGTTCGAATTTTTATTAAGAAATTCGCATCTAAAACAGTTTTATTTGGGCCTTAATATAATTATAATCGAAAGTTTAAAATGTAATTTTCAGATAATAATATCCCGTTGGTTTTTATGATGAGCAATAATATAGAAAGCGACAGATCAGTCTCCACTGGAAAAATGTATCCAATAGATTTAGCACCACAAAAGATAACTATTGTAAAAAGTGTATCAAATGCTGAGGTAAAAATGGCACATTTAATATCTGGGCCTGCTAAAACGTCGAGCTCGGGACAATTAATTACACACGCTGGCCCTGTTGGCTTGATGCGTACAGCAGCACAAATTATAACTCCTGGCGTCACCTCCCAGGTATACTTTATATTGTAATATTTCCATTTGTTTAATTAACATTGGAATATGTAATATTTTTTTATTATTAAAAATAGTCTAGTATATTTCTCTTAAATCTGTTTTTATTTTTTTTTATCACTATATTTGTAAAATTCCATTTAAACACACGGACTTTATCGTTTTTGTTTAGTTTCAATATTATCTCTTTTTCATTTATTATCGCTTACAATTTTATCATTGTTTCTAAACAAAATTAAGTAAACAATTAATAGGAAAAACACTGTTTACCTTTTTTCAGCCCCAAATGATTGTGAGTGGACCACCAATTATTCAAGGCGCCCCTATAATTAGTCAAGGAACTCAGTTAATAGGACAAACATCACAGATTATATCACAATCACAATTGATAAATTCTAGTGGTCAAATGTTAAGCCCTGGAACACAAATCATCAGTCAAGGGACCCAGCTATCTGTGCAAGTTTCAAATTCCAATAATTCTGCATCCAATAATATACAAGCAAGTGTAGCATCATCTGTTAGTGGCACACAGGTCCTTAATGTAGGTGGGCAGCTTGTGAGTGGAACTGGTAATTTAGTTGTAAGTTCATCTGTGAGAACACTACCACCAAGTGTGAGAGTACTTCCCCCGTTACCACACCACAATAACAGGCAAGGTGAGCAATACATGTGGTTAATAATATTTTACTATATAACCATTAGGGACTATGGAACTAAGTAAACAATTTATGTTATTTTTTAATGCTCACAGAAGTACCTACATGATATATTTATATACAAAGTTGCAACAATTGTTATAGTGATCTAATGTTATGTATGTATATTTATCTGAATGATTTAGTGAAAACAACACATGTTGGTTACCATAAATAGATATTATATTTATAACATATTCAAATATCAATTTATGCCAAAGTCTATTATACAACTTAAGTCTGTAATTTTATTAAGTTGAAAAAAATTCTGTTACTTTTAATTAATTCAGAAATAAACATTTCGTTACATTATTCTAATATTACATTTTAACAACAGTAATAAGTTATATAAAAGTAATTCATGCAGTAATATAATCATCTATGTAATAATCCAGAACATATTTTTTCAGTTTTATCAACTGTCAATGTGAGCACAGCAAGTGGAGTATTAGTGAGCAAAGGCGTGCCAAGTCATGTACCGAGAGGCTTAGCAGCTGGTGCCTCTTTGGCAGTACGTCCTGTCACTCCAATAGCAGCTTCACAATCAGGTTCAAATCAAGGTAGTTATAAAAAATGTATTGCAACTATAATCAAAGGGAAGGTCTAAATAATTATTCTAATAAATCTATAAATACATCAAACAATCAATTTTAATGTGTGGTAATGGAACATTGAATGCTTTTCTAATGCTTTCTTCAAAACTACGTAACGGATTTTGATGCGGTTTTTTATACTAGATAGAGTGATTAGAGAGGAAGGTTTATATGTATAATATGCCAGTGAATATATATACTAATCGAAAAACAATTCATCGGTATTATTTAGAAAGCCATCTTATTATACTGATCAAACATATGTACTAATGTTTATTTTTTGATTAAATAAAATGGCTAAATTGTATCTCAGGCCTTTCTATAACAAAGACCATAATTTCGTCAAAATCAATACTTTGTTTCAAAACAGTTTATTCAACTCAAGTTTTGTCAAAAATTTTTTGTTCAATATGATAGTTTGTATCGCTTTGAGTTTCATATAATCAAAATCATATTTACTATCACCTTTATGGCTATATTTCTTAGGTGAAGTGAAGTTGATGGCAATTCTCCCTGTGTCTTTGGCAGGTCGTTTTGTATATTAACCAAGGGAGTCTAATCACAATTTTCATTATTGTTTGTCTTCATGAAATGATTTTTTTTTTTTGTAAAAAAACATTGTCCTTACTTTAAGATAACGTTAACCTGTGTTGTAAGGACGCTTTACAAACGTAAATTTCACGTGGACAAACACCCAGATACGAAACAACTATCTGTGGGTTTCACAAATAGATGTCCCGTGTGGGAATCGAACCCAAGACCCCCTACGCCAAAGTCAATACTTTGGCAATTGCGGAATTGAGTTTCTTCATGAAGAAAATTAAACACTGGTGAAAACTGCTTGCCTCTAATCATAAATAACAAAGAGGACTCATAAATAGGACTTTAATAGAACCGAATTTCTTTTGCCGATAGTTCTTGTTCCAGCTGTGAATTTTTTATGTGAGACGGTGTCAAGCGAGCTGGTGGTTCACCTGATGTTAGTAATAACAGCCGCCCACTACCAGATTGCTATGGTACCCGATGCTTGGCCATTGGAACACCCGTAAGGTTGCAGATGCGTCGCCACCTTATAATAAAGTGGGCCCCGGCCCCGCTACCTTACTCACAAACCCAGAATTGTAATATTTCTACTTTACGCCAGTCTTCTGTGAGGTTGTAGTACTTAACTGGACGGACAGTTAAGTGAATGTATATGCTTATACGGTTGTAAATAACTATGATTTTCGACTACAGGTGGCAGTGCATGGTCCAGCAGTGGGAGGGGTCGTAGTGCTTTAGTGTACGGAGGTCGCAGCACTATACCTCGAAGTACCGCACCACGGGCTCCCACTCCCACTCCCACTTCTGCTGCTCCCACGCTGGCGCCCGTCTCAACACCCACACCGCAGCCGAGTCAATCGCCACATTCTGCTACCATTACTCTGCCCACAAGCACAGTTCTCACGTGTAAGGTTATTCAGTATGTTCTTAAACCATAATACTAATGATCTGTATTTGATATTAATATAACATGGAGTAGCAACAAGTGCCCATAAGAGCTGTCTCTATTTTGATGATGATTAAAACTTTAAGTGCATGTTCAAAAATATCAACACGAAAGTAGGATGTATATATGGGGCAATGAAACAACCATTTTTTTCTTTGAATATTAAATATGGTTAAATCAATATTTTTTTATATAATTAGATTCAGATTTAACATAATTGGCCTTGAGTTTACTTGAATAATTTATTGCTATTTGTTTTATTTTATTGAGTGATTTTAAATATTTATCACTTTTCATATAACATTATTTATGTCTAGAACTTAATAAGAAAATGGATACACTTAGAAAAGCCTCCCTATATTCATTTGAAAATTCATCAAAATCGGTCAAGCGTTTCATAGGAGCATAAACAGTAAACTATGACACAAGAATTTTATATATTAGAATATTAGGGCATACATGACCTTGCGGATTGGCGACTTTACATATCTTGAAAATATACTTTTTCAAATATAATTTCTCAAATATGCAGGTTCCCTCACTATATTTTATTTCACCGTTGAGCATGTGATAAGTGTACCAAATTAATTTACATGGAAATATATTTTTTTCTTGTTTGGCACTTTTTACAAACAGCTTGAAATTCAGGCTAATATTCAGCAGTGGCATTAGCAGTTTGCCTCATAAAATTAGACTTTGTTCCATAGACAGATAATATAATTATCATGATGAAATCAAAAAGTTCATTTGTCATTCTTAAACCTTCACCTAGACTCTTCAAATTAAATATTACATTTCCAGTGTTTGTTGAAGCCTCTTCTTCGATGGACTGGGGATTTTACATTTCCTTCAAGTCGGTGCCAAGCATATCTTTATCTTGCGATTGAAGCAAGTCCCCAATGTCACTTGATTCTATCTGTTCGAAGCCATCTAGTCCTATTCCATTCGCAATTTCGACTATGTTTGTAGTTAAAGTTTGTATTTGCGCAAATTCTTCGTCTTTTTCTGTAGTCAGAACAGTTTTTTTCCAGCATGATTTCAATGTGTATGACTTCAGTTCTTCATAATTTAGGCGTAGTTGTAACAACATGATTTTTCTTTTACATTAGTCCATTTGTCAAGGTTTACAATGGGTAAAAATTCATGGTATTATTTTCTATAGTAGTTCTAATTTATTTGCACTTAATTAGCTACAATTTTGCGTCATTGTCATATGGTACAGACTTTGGTATGTTTCATTTAATTATCATCATCCATTGCTGAACATATGGCTCCTCCTGAAACTGCCACGAAGCACGATCTTGAGCCACCTGCATACATCGACTACCCGCGGTCTTGCACTTCAATACTAAATTTTTATACATATGGGAAAGGAGCCATGTAAAGCTATATGAAAATGGCTGTTTATTTTTTCATTCGTTTCACCAGCCGGCGGCGTGATAACCAACCCTCGTGCACCCACGCCGACGCCAATGGCCACAGGGCCAAGACCGCTTCCACTGCTGCAAAGGAATTACCAACCTGCCAAGGTGAACAGTTCAATGCTTTAATATTGCCAAATGCAAAAATTAGGACAATAATAGCTTATAGCCTTCCAGTCCTTTCAATTTTACCATTTTTTGAATTTCAAGCAAAAGTCACGTGAGCTTGGTGAAATGCGTCTAGTGCATCTGGATGCGTAGTCCGAAAGAGCACTTTCGAACTCTGGGAGCGGCGAATAATTTTGCGACAGATTTTTCAAATTTTTAAGTTACATCTTAGGTGGCGAGACATCGTTACGGAGTTGCCAAGGCATTCAATTCGGCGCCTAGGGTCGTGGGTTCGATTCACACACGACATAACTATTTGTGTGATTTTATTTATATAAAACGTCCCTTACAACACAGGATAATGATACCTACAGTAGAGGTGGACAGTGTTTTCGGAGATAAGACTACAAAAGATCTTTCTAGGTCGCTGTGCCGTTGCGACTTATTACCCAACCCCAGACGAAATACAAATACAAAAGTGCCGAGAGTGGCACTAAAAATTTAAATTATACTTTCAGGTCGTAGGTGTTGCTAGCGTGGGCGTGCGAGGCGTGGTCGGAAATAGTGCGCCATCACAGCTGTACTACGAGGTGCCCCGCGGCACCACGCACCCGCTGCCGCAGCACCAAACGCAACAGAACCAAACGCAGCACCAAACGCAGCACCAAACGCAGCACCAGATCCAGCACCAGGTTCAACATGCGCCCCAGATTCAAGTGCAACACGCGGTGCAACATCAGACTCAGATTCAGACCCTGTCACGCCCCCTAACGCCGTACAATCACACGCAGCCTTCTGTACAAGGTTCGTAAATTAATATGTAAACAAAAATTATCTTGTTCAAAACTATTGTAATATATCTTTTCTAATCAACTATTTTGACTGCGCAAACTTAAATGCACTCGAGTGAAGTTGGCTCCACGAGTTCTGTGCATGTATCATGAAAAAAGAGAGTTATCGCTTATTAAAAGTACCCAATATCTAGAAAATTTAGCTCATACTTCTTGAAGTCTCTATGGTTCACAATAAACATATATATTGGTTACAGATTAATTGTTACTTTGTAAAAAGCCATGATAACTAATATTTATTTTTAAATATTATAAAATTATGAACTTACGGTGCTAGGGCCACGCAGCAGCCTCGGCTGTTGCTCGAATGGGCAGGTTCGTCCGGGTTAGTACCACGACCTCGCAGAAGACCGGCGTAAAGTGGAAGTATAATACTTTCGCGTTTGATCTGTTGAGTGAGGTGGCCGGAGCCCAATTTTCAAAAGGTTGTCAACGCATCTGGAACCCTCGGGCGTAGCAGATGTCCATGGACGGCGGTATTTACTTAACATCAGGTGAACCGTCTGCTCGCTTAACAACTTTTCACATAAACTAACTATAATCTTAACCTTAATAACTATAAGCATCCTTATAAACCCGCAAAACTCTTTCCACCAAAGACGTATTTTGAAAAAGAATATAAATAATTTAATATTTTTAATATTTTTTCCTCATTCATAAAGACTGTATTGTTAATTATAAGAAACTAATACTATGTGAAACCTTAAAGTATAGGAAGTTTAATATAATTCTTCCTATAACTATATTTATCCTCCACAGTAAGTGTTGTCAACACAATTCAAACACTAAGCGAAAACCGACAAATGCCTACATCCATCGCCACATCATCTGTGCTGCCAAGACCATCCATATTGAGGAAACGAGAAATTGATGGGTATGAGCTCTTATTTTTTTTAATTTGCTACAAACAGAAGGAAGCTATTATGATAATTTGTTACACATTATAAATGAGGTTATTCTTTTTATCGCGAAACAAAATCGCGTGGACGCCGAAAAGCGTTAGTAACTTTGCGAATGAAAATTAAAAATAAACGACAAAATCCGTAGTAATAAAAAATTGTTTGTTTTAGAAGGCTAACAATTTTAATTAGCTAATTTTTTCTCAAGGCAAAAATTTATCATAACAAGCTTTTTTTTTGTTTTTTATGGGGCTAACTAGAGTTGACCACGTAGAAAAATAAATTAGGCTCATTGCGTAAGATCAGTTTATTAGTATTTATAGGGCCCACTTACTTGTTTGCCTCTTTTTCCATTTTCTCTCATTTAAACTTGCTCAACATCTCATTTAGCCGCGGGTCTAAGTGGCCATCCAAACTAGTTTCACTAAATATAGCATTTTATATATTTAGCCACCGTTTCGTAATAAGGTTCCTCTAACGTAGAAGAAACAGGCGAAAGTAACTCCGTAGGATCCTATTTTTTGGGGCCGCGCGTGTGCTCACGCGTGCGTTTACCATGGCATGTCATCTAAGGGCCGTCGAGGTTGCGATGCGGACCGGGACCCCGATGGCCGTCGCCTGCGTTTTCAGCCTGGGCCACCAGGCTGGGGGCGGTGAGAGCCGCCCGGGAATCGCACACTACCGCAAACTGCTTACTCCCTACCAGGTCGCCGTCGAAGCTGATGGGGGGCGCGGGCGGTGCATACAGGGAGCCGTCCGCGGCGCCCGGCTGGGAGGACGTGCCGGCGGGCGCGCCCGGGCCCGGCTCCGGCTCCACCACCATGTCGGCCGCCTCGTCGCCCCATCACGAGGAGCCGGAGACGCCGCGCGCGCCCGACCTCTCGCCCAGGAAGAAGCCGAGGAAGCAAATGTAAGCCGCCGCTGAGGTTCTCCCTTTGAGAGCGATGTCTGTACCGCAGAGTAACTTTTTATTTAATTTTATTAAGACATTCAAACAAATGTACAAAAATTGATATAAACATTAACATATTACACATCAATGTGTACATTCAACACTGTATACCCAAAGTTATGTATAGCTATAACGTAATGTAATGGTAACAAACCAAAGTAACGGTTGAGACTTTGCAAAATATAACTACATAGTATAAAACAAAGTCGTCCCGCTATCTTTCTGTACTAGGTATGCTTAGATCTTTAAAAGTACGCCACGGATCTTGATACGGTTTTTTTACTAGATAGAGTGATTCACGAGGAAGGTTTATATGCGAAGCCGAGGCGGGTCGCTAGTGAGTAATAAACAGCATTATGTGACAAAACACAAATTTAACATGAGAGCAATGCATGGGGTTAATTGTTGAATGAGTTATTGATTATGATTAAAACATGTAGAAAAAGTACGAAAAGATTGTCGCCGCTGTGGTAATCGAATCCATGTCTTCGGCATTCGCGGCCTGACGCAAATCTTAACGTCTTTACTCTACCTTGTTATTTAGCGTTTGAAGCAATGCTTGGCGCATCTATTGTTATATCCTTTCCAGCATACAAACAATTTCGAATATCGTTTTACAACAATAATTCGAAAGTTTTAATTTTAAAGTTTTTTATAGTGCTAATCTCTGAACTTAAGATTGAACATTAAAACATGTAGAAAAAGTACGAAAAGATTGTCGCCGCTGTGGTAATCGAACCCATGTCTTCGGCATTCGCGGCCTGACACTCTAGCCACTGAGCTAAACGGCTGATAGCCACAGCGACGATGCTTCTGAGAAATAGATATGGAAAACTAGGCTTTCCACTATATTATCCCATAAGGAGGATGGAATTAATTTCCCTGTTAGTTAGTACTTTTAATGCATTTAAAAACATTTTGGTCTTGTTATTAAAATATAAAAAAAGAGAAACAATTAAAATATGTAGAAAATTTCTAAAAAGACAAACAAATCAAAATATTGGAAAATGTGCAAAATTTGAATAATAAATAGCAGTTATTGTCTTCTTTCTTATTAAATTAAAATGTGGCTCACTTATTACTAAAATGAACGACTATGATAGAGGAATAGCATAAGAAATAGTAGGTTAAATGGTGTTGTTTACATACACATTAAATAAGTAATTTTGCAGGTTAAGTAATGAAGTGAGACAATGCGAGTTTACTACGGAAGATGCACCTCCGACGCCGCCACCGCCCGTAAATCCCCTACCTAAACGTGAGTAAAATCATCAAAATGTCTTTATTTCTCATTTATTTATGATGTTATCTTTATTTCTGATATTATCTGTGGAAATAATCCCTGTGTCAATTCACACCGGGCGACTTATATTATCAAACATTAATACAACTATTTATGGGTAATGTAATTTATTATCTGCCTGAGAATTGAATGAATCGCGTTCGACGCAATGACAATCAACAATTGAGGTATTGCGCCAGAGTGCAACAAGTCTTCCAATGGGGGAACCCATGTTGTTTAGGCCCCCAGCTCAGTTCCAGCTACGTGTGCGGTTGGAGAGGCACGGCGTTGCACTTTGTTAGGCCGGCGGACGTCCGAAGGCGCGAGCCAAGGGCAAGGGACATCCTCGCCATCGCCAGCCAGCGGCACGTGCTCACCAGCGCTGAAGGCTGGAAGGTGCACCATCTCACCGCTCAGATGGACGACTTGGTAACTATAATATATAACTTCCTGTTACTTTACTTCTAGGAGGTTATAATTATATTATACAGCGTGTCGTTACCATCGCGACAATAAATGAACACACATCTAACGCTACGTGCCAATAATCATAAAAAAATATTAACGTTAAACAAAATCCATGATTAAAAAAAAATATTTTTCAAACAAACTAATTGAGTAAAAAAGAAACAAAATTTGTAACATCCTATACAACTCGCGCCACAGCGTCGTATTACAAGCCTCTCCTTCTAACAGTATGTTTTGTCTCTTTTAAATTCATTCAACCCATTCATATGCTTTGTGACCTTTACAAATGAACTTTACGTTACGCTTTTATAGGTAAAGGTGTTTTAAAATTCTTTGTTTTGGAAATTTTATAACTCTGTAAATATTGATGTTTAAAGAATTTAAATGTTTAATACAACTTTAAAAACTTATCCCCTATATATGTGTTCATTTATTGTCGCGATGGTAACGACACGCTGTATAAATATATAATAACCTCCTATAAGTAAAGTAAAAGCCTATAAATGTCCCACTGCTGGCCAAAGGTCTCTGTACAGTGGGTATTAGGTCATAGTCCACTATGCGACCCCAGTGATGATTAGCAGTACGGCAGACATTCTTATTTAGAAAATGTGCAGGTTTGCATCACAGAGCATGTGATAAGTCAGCACTTAAAATTGCAATTAACTATTTCATTGGTGTCGGCCCTCAGGTAAACTCAGCCTGCTCGAGTATATTGAAATGAAATGCGAGAGCCTGGACACAGCTATTCTCCTATACACTAAATTAATTTCTTTTTAAATATGAAGGGCTTTGTAATGTTGTTTCTGTGCATTAAAAACTATCACATTCCAACATAATCTTAGTGTGGTAGCTAGCCATTTCGCGTTTTATAATGACAATAAATTTCAATGTCACGTTTTTAGGTCTCCTTGGAAGCAGATGTCGGTGAACAGCTAGCAGGAGTGTTGAGAGCTCTTGAAAATGCCTCCGGTCGTGCTTTAACGGCAATACAGCCGCATTCTCATACATTATTAGAACTTATAAAGGTATGTTATCAAAGCAAAACTATAAAAGTACAAAGAAAACACATATAACATGTTTATATGAATTTTCATTATATATTTGTTAAAGTTTTATATAAAATCTTCATAAAAATTTAATGTATTCAATGTACTTACTGGTTTCGTCATTTACGGGATAACTTTTTTATTGGATATTTTTTTTAAATGTTGTAAATTGTGTAAATTCTTTGCAGGGTAACATTCAACGAAGCAAGATTGTTTGCGAAGGCATACAAGAAGCTCGTGAGGATATCCTTCGAGTATTTAAACATAGAAACTTTGTGTCGGACATTTTGACTAGGCAAGCTGATAAACGGTGTTTTAGGAAACACCGTTCACAGTCGTAGCAAATGATACAGTGCTGTTAATAACTTGCCACAGAGTAAACTACTCCCAACAAAGCAATTTGGGACTAATATGGGAATAAAACCATTTATAATTTGTACATAGTGTAAAAAGTGTTAAAAGTAAATTTTATATTTGTTTAACTATGAAAGGAATTACCTTGAATGTGTTGTGTTTAGTGAGTAATTAACTTTATGCTAATAATAAAAAACAATTAATGACCTTTTTTGTGTTATTTGATTTTTAAATTTTAATGGCGATGCATAATGCTCGAAACCATCGCTTTACAAAATTGTAATAATGAATAAACGAAGACAATTAATTAATGACGATTAAAACAATGAGGTAATGTCTACGAAAATAATCAATTTACAAAAAATAATCAGTACCATAGTTAACTAAACTAAGTCCCGTACCTATTTAATTACTTTACTAGCAATCTATCGAACCTAGAAACGTTATTAAATAACACCACGTAAGATATTCTTAGGTATACAGCGTGTCGTTACCATCGCGACAGTAAATTAACACACGTCTAACGCTACTTGCCAATAATCATAAAAAAAATATTAACGTTAAAAGAAATCCAGAGTTAAAAAAAAATATTTTTCAAACAAACTAATTAAGAAAAAGAGAAACAAAATTTGTAACACCTATACAACTACAACTGACTGATTCATACATTCGTTGCCGCAGCGTCGCATTACAAGCCTCTCCTTCTAAAAGTATGTTTTGTCTCTTTTAAATTCATTCAAACCATTCATATGCTTTGTGACCTTTACAAATGAACTTTACGTTACAGTTTTATACGTAAGGATATTCTAAAATTCTTTGTTTTGGAAAATTTAATAACTCTGTAAATATTGACGTTAAAGAATGTAGATTTTTGATACAATTTTAAAAAGTTATCCTCTATATGTGTGTTCATTTATTGTCGTGTTGGTAACGACACGCTGTATAGTATAGGTTTCGTATCAGGGATCTCGCACGTTCGCCGTTGACTGCCCTGAGCCATATATGCGTTTGTTAATATCGACGGACGTTAACTCTATCTGGCTTCTGTCAGATTTCTAAATATTAATGACTGTCTCTGTTTTAATCAGATATACAGGAGGTTTTTCTAAGTGTATCCATTTATTTAATTTAAATTCTAGACATAAAAAATGAGAAATATATCAGATCACTCGTAATTAATTAATTACTTTCATTTGAACTTATCTCAAAAAGCGCGTGATTAATGGGCAACTCATTTATTTTACGCGCGATCATTCATAACTTAAACGCATCCTATCCTATGTGAATTTGGCCACGTATAGAAAAGCCATCCTGTATAAAAGTACTCTTTGGTCATAATGACTATGCTTGCCTCTGTCAATCTTTTAAGTATTATTCATAGATAACCTATCTAAGATAAAACTCGACCCAGAGCGCGGAGTGAGACCTGCCGCATGAACCTTATTATTCGCGAGACGCTGTCTATCTCTTGCAACAGATCTATGCGCATGATTTGCAGGATGCTTTTCCTAATATTAGGTCCTTACATATAAAATTAGTTTTGTCATACTGACCACATTGATCTGAAATATCTCCTTTTTGGTTAAGACTTCCAAATTCAAATTTATAAATTCATTCCATACCGCACAATGGAAAACACGAAAAATTTCCGTGCAAAAAAAACAGCAAATTTCTGGAGGGCTTATATGGGCTTTCTTCAAATGTCTATCAATTAGTGGACATCTGATAGCTGAAATTATACAGGGAGGCTTTTCTAGGTGTATCCATTTTTTTATTGAATTATAGACATAAATAATGTTATATAAAAAATGATAAGTATTTAAAATCACTCGTAATTAATTAAATACATTCATTTGAACTTATCTCAAAAAGCCACCCTGTATAGATGATAAAGGTAAAAATAAATATAACTTTGCGTGTGTAATTTTCCAAAACATTCATAATTCGTTACAAATAACACAAATGTAGTAGTTTATAGTTCAAAGAATGAACTTGAATCGTGGTTTCATAAAAGCGCACAATGTTTTTTTTTAAACAATGTTCATGAAATATGTAACTTAGCGGTTTTGATGTCTTGTCAAGCGGCTAACTGAATGGATTAGAGGTACGATCAGATGAACGAATGTAACAAGCCTGGCCAATTAGGTATTTAAAGGTGACTTCTGAAAAGCTTATAAATTATTCTAAATATGTACGGATCAGGTTATGTTCTTATGTTATAGTGAAAAAATATATCGATATTTTCTCTGTTAATATCGATACATCAGTTAAAAATATCGGTATATTTAATAAAAAATATCGATATATCGATACTTTTTCGGCATCCCTAGTGATAATTTTGGAAAAGCAAAATTCTGTTATAGTTAGAGATGCCGGAAGTCGAAAAAAAATCGACATATCGGTCAAATTTATTTAGTTCAGTCTGATTCAATTATAAGCAATAGTAATTTTTATACCAAATTCACATTTTAATTAATGAGAAATTTTAATTATTTATTAATTTTAATGAAATTTCTTTTATTAATCTAAATTTCTACTTATAATATTTATCAAGATATTTATTAGAATATTTATCATCCTTCATTGGAAAAAAACAAACAGCTTATTTAGTAAGAATAATCAGTTTCCTTAGCCTTGAATCAAATAAAAAATAACTAATAAAAAACATGTAACTTTGTAAAAAACATTATAAACGGTCAGAAAGAAACCTGCAGGGACGTGTCAAGACCGGCCTAGATCAGCAGAATTTATTAATAGTTGTTTGATTGACATGAAAATGCTGAACAACAATTTAAAAAAGTTACATATGTGGTTAAATAATAATAATTTTTATGATGTCAATTTTTTTTTAATGAAAACTCGATATTATATTATACGACATTATCATCAAATATCGCTTTTGATACGATTTCGGTATTCAATTTTTTATATCGATGTATCGGATTAAAATGTATCGGCTAAAAATATCGATATATTTTTAAAAAAGTATCGATATATCGTTATTTTTTCGGTATCCATCATGTACATATGTCTTATCTATGGTATTTTAGTCTTATATTATGGTTTAGTAGATCTTATGGTATTTCAGTATAAATGTCTTATCTATGGTATCCATCCTACCTATCATAGGTCAATTATGAAATTGTGAATCTGAATTGTGAAGTCAAAACAATTTTAACCTTAATTTAATTCTTTATTAATTTGTATCTTAACGGAGCTTCTTGAACTTTCTATCAGACGAAGAAAGCGACCGAAGTATAATGGCTACTAGTCGTTTGGAAAGAATTGGCACAATATTCTCCAGGTTTGTCCGTTTATTTTTTTTTAATTTTTTTCTATTAAGGATAATTAAAAAAATATAAAAACGCGGTAAATTTTTATGGCGCGAAAAGTTTTCATTGTCTCCGTTATCCCAAGCTAGGTTCACATTTTTATTTATTAAAATAAACTTGTGTTATCATCATTAAATTAAAATGTCTTTGTTAAAAAAGTCTACAAAATCTAAATTTATGCCAGATGATTTAAGTGATTTTATTAATGAATCACAGTTTCTAAAAGATTCTCCTAAAAACAAAAAGGTACAGAAGCGCCAAAGACCTGAAATAGTTGAAGAAAGCCATTCTAATGCAATAAACTCAAATATATTAGGTTCCAAAAAGAAGAAAATCGATGGGAGTATCGAGATTTGCAGAGAATCGCGACAAAAACTACTTAATGTTATGACCCATCAAATCGAGGCAAGGTAAGGAGAACCCAAATATTTCATTTAAAAAATGATATATTATTATTATATTGAAGAAATATACCATTAAATAATTTTATTCAAATTTTATGTTTTAGGAAACAAACTAATGAAAATTTACTGAAAAGTTTATCAGAGGTTGTTACTCATTTAGAGTCCGATTATAATGCCTTAAAGGACAATGAACAAAAATTAGAACAACTTACCGGAGCATTTATAAAGTGCATTCAGCAGGCTACCAATGCACATAAACAGAAGTTGAAAGCTTTGAAGGAAATCCAGACATCATTTAAGAAAGAGTGAAGTTTTCAGTGAAGAATCAGCATGTTTAACTTTTTATTTTTGAAAGTATTAAAAATGTTTTTTTTTTACAGATGTGAGGAGATGGAGACAGATCATAGACTAGAAACTGATAAATTAGGAGAAGAATTGGAAGAAGACATAAGAAAGTTGCAACAAAAACTTGTTTCTGATACTAAACGAAATGGCTGGGAAACATTGCGTAGAACCATCTTTCAAGCAATGCAAAATGATTTTTAAATTGTTACAAATAGTTAAATTTGTATCAATTGTTTATGTGATTAAATTTTTTTACTCTTACAGTAGTTTTAATTTACCACAAAAAAATTCTTTGACCCCTTTATTTTTTACTACCAACTTTACTATATTTATCAGAAGCTCAAATTTGTTGGCCTAACCTAAACATTATGTACGTATATATTAATGATTTGAATGAAAAATATGGATTTTAAATTTGGTGTAATTATGTGAATATAAATTTTTGCTGACAGTTGTGTTTTAAATATAGATTATTTCCTATTTAATAAATTATTTATGAATATTTTTATTTTCAGTGCTAGTCAGCACTCAAAATAAAGCTCAGTATGTAAATTGTCAAATAAGATTTTAAAGTGTCCGCTTAAGCCTTGGTGACACTGCAAGTATTCACTGCAAATAATACTTGCAGTGACAATTCATTCTCCTGCCTGTCACACACAGCAACTTCTACGAAACGAAAACGAAAATGTCTACAATCTGTTGGTGCTCCAAATACGTTACCAACCTGTAGTACAGGCAAATAGTCCGGAGCGGCGCATTGCGCAATCGCAGAGAAAAGATTAAACATGCTATATATAGCCTATCACATTTTACAGACAAGCGCTTCTGAGAGATCAAGAGTTTACTGCAGTTTAGCTCATTAGGTTGTGACAAGCGTTGCTAGACATGCAAAAGAAAGTAGTTATCGAAGATTTTTGCGCGTTAGGATTTGACGTCATCCGCCTCACAGAAGTACCACAACCTCACAGAAGTACCACAACCTCACAGAAGTACCACAACCTCACAGAAGTACCACAACCTCACAGAAGTACCACAACCTCACAGAAGTACCACAACCTCACAGAAGTACCACAACCTCACAGAAGTACCACAACCTCACAGAAGTACCACAACCTCACAGAAGACCGGCGTGAAGTAGAAGTAGGTATTATACTTCTGCGTTTGGTCTGGTGAGTTAGGTAGCCGAGGCCCATTTTATTAGATTGTGGCAACACATCTGCAATCCTTTTATTTCTCACATGACAGGGCTGTTGTATTCGTACCCACTAAAACTCCCTTTGTACTTCGCATGAGCACGCCTCGAAGAAGGATAATTCTTCCCCAATTTCCTCGCCATTTTGCAACATCTCGAGACCACTTCGAACTGCTGCCAATCCGTGTCCCCGTTTAGTCGCCTTTTACGACAGGCAAGGTATAAATTAGCCCTATTCTATGTGCCCGAGACTACAGGCCTGGCATTTGCAACCCTATGGCAAATGCAAATAAAATACAGCTCTGTACTCAATTTAGCAATCTTTTCCTTCATAATGTCTTATGTTGGGTGATGCGCACAGCCGATGGTGTGGAGTTCGTTGTGACTTCATCCTCATCTTTGCTGATCGCAACAGGCTGAGTTTTGCGTTTCGGAGCATCTGTGGTCGCGTCGTGCGTCGCTGCCACTCTGCTGTTACCGCGTATTATTCGAGTCGCGCAATTGGCTAGCCGGTATAGCGGCTAAACAATCGAGGCGGTGGAATTCTACATTGCATCATAACATAATGATCATCATCATTTAACCTTTTGTAAAAAACGTTTTACACATATGAATTATTATCCAATAACCTTCACCAAGGATCGGCACTAATAAAAATTTGTCTTTCGTGATATTGTTGATACGAGTGTAGGCATAAGATTACTCTAATATCCACTTTTGAATCCTGTGTAGTAATCCAAGGATATAATTTATTAAAACAGCTTTTATTTTTTATCTTCACAGAGTCGAAGGACTTCTTACACGTGGAGCCATGAAGCCAGATGATAGGCCGCTTTGGTTCGACGTGTACAAAGCTTTTCCGCCTATTGAAGAACCCAAGTTTGCAAGGCCGAAACCTGAAGCAAAACCTATTAGAGAAATTTTGTACAAAGAAGATATCGTGAGAGCGTAAGTAATCATGTGTATATCTATTCATAATCTTCAGTCATATTTAAAATTCTACATAATTACGACCTAGTAGTGTTCTCTCTGGGGTTAATAAACGGTAAAAGTATATCAAATACTTCTATAGGTTTATTTTTTTCTTTATTTATGCTTTTTGCAAAACCTTAAAAAAAAACATACACACATAATGCCATTTGGGCATTCTCTCCCACTCAACCCAGGGCGCGGAGAGAAATTGTCGTAGTGCACCTACGACAATTAATAAGCTAAAAAAAGGATTAAAAAAAGCTGAAAAAAAGGTTCCATAGTAAACAAAAATTTGTGTTATCAAATGTTTGTTTTATCTACTAATGCGTAAATTATACATTGTATTATTTATCTATATTTTAATTTTATTTTTGTTATAGAAAGTTTCATGTTGCGGGACACGGCATAGGAATCAATATGTTATCACAAGTCGGAGAGACACAAATTAAAAGATTAATTCAACAATACGAAAAATTGAAATCTGAAAATGTACCTGAAAATAACCTCATCGAAAAATCAGTTGCCGCTGTTTCTGCGGAACGTCAGTTAGAAAACAATACGATTACTCCCAAAAACGCAGATTCCGTTACAGCTCAAGTCTTGGCTGGAGCAGATTTAAAAAATATTTTCAAAGAATAAAAAATTTACAATAAAAGTGTGTGTGAACATAATTAATTAATTAGCTAGAAATGAAGTTTTTATTGAACTACAGTACTACCAATAAATTATTGTTAGAATAATTCCGTTTAATTTTGTAGATTAAACAATTCCTTGTTTAAGTTATGTTAAGTTATTCGAAAGCTGTTGTGGGTTAAGTAGTCGGGTAAACGTCAATTCGCGATCTGGTATCGTGGGTTTAAGTTTCAGTAGAGTATCTAAATGGAAACTCAATAGTCTTACGTTTTTGAATTTCTTATAGGCCAGGATCATTGTTTTACATTTGTTGCAATAACCACCCGTCATATAATTACGCCTACTAGGCGTAGTTGTAGCACGGGTTGGAAATCGGGCCGATTTGAGTACCGTAAAGAGAATAATGAAACAACGATACAGATCAAAAAATAAACATTCGCCAATGACAGTAATACTGAATTGAACTTTGTATTTGGTTGTTTAAACAATAAGTGCATTTTCTCATAGCTAGGGCAAACCTAGCGTTTAAAAAGATACTTATTTGCAAATTCTCTTTTATTTAAAATTATTTTCAGTCTAATTTATTATCTCCTGATCATTACAATTTTATTAACCAACATAATATACTGGGTCATACAATTTACCTGTTTAATTTCAAAAAATGTTTATCAAGAATTTAATGTTATTAGTTTATTACAGAGGTAATGAATTTGGAGATCGTATAGTCATTGTATGGTTGTCTAATTTAGTCCAGAAAAGCAAGTTGGTAATGTTATGAGTCAAGTCGGTCTTTTTCCAATTCCGATAGTTCTACGTATTGTAGGAAGCACTGGCAGTGGATTATAAGTTTAGTTTGACCAAGTTTAGAAGGTAACCGTCCAGGTTCGTTGTCAAGTCTTATCTCCATTGCCAGTGTCACATGTAAGAGCAGTACTAGTCCTGGAACAAGTTCGAACTCTAAGGTACGCTTTTGAGTCGTAATTTTATCAATCGGTCCTTTCGTTTTGGAGATATGCAATTATGTATCGGCAAGTCGGAAAGGACGATGTAATCAGAATTCAGAGTTGCTACTTTTTGTCTTGAATTCCTTACATTTAGTTAAACCGTAGGCTTGTTTTTTGTAATTTATTTTAAAACATTGCCTTTACTTTAGGATAACATTTTCCTGTGTTTTAAGGACGTTTTACAAAGATAAATGACATGCGGACAAACTATCTATGGGTCACACAAACAGTTGTCCCGTGTGGGAATCGAACCCACGGCCCACGACGCCGAAGCCAATACCTTGGCAACTGCGCTACGGAGTCATCAATTGAAATCAATGTCATCAAGACAAATGTTATATACTAAAATAGCATAAGGCATTTGGTTAACAGTTGGTTCGATCTTTCTGTCCAGTTTTAGTATGCGCTACCTGCGTATACTAAATACTTCTTGTAATTTGGAATAAAACCTCTTAATGATGGCGTTATCATTCAGTGAGTTGTGTAGAGTCTCATAGATAATTATTTTATGTCATCTTACAAATTTAGCAAATAGATGGTTTTTGAATTCAGCACCATTATCTGTTACTATAGTTAAAAGTGTGAAAAGTATCAGCAATCCGTGTAAGATGTTACACTTCCGTCTCTTAAATGGTAAAGCCTGCCAATACTTTGTAAAAGAGTCTACAAAGGTCAGGTAATACACTTTGGTTTAATATGATTTCTGTTATACTACAGACCAAAAACTGGCCATTCCTTTATGTACTTTGCGATCTCCTCTCTCATTTTAGGCCAATAATTACGACGAAATAACACAAAGTAACATTCGTGATTCCCTGTGATTTGTTTTTCCTTCGTGATAAAGTTTAATGACCTTTTCTTTTCATAAGTATTCCTTTACATCTAGCTCAGTTATACCTGAGATAAAATATCATATCCATGCACAATTCAATAATGACTAATTATTCATTTAAAAAAAATGGGTACAATGTTTTAATGCCTAAGTACAGTACTCAGACCAAACCTTTATTAGTAATCACTATCTTATCTATGAGAGATAAAGCTGTGCTAAAAACACACCTGAAGTTCTTGTGTCGCAGCGGATAGCTAAGTTTTTATGAAAATTACGTTTTCCAGTGCCTAAATAAGATTTAAAATGGGTTTCAAGAAATCTTGGATGTTTTACCTTGCAGTCATATTCGGTGAGTATTATCACCTTTACACATAATATATCTTAACATTTCAAATTGTTTTTTTTTTACCTTTCAATTAAATACAACATACCCAGTCACTCCCTGCTTACTATTACTATTTGCTGCAATACCTGCATATAAGTCATAAAATTTTCAGTTGATTTCATATATATTTCAAGTTTCTCGTGCGATGTTTCATAATAATTGCTATTTATTTTACTTGCACGTGCCTATTATAAATGGCGATAAGTATTGTAATGCTTGAATTATTCACAATATTTTCGTTGAAATATATGTATATATATGTCGTTGAAATATAGGTATATATAGATTTTTTTAAATAAGTTTTCTAGATCTAATATATTCTAAACCAGTTTTTTTTCTATTTGCAGTCATATTAAGTACCCTGGCTCAAGAAGCGGAAGCCCGAAGAAAAATATTAAGGGGTAGGCGTGTCATGACCAGGACGTACTACCGTGAGTCATATTAATTTATCATGCGCTTACTAATGTTTCTGAAAATCCACTCTGCTTTTTTTTAGCGTGCCGTCATATTTCACGCTTTCAACTATCTTCGTTTTAGTTTTTTTATGGTTCCGTACCCAAAAGGCAAGACGGGACCCCATTACTAAGACTCCGCTGTCTGTCTGTCACCATGCTGTATCTAATGAATATGATGATGTATTTCTGTTGCCGCACATAAGAACAAAATACTAAAAACAGAATAAAAAAAATTTTGTATGGGGAAATTCAAGTGGGGGCTCCCCACTTGAATTTCCCCATACAAAAAATATGATTTTTGCCGTTTATAAAGATAATGTACGGAACCCTTCGTGCGCTAGACCAAATTGCACTTTGCGGTTTTTTTATATGAGAAGGTGGAAAGCGAGCTGGCTTTACACCTGTTGTTAAGTGATAACCGCCGCCCATGGACATTTGCAACAACCGTAATGTTGCAGATGTGTTGCCCTTTTAATAAAGATCAAAATAATTTGCTAATTCTTAAAACCTATAAAAGATACCTAGTTCATCTGATCATTGATGTTAAGCGATTGTTGCAACCAATCGATGAATGCTATGTCTGTATATTTAGAAGCAAACTTTTAGAAGCCCACGCCTAGGATATCACCTACCATAAACTCTCACCACATCCTGGGTTGACTGGTAGAAGTCCCCAAAGAGAATGTAATCACTACCTTTAGGAATCATTGTAATCACTGGTGGAAGTCCCTGTGGGCAATTGGGTCCGCCATTTGTTACCTCGTTTTACTTACGGTCGGCAAAAATGATTAAATAAATAAATACTTCAAGTACCCAACTAGATACAAAAGCATGAATACTTCTACTTTACACGTATCTTTTGAGGTAGTGAAAATTCTCCGCACGAGCTGGACTACCTTGCAGCAGATGTAGCTTCTTCTGGTAATTATTAAACTTCGTGAACATGTTCAAGCACATAACTTGTAGGAAGGTTGAATTTTTATGTATTTGTACTTAAATAAAGGAACTGTCGGTTATGGGCCGTCGAGGCTCGGCATGCAACTGACATCGACGGTACTCGGTTATTCACTGGATGCGTTGAGAAACAACCGGAATTCGACTGTGGTTTGGTTAACGGTCACATTTTTGTTTGGGCCCGAACGCTGTTCAGAACATTCGATGCTCCCGTCTATTTCATTAACAATGTTATCATTTCACAGATGGCAATGCTGTGCCGGCGTGGGCTATAAGCTTAATGGCGGGGATAGGAATGTTACTTATTGGTGGTGTATTGTACATTGTCATGAGGAAAGTGGTACTTTCATCAGAGACAGGTTCACTTAATACATATCAACCAGCATTGCAACATGAAGATGTTTAATTAATTTTTTATCTTCTTTTTAAGGATTTTTAATATATTTAAAACAAAAATTAAACAAAAATTAATTATTTTAACCAATTAATAAGTTACATTTTTTGGTTAATCCCTAATTACAATTTTGTTACCGTAATATGTAGAAAATCGTTAAAATGCTATGCAACACAACTAAATGAGTATTGTCTGGTGTAATAAGAGTAAATTAAGTAAAAAGTAAAAGAAAACCAATAAAAACTTAAATTAAATCAGATGTAGTTATCTTTATTTCCACTTCCAATACATTATGATATTTCAAATTAAATCACTATAGCGAATATGTCAGTATGAGCGAAAATTTATTTACGAAAATTAACACATGTAGTTTAAAATTCTCGGCGATGATACTTGTCAGGGTCGTAGTACGATGTGACAACTACACGATTACTGAATTTTCGACCAGTAAGCGTTTGCTGCGCTTTTTGACAATCAGCAATACTGTTGAACTCAACAAATACCTGAAAATCCGAAATAAAAGTGAGGTTAATGACCAGCCCTATACTTTCGGCTAATAGAATAGGGCTAAGATAAGTAAGGCAGCAATATACATTATTAGTACATCTAACTAACCCAGCTAAAAGGGAAATAAGCAAATTTGAACAAAATGTTCAACATTGGGAATTATTATTAATGTAGTTTGATATTACAAAGTGGAAATCTACAAATTGCAAAACGCTATGAAAAACTTTGCAATCAATACTGTAAAAAAATATGAATTTTGGTAAACATTTTGCTATATTCATATAGCAGTAGTAATTTTTTTTTGGTTATTAGGTATTTTGTAATGTGTTCTTGAGGTATTTTACACCAAGTAAAAAATATACAAAGTAAAAATATGAGTTACTATTGACATAAAAATCAATGTTGTATACATGTCATATAATAAATGAGATATAAACAATGAAATCAAATGTACATTTTGGTTTTCCATGGGTAAATATTTGTTACCCGAGGCATTCTATTTATGCAACCTAGTGGTATTAAAATGTTATTACTATATTAAAGGATTAATTTCTTTTTTTTAAATTATTGATCACAGTCACTACCACTAAAATGATTAAGAATTTAGATTGATCATCAATTTGTCTTCAACCATTGTGAAAAATATACATCTTTTGATTATCATTTTATGCAATTATTCATTGAAGGATAAACTTGTATACATAATTAAAGATACAAATTTTTATTTCCATTATAACAGTGTGATGTGTTTTGTTCCTAACTACACAAAATAATTGTAAAGGGAAATACCTTTAATATGTTAAAGTATTTCTAGATGGCATAAAACATCATAATATGTAGAAATATAGTGAAATATTGTATGAAATAGTAAAGCAGGAAAAGTAAAAAAGAAAATATAATTCAATGTAAAATATTACCTTTCCACAACCTGGAACGTCAACACCCTCAAGTGGTCTGGGTATTTCAATGCTGCGCACACATCCATACTTATTGCACTCCTCCCTGTAATAGGCAAAATTAATAAGACATGAAAAAAAAGTGACTTTTTTTTAACTAAACTTCTCTAAGTTAGAACATACTTAATATCTTCGAGAATGTCCTCATATTCCTCTTCATCACGGAGCTCATCTGGTGTGACCATATTCAGGAGACACAGTACTTCAGTGGCTGGGCCAGCCCCAGCCAAAGTCAGACCGGCTACTTGCAGGGTCACTGGTGCTGCACCTGTCATAGCTGTTAACAAAAGCAATGTTAGTCTTTAATGAATAGCTGTGGTAAAATAGAAAATTAAAGTAGAAATAAAGTACAAAATTTCACATAAATAAACCGAATATACAGAAATACTACCTAATGTAGAATTCTTAGCTCCAATACTGGCTCGTTGAACAATCAGCTTCTTATCACCCAACTGCATTCCATTTAATCCAGCAATTGCCTATTAAGAGACAAATATAGCATAAATGTTGTCTTATTAAAACTTTAAAAGGAATTAAAATAAAACAGATCACCATTAAATTTACCTGATCCGTCATGGAAATATCCACATACTCAGCAAATGCATAGCCCTTGCTGAGACCAGTAGAGGAGTCTTTCACTAAATTGAAAGCACGAAGCTGACCAAATGACATCAGGAGTTCTTTAACCTGTTACAATCAAAATATATGAGTTTCACTTTTTACTCTCGCATAAACAGTTCATATATAATAAGAAATATTATATATTTACTATTTGCTTACACAATTGTTACGTTTGTATATGAATTACTGTTCCCGTTAACATTTCCTTAGTAAATTGCAGCGTGGATATAAATTAACGCAATCTGACCTGTGACTAGCTGCATGTTACAATCAGGTATGAATGGAGGAGACTTGCCTTGTATTGCCGACGTCTCATTCAAGTACAAGACGTATAGGTGAGAATGAGAGACAACAGTGACACGCGGGCCGCGAATGTGCCAAATCTATGCTAGGGAGGGGCAGAAAGCAAACTATCAGTGACTTCGTTTAAAATACATAGAGCGTGAAACGTACACGCTCATCCGTTATGAGGACCTGAAAATACCTGAAAGTGACCAAAATATAACGCGGTTCACTGCTTGCTGCACCATAGCCCTGTCAACTGTTGAATCTCTTCCTGAAAATGGCAGTGGCCTCTAAAATGTTTTTAATGGGAACTATGAACCCTAATTTGCCTAATCCTTCCTTTAATTTAGATTTGTAGCCTACTTTTCTACTATCAAAGAAATCGCACAAATTAATTAAAAATGTTTCGTCCCTAAATAAATTTTATATAATAGCTATGTTTTCAAGAGCAGTAACTATATTCAATAGTGTGAAAGCTTCATCATGGATGCTTGAACACATGATGATATTTGATCTGAAAAACATAATTTCTATAAAGTTTAAATGAACTTAAATGATTTTTCATAAAGGTAACAGGTATGAATTATTGACGTTTATATCTTTTAGTATCTCAAATTTGGTATGCCATAATGTAATGTTTGGGAAACATCAACAAAAATAAAATGTAGTAGATAAATACTATATACATGATAAATAAATGTCCTGTTATAGCGATTACTTATAAACATATGGCACTTACTTGATCTTCGTTAAGATAGTTGGGCAGACCACCAATAAATATTTTATGAGGTGAATCTGGTACAACCGTACTTATGACACCAGCTAGAAGAATATAAAAATAGTTTAATAACAAACATTTATACATAAATTTGTTAATTATAGATATGATTATGCACATACCCGGCACATTAATAGCAGGATTTTCTGTACCAGGCATAGGTTGATAATCATGAGGTCGTCGAATCTTCAAACTTTGGCCCTTGAAATTTATACCATCAAAAGCCATGGCTTGTGTAGTCTCATCAATGGATCTGAATTCGAGGAATGCAAAGTTTTTGTCCAAATTGATTTGACAAGCCAAAACAGGATTGCCTGCTGCCTGAGCTAATCCCGATAGATGCATTTGCTGGTTGAAAAATTCCATTGTTTCTTCTTCAGTCACTCCAAATGGTATGTTTCCGACGTACAATCGTCGCGCTTGTCTCGTTATAGTCGACCCGACGACAGGTACTGCTGCTTGTGGGGTATCCGCAACTATATTTGCTGGGATTTGACCGGCAGCCTGCATGGCTTTGTATTGTAACGGAGTAATATGTTCAAAACCGGGCGGCGGCACATCCCAGTACAGTGATGGCTTGCGACGGCGGGATCGTTTAGAGGGTGATCTGGATTTACTTCTTCTCTTCTCTCTTCGGTCTCTTGATCTAGATCTTGTTCGTCTTCGTTCTCTTGAACGGGATCTGCGTCGCCGATCTACGACGGGAAACATATTTACAGTGACAATCTATTTCGCAATAATTACTAAAATAAATACTTAATTAAACGAACCTTTATCCTCTCCCATGGTAGCGGCAATGAAAATTGAAGAACGAAACTTAACGATTTCCGTAAGCCTACACAACAACACACAGAAATCACAAAATGGCGTCCATTTCCATGTTTCCTGGGATGCCAAATGTGAAATAGCGATGTGCGACTCGAGTTATTTGATTCGAGTAACTCGAATCAAACCTTAAACGAGTCAACTCGAGTTCAGTTTTAAGCAACTCGAATGAACTCGATCGTCCGAACGCAAACCGGACGATAAACGCGGGGGCCTCACGAGTTGTTCCGAGTTACGCACGCGAAAGTTTCTTTTGTTTTTTGATTGACATTTTGTAATTTGATTTTATTAGTTGGCCGTTGGCGATCCGCGTGCGAACTGACATTTTTGATTTGTTAGTGATCTGTTTTGTTTTGTTTGTAACGACGTCAAATAACAGAAGTGTGGCGTGGGAATTTTTTGCTATAAAAACAAAAACTTTTTTAAACTTTATTTTCGGTAAGCAATCGACTATGTACAATTACATTTTATAAGTACGACTTTGAGGCGATAGATGGCGGTATTTTTTTGTCGTATTTTCTTAAACACGATGTTGAGATCTGCGCTGGAATAATATACACCTTTGTTGATTGAATCCGAAATAAATTGCACACTAGTGCCAATTGATTGTAAATTTTGTCTTTGAAATCCCAACCGTCGGACACTGTTCAAGGTCGAGGTGTATAGAAAAAGGAGAGGATTACTTCAGACCACAAACAAAGTTGTGAATCGACTCGAGTAGCCATATAACATCACGATTCAACATCATTATTACTTCCTATCTAATTAGCCTCGAGTCGTGCTGACTCGTGCTCTCCTAGTTGGCCGAGTCGTCGTTCGTTTGTGAAGAGTCTGAAAAAGACATTTTTAATTTGCAACTAAATTCATCATGTCGCTGTTTGGGTGTCGGTGTGCGCGCGCTTCGTAAAAATTTTAGTCTAATATTTTTTCCAAACGCGCTAAAAGAAGTATAACTTTTACATACTCGCCGTTACACACTGTCACACTGTTGCCTGGAAGAAGGCGAGATATCCTCCATCAGTGTCCCATCTCTTCCAGCTTAACTTTTGCATGCGCTCTTTCACCCCCTTTTGGAGTTCATAACATCTCCGTTGAGCAGATTAAACACCTTTGGCCGGTTGCTGTGTCCTGGTTGCTTCAATTGCTTAGCTCTTATGTTGAAACCTCCCAGATGCCTCGCATCTGGAAGTTTGACCTATGATTGAAGGTCATAGATAAAACCTAAGCCAGGGAAATCATTAGATGATGACCCCAAAATCTTCAGGCCTATCTCCCTACTGTGCCATACATATAAGCTTTTTGAACGACTTCTACTAACTCGCCTCACAAGCCTTCTTGGCCATTGTTGCAGTTGTACGCTAAGCTCGCGAGAGAAGACTAAGTTGGAAGAAGAACTGCGGCGCCCTGGCCAATCTGGAAGTCTTTAAATAGACTTCGGACACAGGTGGGCCGGAGCAAGGAAAATATATTGTTACGTGTTAGGGGTTCGAAGGATTTGGAGAGAAAGACCTGCTGACTCTTTTGAAGACTTTATTCAAGCACTAGGTCCAACACAAAGCACTAGGTCCAAACACTAAGCACTAACGATGTCCTATTTTGTAGCCAAGTCGTAGGTTTCACTGGTATCGCTCTTGATCACTAGTTTTCGCTCCGAAGTCGCCTCGAAGGTAGCTCAAACTGAACTGTGTTCGCTCGCCTCCCTGCGGCTTTTTATATGGGCCGAGACCGGTTCCGGACTAATCCAGAAAGATCCTTCCTGGAACGTACCCGACACGCGCGAACATGTTCGTGATTCCGGAAAGTTCGCGAATGTACTCGGTTTTCGAGACTATAGTTCTACAGCAGTTCCTCTAACGCCATCTAGTGTTGAATAGGGGTTTTTATGTCGTCTTTGTTCTTTAGTGGTTTTAATTGTTGACACTAGATGGCGTTAGTTCCTTTGTGTGTTCATAACAATATCTAGGTGGGGACTCTCAAAAAAACCCAGACCTAGATTGTGTTTGTGGAGCAGTGCAGATCATGGGTCCTGCCTGCTCTTTCACCGGTTCGTAGCAACATGGAGGCCATGAATTGTGCAGTCGAAGTGGCTAAGTTTTGGGCCAAAAAGTTTTAATTTGTCATATGAAAAGAAGAAGAAGATCCCTCTTTGGAGGTAGCACATCTCAGGCTATTTGCGTTAGTTAGTCCAGTATCAATCGAAAGCGCGAGCGACTTTAGTTTTCTTCTACAACAGCCTGAGTTTCGCGCGCAAATAGGCGAGCTTTTGCTCCACGATCTAGAAAAGTATCTGACGTCTGAAAAAATAAAGAGTTTATTATTTATTTAGAATTTAGCGTTTTTAGATCAGGATACAATGACTCACCATATGGCTTTGGAGAAGTCTGTTTAGACTGCGTGAAAAAGTAAAAGTAAAAAGATAGAAAGTACAGCCGTTGGATTGTCTATTAATTACCTTTGTGACGTTAACAATTACGGTTGTTCTTAAAATTCTCAATTTTATAATATTCACATTAAAATTGTAATAGGCAAAAAAAAAATCTTCAAAAGTCAATAATCAAACATTTTATTATCGTCTATTAATTACCTGGACGAACTACTGGGTTGTCAGGTGTAAACAGGTATGTCGGTATCAGATACTTTCATTGATTGGATAATATAAATAAATATATATTTTTGTTGTATATTGCAAGCCATGATAATATTTTCATATTATCTTGATGTTGTGACATTTCATGAAAAATCATTTTTTAAAAAATTATAAAAAAAAATATTCTGTCCAAGATTTTTTTAGGCAACCCAGTTTTAATGTATTTTATATTGTATTAAATTTATTATGAAATAAATTTTATTCTATAATCACCTCGGTGAAGGTCGATTTAGATTCGGATCTTCTATTATATAGATCACTTCGAGTGACTTAGAGCGCAGCGATGACCGAATTTTAGCTAACAGATTGGTTTTTATGCACTAATCACAAGTTTTATAAAAAAGGCTATGATATATAAATTTAAAAACAGGCCAAGTGCGAGTCATACTCATGGAGTCGTAAATATTTTTAGTTACGTTTTGATATATCGAAAACATTACACACGTGACTCGTGAATTGTGACATTTGACACGTTTGTATTGCATAGTCTGTAACGTAAATCGTAACTAAACTAGCGTGGAACTCTGTTTGTTTTTTAAATCTGAATCGTTTTCATATACCCTTATTATACTGATGTTGTAAAAGTGAAAGCCTGCTTGCTAAGTAGCCTGAATGAACTCTACAACACCACGTCGTACTGTATTTGAATTGCTCAATGGCCTCAGACGTTTTTCGGCTTATTAAGAACTGTGCTGTTAACTTTGGTAGCAATGGTGTGTTTCATTACTGATTCGTTCTATTTGAGTTGTTATTATTACTTGTTTGTTCTTTAGTGTACAATATAAACTTTTATTTATACTTTTCTTTACTAAAAATACCAGTTAATTATGTTATAAAAGTACATAAAATTTATATATATAAAAAATATTGAACGAAAATTATAAAAAAACGTGTTACTTTCAGGACCATTTAACAGAGGATGAACAGATGAGACATAGAAAGAATAACAATAATTATATGTCTAATGGATATAAACAGAAAGATGAAACAGAATACAAAAATAAAAAGGTTCCACCGAAAAAACCAAAAGTTGTTGCTCTAATCTTTATGTCACTTCTTTTGGATCTCTTAGCATTTACCATGATTTTGCCGCTTTTTCCTACTCTACTTGATTATTATGACAAAGAAGAGGGTAAAGGAAATTCCCTGTATGCATCATTGCTGTATGCTGTACATGGTTTTCAAAAGATGACAGGTGCACCTGATCGTTTTGCGTCTGTCTTGTTTGGCGGTGCTTTAGGATCTATGTATAGTTTCTTACAATTCTTAACAAGCCCTATAGTCGGGAGTCTCTCAGATGCATATGGAAGGAAACCAATGTTATTAATTTGCTTGGTAAGTACTTTGGTCTACAAATTATATGTTTTGCTTGACACTGGCTTCTATATAATTGTTTTTTTTTATATTAAAAACAATGAAACTTTTATACTTAATATAAAAAAGTATCCATATATAAGGTAGTGTACATTTTTCATGAAGAATCCATTAACATTTTTAAGCATGTCTTGAGCAATATTAACAATACAGAGTTCTGAATTTAATGAATAGTTACAGATTTCTAAAATTATGAAAACAATAGAGAACTATCCTGTACTATGCTAACCTATCAGTTCTTGAGATTAAATAAAGATTGTAATGATAAAGTTTTTCAAGTACATTTTGCTGATAAATAATAAGTGGTTGTTTTAAGTATAATAATATGTACCAAAATGGTAATTTATGAAATGTCTATTAATAAATTGTGTTACATTTAAAAAATAGATACATCTAGGTCACTATCACACAACCATATTAAATGCAATAAAATCTGTAAAAATAGATGTACTTAATTGTCATTGCATAAATGAAGAGTCTTATTAAATTTATTCTCTGTAATAAAATTATGATGATACCATCATAATTTTTAATATAAGTAATCATAATCTGCACTATTTTTTTTCTTACTTACAATATTTTTCCATTATGTAACAGATTAAAACGAACAAATAATTATAAAACTAACAGATTTTTTTTAGTAATTTATTCTAATCATGATTCATTATATCAAGGCAATATGTAGAAAACTAAAATTCAAATGCTGTTCAATTTGAAATCTTAGCATGTTAATTATATCCTTTTACAATTGATAATTATTGTTTCAGTATCGAGTTAATAAGAACTTATATTTCTAAATGTAAATACTTTTGATAAAAAGAGCATATCCATTTAAATTTTTTTAACTAATTTCGTAATCAGAAATGCTATTTGACATCTCAATATTATTTCATTACCTTCAATCCAAACATTCAATTTCAAGATTTTACTTGAATTAAAATTATTAATTTTCATGAGGTTAAAAAAGTAACCACAAGTAACCTGAGATGTGCCCCTTGTAAGCTTTCTCAACTAAAAATTTTGATTCATTTGAAAAAACTGTTTGTGAGATCTACTATTATAGCTATACAACTAATTTATGCTTGCATTTGTATTTGTGCACACATAAGCATTAAGAAAATTTACTTATGATATGGATTAATTTTCTAAGTTTTCTTGAAACATTTATATTTTTTAGTGTATGAATTTCTTTACAAATATTATATTTATAACCACCATATTAATTGACATAACAATACCAATTACAACAAGCTGAATGATTTGTGTAAGTTTTTAGTCTTATTCGCCCTTGTACCCTAAATTTTAAATTATCTTGTTTTATTTTAGATAGGAATTGCAATATCTCATGCTTTATGGAGTTGTGCGAGCACATTTAGCGTCTTTGTCTTGGCAAGGTTTATTGGAGGACTGAGCAAAGCAAATGTTAGCCTAAGCATGGCAGTTGTTACAGACGCTTCTGATGAGAAGACTAGAGCACGAGGAATGGTAATAACGTTTTTTAATCAAATAAATATTGCTTCTTATAATAGATAAAGTAAACAACATTTTTAAACAGACATAATCATATGCAGTACTTTTGAAAGTTACTTTTGGCAGTGATTTTTTAAAGTTACCACACTATTTATTAACTTTAGCTATTGAAAGAGGATTGATATAAATCTAATGTAATTTTTTTGAGCTTGAAGGCATTATTATATAGGGTCTCTACTTTAAAACGGTTATAGAATAATAATAGCTTTGAGTTGAACAGTGTATATTGTAAAAGTCGCGGACTACTGTTGGATGCAAATGGCGATCTATGTTCGTTATGGTGTTCTAAGGGGGAGGCTTATGTTGAACAGTGGGTGTCTTACTGCTGATAATGATGGTGATGGTGAAACAGACTTTGGGACGAATAATGCGATTTTTCCATAACATAGTTTTGTTTTATTTGTCTGTTTTGAATCCAATAAAACATGTCACGCAGGCCGGTCAAACATGTTTTTCATTTAACTGCTGCTGCATTTCTCTCAAGAGTGATCCAACCTGTTATTTTATTGGTCACATGCATTCGTAAGATTAAAAACGTGTTTGTTACTCATTTTACAAATATTATGATAAAAAGACCTGTTTTCAGTCTTCACTTTTATTTTTTTATATAAGCTTGCACATCCAGTATAGTAGTAAATCTAACAACTTTTTTTTCCGTAAAGAAACCTAATTATTATTGCTGTTTCTCTGGATTAGAAACTTTTCATTAATGGTAAAAAAATATATAACAGAATTACAAACGTCAAAAATTAGATTAATTTACGGAGGGCAGGCTCGTCCTGGTAAGTACCAAGACCTCACAGAAGACCGGCGTAAAGTGGAAGTATAATACTTTCGGGTTTCGTCTAGTGGGTGAACTCACCCACCAGATCCGGCTACCTAGCCGGAGGCCAATTTTCAAAAGGTTGTCAACGCACCTGCAACCCTCGGGTATAGCAGATGTCGATGGACGGCAGTATTCACTTAACATCAGGTGAACCGCCTGCTCGCTTGGCAACTTTTCACATAAAAAAAAAAGATTAGTCATTACAATTCATTACATACAAGCAACCAAAATTAATGAATGGTGATTAGCTATCCCCGCAACCTTTGTTTTACTATATAACTTATTTCTAGGGAAATTGTAGTTCAGAAGAAAATGTGTTCTGATTCTCATGCAATTTTCGGAACGCACGCATAAAATGTTTGACAGGTAGTAAGAGTTTGCATGGGAAAATAAAATTGTTGCTATTTCAATTTTCCAAGCAATTTTTCCACAACTTCTCATTATTTGAACCTTCCCTGGCCTGTCACAAAGATCTCATAACCAAAATCAGCCAAATCGGTCCAGCCGTTCTCGAGTTTTAGCGAGACTAACGAACAGCAATTCATTTTTATATGTATAGATTGAAACCGCTTTGAAAATTATTGTCAATTGGTTTTCGTTTTTATACAAGGTTTTATTTTCAGGCTCTCGTAGGGTTAGCTTTTTCTATCGGATTCATAGTTGGCCCAATGGCTGGCGCGTGGTTCGCTAAAACGAACGAAGCTTACTTCGGTTTGTGGGGGCAGAGACCGGCGCTATATGCGACGTCTCTTTCACTCGCTAACATCGCTCTAGTGCTGCTGTTCTTACCGGAAACGCTCACGAAGGTTTGATTTTCGTTTTGAATTTTCGACAAATTACATTTAACACGCTGATGACGTGTATATTGAAAATTTCTGATTTCTCTCTTACAGGAAAAGAGAGCACCCCTCTCTCTATCTCTTTCCAAAGCGGTCGAATACGTTTCTCCCTGGCACCTGTTGAGATTTACCGCCGTCGAGAATCTTTCGTCGCACCAGAACAAAGTATTATCCAAATTGGGGTCGATTTACTTCATATATCTATTTATTTATTCGGGACTAGAATTCACCATAACCTTTTTGACGCATCACACGTTCTCATATACAGCTATGCAACAGGGGAAAATGTTCTTAGTTATAGGTAAGATTGGTAGATTTGTGGATATATATTTCTATGAATGCATTTATAGTTTACATTCCATGCGGTACATTCGCCCAGTATTCGCTTATTAACAACAAACAAGTTTAAGCCTTTTCGAAATTAAGAAAAATGTCATAGTTTTATTTTTTATATATTTCGTTTAAAAGGCTGGCAGTTTGTACCCTCCGTAATCACAGTTTTCTTCTTTTATTATTTTTTAACCGTCTCTTATTTTTTTAATTGTTATATTATGCACACGTTTAGATATTTTCTCGACAATGTGGCAATTATAATACGTCGTTGAAATCATCAATTCGTAAGGTTTTTTGTTAGTGTTCGGAATCTGCGCCAAGCGGGGTTCAACAGCCTCAAATATATTAAGTACCTATTTCGAAAAGGCGTATTAAATGATATTATTAATAAAATTAGAATTAATTTATTAAATTATTTCCTTTATACAAAAAAAGTAAAGTAACAGCCTATAAATGTCCCACTGCTGGGCAAAGGCCACGCGGCCCCACTGCGGATTGGCGGACTTCACATATCTTCGCAATATTTTTTTTGTTATTATTTCGAAAATATGCAGGTTTCCTCACGATGTTTTCCTTGACCGCGGAGCACGTGATAAGTCAGCACAAACTTCATTGGTACCGGCACCGGGGATCGAACTCGGGTTGCTCGAGTATATTGAAATAAAGGCGAGCGCCCGGACACTCCTTTATACATATTGTAAAGTATTTACAAAAATAAAAAAATAATGTTGATGTCAAACTGGTTTAGCCAACGACACGTCATGATGTCATGCGACAGAATATTTTAAGTGTTTGATAAATAAAAACGACAATATTCCGTTAGATCCCGTTGAATATACATTTGCCACCTTCGACTGCAATCTCGAAAACTAATCTATTTTTGTGTGTTTTTTTATTTATTTGCTTCGGGCTGTTTGTAGAAGACCATTTGCTATGCGACATTATTTTTTTAATAACACTAATTAAATGAGAAGCCATTTCATGCAATCAGCAGATTTAAAACCGTAAGACAGGTATTACTTCCGGCTTATTGTATGAGCAGTAGGGGTGGTATCGATGACAGCGTTATCTAATTATCATTATAAGACAAGGTCACTGTTAGGTGGAAACCAAAATAATATCTATTTTTACATGTATTTAATCTCATTATATCGCTTTTTATTAATCGCCTGAATCATGGTGTCGCTTCTGCTTTCTAGTTGCGTTTGATATTGTTGATCTCTTTTCAGGTTTTTAATCCGAGAAAGTGTTCTTACAGAACATCTGAATTGTGCATCTGATGTCACCTCCGCCGTAATGATATACTTTTTCTGGTCCATATTGTGCCAGGCCCTATGGATTTTTTTTTTTTTTTATGCGAAAAGTTGCCAAACGAGCAGACGGGTCACCTGATGTTAAGTGAATACCGCCGCCCATGGACGTCTGCTACATCCAAAGGTTACAGATGCGTTGACAACCTTTTGAAAACTGGGCTCCGGCTACCTCACTCACCAGACGAAACGCGAAAGTATTTGTCATACTTCCACTTTACGCTGGTCTTCTGTGAGGTCGTGGTACTTACCCGGACGGGCCTGCCCATTCGTGCAACAGCCGAGGCTGCTGCGTGGCCCTACCACCGTTAAACACAAAGTCTCGGGACATGGAAAAAAAGACACAAAGTCTCGGGGCTACCATAATCCTAGAGTTTGTGTCTTCACCTTACAATATCCCTCGGGACGCTTCTAAACATTAAAGGGAAACTTAAAAATCCTTAAATGTTTACTACACTACACTTTACTTGGATTTGTATGCTTGTTCGTCCCTTGCCGTCCACAAAAAATAACCTGAATAAAATGATAATAATTTCAATTTATTCAGCGGTGATGAAGTTTTTCTTCAGGAGGAAACCAGCACATTTTCGAAAATAATAATAAAACAAAATATTTGAACATATGTGAAGTTTGCCAATTCCAGTGTGCTACGCGACTCCACTGCGGTATGGGGTCGCGTGGTGGACTATGCCCTAATACTCGCCTTCGCCTGTTAGTGGGACGTATATAGGTTTTTTCTTTACTCTACTTTTTTAAGGTTTAATAATGGCGGTGCTCCAAGGCGGCGCAGCAAGGAGGCTGGGCCCTAAAGGGGCGGAAATGGCGGCTCGCTTGGCCTTGGCACTCACCCCCACATCCTTCTTGTGTGTGGCAATGGCGGCGTGCAGAAAGCCCCCTCTACTGTCGCCCGTGGTATGGCTGTGGGCAGGCCTAGTCCTATTCGCCTTATGTAAGTGTTTTATTTAATATTTAGAATACGTGGGTCAAACTGAATGATAGTTCTTTGAAAATCATAAAGCGGCTCAATTGTAGAACGTTGCCAGTAACAAGACTTTTGGAATTGTCGCTGATCCATAAAAACAAATTACAAATGAATGCAATGTATCACATTAGGTTACCGAAGAGTTGTATATTTAAAATTTAGAAGAAGTTTTCATAGGCCCGTTCTAAAAACCTTAAGTTTCAATAAATTTCGCGTGTCATCTACGTTTCATATACAGAAATCGCATAGACAAACCATATTCTGAAGAATTATCTTACGGTCGTGTAAATACTTTATCGCGCGGGAATCTGACCTATCTATAGATAGATCAGATTGATTTTTCATTAGAATTAAATAAATAAAGTCAATAGAATTCTGCTACGAGAGATCTACAGATATTGAGCCGGATCCTCGTCTGTCCTTGTATGAGTTGTGTTCGTAAAACTTCTCCACAATACAATATTATCTTATCCCAACGGAGGAAATCCTCTGTCTTATAGTATTATAAACTTTTGCAATATGAGTCATTCGCACTTAGAATCAAAGCTACGATGGTTATCAGGGTGTCAATGCCTAAACTTATTCGTTAACGATGCCTTCTAAGTGATGCATATTTTGTACATGGATAAATAAGATAAATGCAATGGTTTATTCACATCATGTCAGCCTCCTTGTCGGATTAAATAAATTGATACCTTTTGCTATTGAATAGAAGGCATTTTCTCCACAATCTGCCTTATCCACAATCCTTTATCGAGGCGGGAGTTCTGCAAGGATCATGCATCTCAGTCCGGCTCTTCACTCGTAAGACACGCGTTTGGGTTTTTACGCTTTGCGAGTACGATAGTACTCTTTTTCACACTTTCCAACTTCGAAGCTGTATTACCTTCCGCCTCCAAAATTCCTTCGTAACGTTAACGAGTGACGTTCTTATCGACCCGGTCGAGAATGGTCCCCAAATACCTAAAATTGAGTACCAAAATTACACACACTAACGGCCGGTTTCTGAAACACTGATCATCGTAGATGTCAACTAATCAGCTGTCAAATGGTTTTCAAATTTCATTTTAGTTGCCAAAATTATGGTTAAACTCTTTGGATTGATCGTTCTGATCATTAGAAGAATGGTCCCCAAATACCTTTGGTACCAAGATTCAGAGAGTTTAACCATCCTTTTGGCAACTAAAATGAAATTTGAAAAGCCATTTGACAGCTGATTAGTTGACATCTACGATGATCAGTGTTTCAGAAACCGGGCGTAACAATCTCAAATTGATACACTTAACAAAGTATTCGTCTCCCGGAGGGTTCACACTGCTCCTAATAAACGATAAACACGGTATTAGAAGGTCGCCAAAGCGGTAATTTGACGTCCTGTCATTCCAGTCAACGTCCACATGCGCCAGCTTACGACAGCACTTATAAGTAAGGGTGTATTCACTCTGGAAACTTCGATTTTCACACGCCCGTGAAGCTGCTATAGTCTTCGTACCGAATGCGAAAACTTTACACTATGGGAAGCTCCGGCCATTATTTTTGTGTCTATGGATGTTTCATATCTAAAAACCGTAATAAAACCCAAGGCTTCACTGTTCGTAAAGCTGTGTATATCTGTCCCATTCAGCGACCGCTTTCGCGGTGTCATGTATGACGTCGATGGCAGCGGCGCAGGCGCCGAGCGGGTCGCGTGGCGGCGTGTTGGGAGCCCTGCGCTCTTTGGGGGCCCTTGCACGCGCCGCTGGACCCCTGCTCGCCTCCGCAGGTATGTCCCACCTAGGGTTGCCGATCATACTATAATATACTTTTTACTTTTGTATAGAAATAAAGTATGTCAAAGTACGTCTGTAATATCAAATGTGCTCGAAGCTCACGAAAATTTGGTTTCGAGGGAAGAAATAATAAAGAAAATTTTTTAAAATCCTTTTTTCTTTCTTCGAAATACTTTTCTTTTCTATACTTGTAATACGTTATTTTTGTCAAAAATTGTTAACACACCATGCTGTATTTACAACTAACAACCTCCCTCCCTACGCATCGGTCTGTGCCTCTAGAAACATAATTATGTACTTTTGCATAAATGTAACCTGTCATTATTTTAGTAACCACAAATATGTATCTCAAAATGAATTTTAATATTATTAACAAAATGTTTCAGGACGTTAATAAGATTAATATATGCAAACCCAAATAACTCTCGAGTTTTTCTATATAAACCTTAAAAAGTATTTATGCTCTGATAGTTTGTGTATATGACTTATTATACTTATCGTTATTTTTCAGCTTATTGGTGTTCCGGTGCAACAATAACGTACTCCCTTGGATCAATAATTCTTATCATTCCCGCTGTGATGCTATTTAGACTGAAGACATGAACAAATTATATTTGAAACTTTACACATAGTATTCAAGCAATAACTACTTTTACTAATACGTCTATCTTATTTATTGATTTACATCTTATTTTCTATTAATTTTTACACTAAATATTTTATAACTGTATTTTATTTGTACCTCGAATAACAATCAGTATTAAAGTATTTATTCAATCAATGTGTGACTTTAATTTACTTAATGAAAGTGAATAATAAATACTAATTCGCCCCAAGTGAAAAATAAAACCGAATATAATATAAAGAATATCTTTTTTTGTTTTATTTGTCGTCTACAGATATAAAGAAATAGTAAAGTTTGAAAATTTTCTGTTTCCTATAAGGATACTTTAAACTAAAAATCGGTTGACAAACGGATGAGAAAGTTGTTGAAATCGAGCTTTACTGCACCTATGCCGCACGTTTGGTTAATAAACAAGTTCCTTGCTAAAGACAAACATGAGCATTAATAAAAACAGTTACCATTTAATTAAATTAAGATTAAGCCAAATTAAGGTTTTTGATTATAAAAAACAATTATTCAAACATTTTAATTATGTAGGTTAGTTCAAATGCCCAAATAAGTGTTTTGATAAAAACAGTTACCATTTATCTTTTTTCATTAAATTAAGATTAAGAATATTAAGACAAACATTTTTAATCGTTATGATACGAGCAACATATTCCTAAAGATTTTTTTTACATAAGATCGTTGGCGATCAACCTAATACTTAATTGGTTTCGATTTTAAATAAACTTTAATGTAAATAGAATAATAAAAGAAGTCTCATTTTGTATAAATCGCATTCATGACTGTTTAAGGCCAAATAGATCAGACCATGATGTCATATATATGCGATATAAATCTGTACCTACCTTTTAAGGCTTCTAAGGAACTAATAATATGGGTCATTGACATTTATCTAAAAAGTTTTATAAGGTAAGCAAAAAATAACAAAGTCCTTGATCGAGATAAAAAGTACTATACAACGTGCACGAGACTGTATACGGCATTTCAAGCTATTCGTGACCTAAAAGGAGCAATGAACTTTATATTAGCTCTTAAATTTAGTGTCGTAAATATGTAAATTAGAACTTATTAAGTATTCCATTAAAACTTGCGAAAGTTCAGGTTATTCTGTTTTATTAAACTTTAAATAGTTATAAAGCATGTTATATAAATATATAGGTTTGTTAAATAACCTACATTTTACACTTTTGCTGAAAGTATATCTTAGCCAAGACAATTAAATTTTGTACTGCTATATCCATGCAATTTTCCGCATGGGGAAAGGGAAAAGATGCCTATTTTTTTGATCATCATAATTTCAGCCTGTTTGAGTGCACTGCTGAACATAAGCCTTCCCCACAGACTGCCGCGAAGCACGATCCTGAGCAATCTAAATCCATCGACTTCCCACACATTTGCAGAGATCGTCACTCATTTGGTGGGGGATCGCCCTACACTGCGATGGCCAGTACGAGGTTGCCACTCCATAACCTTTCTTACCCATCGGTTATCGGTTCCACGAGCTATATGGCCGGCCTATCGCCACTTCAGCTTGCTAATCTTCTGAGCTATGCCGGATACCTTTGTTCTTCTGCGTCTTCGTTACAAACTCTATCACGCAAAGAAATACCGAGCATAGCCCGCTCCACAGCTCGCTGTAAATAGTAAGCTAGATTCGCAGGCTTTACCTAGACCACATTCTCTAGGCTGAAGCTTAGCGACTTTTTTTGTTTATTTCATTATAATTTATTGTTTGTAAATATTACATAGAACATGAGGTAAGAATGTTTAATTTATATTCTATGATTGTTGTGCACCTACCTACCACAGCTGACCACTGTTTACAATTAATGTTGCTATGGAAACCGTGTTTTGACGTTATAAGTTGTAATTGAAAGAGCATACGATGCCGCTTTTTAGCAGCAAATTCACACCAAAAACAATTCCGGTGCGAAGACAAGATACATCAGTAATACGAAACGAGTTCGGAAGTGATTATGCATCAAAGGAATTATCGATAGACTTATGCCCTCTGAAGTTAAAATTAGGCGATTTTGAAGTGACATTTGAAGAAGGCCAATGGATACCAGGTAGATACTTAGTTATATCTGGCAATTGTGATTTGGGCACGACACAAGCCTTTATATACTTATACCACAGTGATAAAAATATTACACTTTCTGTACAGATTGTATTACAAGCGAACTACTATACAGTGAAGTAACAGTCCATACAAGTCCCACTGCTGGGCAGAAGCCTCTGTGCAGCCGGTACTAGGGCATAGTCCACCACGCGACCCTAATTCGTTTTGGCTAATTTCACATACCTATCTTCGAAACATATTTTTTTGGAACTTCATAAATATGCAGGTTTCCTCACAATGTTTTCCTTTACCGCTGAGCCCGTCATAAGTCAGCACTTAAAATTAACAACTTTATTGGAACTTGTTATTATGTCCGGAGGATACAAACTCAGGTTGCTAGAGTATAATGAATTAAAAGCGAGCGCCTGGACACTGAACTATGAAGGCTTTAATATATACATATAATTAATCTATATATATAAAGAGATTTCCATCGATAATTGACTCATCGCGATATCTCTGGAACCATAAGGCGTAGAGACTTGAAATTTGCTAGGAATATTCCTTCGCCGAGTACCGAGTCAGCTAGTACTATACAAAATTATTGAATTATTGGATGTCGCAATAATAAAATTAAATACGATTTCGTTTTGAGTTTCGGAATATCATAAGAGTTTTCATGCAAAATCTCTGACGCAGCGTCCGGTCGGGCCGGTGCGGCGCACAAGGAGAACTTGCGGTTGAAGAGGGAACTGGAACAGCTTGAGGAGGAAAACAACATGCTGCGACTCAAGTTTGAGATACTGCTCGACATGATGACGGATAAGACCGTCGAAGCGGAGAATCAGGAGATGCAGCGCGCCCAGAGCCTCGGCTCATTAAAGCACAAGAGTAAGAAGCAGAAATGGTGATATATAGTACGCCACCAAATGTATACTTTACGAATATGAATGTACTTTTTCTATTAAGTTTCAATAAAAAAAGCGATCTCTTAAATATTTGTAGAACAATGACAGACAATACTATCAGTATTGTATTTATATTTACCCGACTGCCGAAGGAAGTTTATGAGGGATGAGGTTTCATTAGATTTGTCTCAAATGACACCCTCATTTGACATAGGTTACATTTCAAAACGGTGTCCGCCAAAAAGCTAGATTAATAATTAGTTAGAATTTCAAAATGTACGCTTTTGTTAATTAATTTATTTGTGCACCTCAATTTCTCAGCACCACTCTTTAGGCAAGACAACCTTGGGCCTTTGTATAAAGCTTTTGTGCCTAAAGTTTCAATAAATAAATAATATTCAAGAACGTTATCATATCAAGCGAGGTATAATAATCCCTTACTCGTCATAAACACCAAGCTACCCAGTCGTAATCATGAAATCCACGTTCCGTCGTACTATTTAAAAATTACATCCGTACACGTACTAACATAAATAAGCGACAAGACATGTTCGCCTGATGTTAAGTGATAATCCGCCCATGTACATTTGCAACAGCCGTAGGGTTGCAGACGCGTTGCCAATAATAATGTGAGTCCCGGGGCCCCGGCATTCTGTTGCGTGTTTTTATGACCGTGGTTCACACAAATACTTGTCCCGTGTGGGACCCAGAATCCCCCCCCCCCCCCCCGCGCTTGAATCTTGTATGTCCTTAAATAAAACACACAAGAACAAAGTACGAATAAATTATTTACAAACAATCTACAATTATTTACATGGCATTGCTTAGGGGCAATGGATATGTAACAAATACAAAATACATTTTTTATATGGCAGTAAAATACTATAAATAAAAGTATGAAACCATAGTATTTGGACGAGTTGTTTCTATCGAGGGGTACTTTAAACTTACCTAAAGATTCTTTATTTGCCTTAGTATGTAGTGATGTAAAGCCATCCACCTTGACTGTATGAACTGTATGAACACTTAATTAAACCTCAAAACTGGTATAATTAAGTGTTCATACAGTTTTCTTCGAACTACAGTGCACAGACCAGAACAATTACGGCAAAGACGATTAATTGGATTTTTTTAACAACAAGATACACATTTCATTATTCGAATATACAATTGATTCTTCTGTATCTCAACGGAGTATCTATTGCGCGTTGTTAGGGCAACGGGCCCTCGTGTGTCCTTCCTGCTTGCACAGCCCGCACTTCCTCGTCCTCGCTCCTGAGCTGTCACCGCTCCCGCGCCCGCTACCTCGTCCGCTTCCGCCTCCGCCGCCTCGTCCGCTCCCGCCTCCGCGTCCGCGACCCCTACCGCGCGTCGGATTACCGCCGCTCCACTCGGCTGAAACTCGTTTACATTTTCATTGCCACCCATCACTACTAACGTCGCGGAGCAGGGAGGGGGGGGGGGGGACTACGTCGACCCGTTATTGCCTGTCTCTGTTGCGCCCACGCAATATATTGCCCATCTCTCTTGCTCCCGGGCAATAAATATTGCCATCACGCTCCCTTAAGACGGTAGTCTTTGCAGGTGTGCGAGCGTGACGGGTGATATATTTACGCGGGAGGAACAGAGAACAGAGAACAGGCAATAACTGGTTAAAGTACGAAATTCTCGCTGGTAGATATATAATACATAGATAATTGTAATTTATGTTACCAGTGCTTCCAGAATCAGCCCATTGAAAGAAATTGCATCGCGAATTGAAGTCCTTCGGGCATCCGTAGAATGGGCGGCCTTTGTTTTGACCCTCCTTTTGGACGGTTATTCTGAAACACACTCCGATTTTCGGATTCTGATAGCAAATACTAATACTTATAAAACGAACACTAAGAAGCTTATTAAGTATAATAAAAATGTACACATTTGCTTATGGAATTATGACTTGTTTTATTTATACATTTTCAATATTTATCAATTGTGTATACTACATTGAAAATTATAAATTAAAAAAGTTGTATGTAACTTTGACATTTCATTGATCCGCCATTGTAATGTAAACTATATGGTTCAATCTTATACAGAGACATTTTTAGATCATATAAAAATGTTAAACAAAACAAAGATCAATACAAAAATACGCACAATTGATATATATGTATAACATGTATTTATTTACAAAAAGAAAAGTATGTTTAAGTATGTTTATCAGTTTTCTAGTACCCATAGTACAAGCTTTGCTTAGTTTGGGACTAGAGAATGTTGTGTAGAAATGTGTCCTAAAATATTTATTTATTTATTTATTATTTATTTATTCCACGGTACATTTCTGCGTAAGATAAAATATATAAGCAACCGACAAAAGCTAAAATGTGCATATAGCGATTTCTTCTATAAATTATACCGACACCATTGATGAGTATTTCTTTCACAAACCTCTTGCAAGGCAGTCCACAGTTGCACATGACGTTGTCGTCATTCTGGGCGTAATCGCCCCTGTCGAAGCTGGGCGCCGTCCCCCAGCCCCTGGAGCTGGTGGGGGGCGTGGAGCCGAAGGCCCAGGAGTTGCTGGACTCCGGCGGCGTCTCGAAGTGGCTCAGGCCCCGACCCTCGGCGTCAGGCGCCCACAGGAAGAAGTCGCACCCGCCGCTCTCCTTACCAACCGGGCATTTGTAGAATTTCTTACCTGACAAACGAGTACAGTACAGTCACAGTCTTCACGTAGTACAAAAACCGGCCAAGTGCGAGTCGGACTCGCGCGCGAAGGGCTCCGTACTATTATCAATAAAAACGGCAAAAATATCATGTCTGCTGTACGGCAGCCCCACTTAAGTTTTTTTATTATGCTTTTTAGTATTTGTTGTTATGGTTACAACACAAGTGCATGATCTGTGGAAATTCGCCGAAATTTCTGTGACAGTACGTGTGAAGTCCGTTCGTCCGTCCCGCCATCCGTCCGTCTGTCACCAGGCTATATCTAATGAACTGTGATGAGTAAGACAGTTGAAATTTTCACAGATGACATCTGTGAAAATTTGAATTTCTCTGTTGCCCCTAACAAATACTAAAAAAAACGGTATATAAATGGGATTTTTATTTGCCGTTCCTATAGATGATGGTACCGAACTCTTCTTGCGCGAATCTACTTGCACTTGGCCAGTTTTTTTTTATGTGAAAAGTCGTTAATGCAACGCCGCCATAAACACCACAGTGTTTGTAGATGCGATGCCAATCTTTATAAACGCACAAACATGGCCATCCGTGCTGTGGTAGGGCCATGCTACTTTTTTTATGTGATAGATGGCAAGCGAGCTGGCAGTTCACCTGATGTAAAGTGATAACTGCCGCCCATGGCAATTATAACATTTGCAATACCCTTAGGGTTACAGATGCGTTGCCACCTATTTAAAAAATTGGGTTACCTTACTCACCAGGCGAAACACTTGAACTTCACGCCGGTCTCATGTGAGGTCGTGGTACTTCCCCGGACCTGCCCATTACTGCAACAACGAATACTGTTGCGTGGCCCGACCGCAGTTAACTGTGGCGGTTACTTACCAAAGTTTGCGTTCTGTTTCCTAACGGTCAGCTGAATCGCTGGCTTGTTGCAGCCACAAATAACGTTGTTGTCCTCCGCGTCACCGACGATCCTCGGTGTGGGTACCGCTTGCACAGGATTCTGCACTCTATCGTTATGGTACGAAGGTTGAAATTGATTCGTCTGAGCGCCGCCCGAACTGTTTTGCCTTTGCGGAATATTTCTCGAAACAGTATTACTTTGCCTGTTTGGCATATTACCAATGGAGCTATTCGGCCTCGGTACATTGTTTGGTCTCGGCACATTGGCCGATGCTATATTTCTTTGCGTGTTAACCGATCTAGTGTCGTTCGCGCGATTTTCACCGTTGCTTCTATTGGCGTTGGGTACATTTTGGCTTGGATTCGTGAGCTTCACGCTGGACGGATTTATCTGGAGAACCTCCAGGAAGGTCGGATCGCAGCCGCCTACACAGCCTACGTAAGGCGGCGGATACAAGTGGCTCAACGAATTATTCCGCCATTCGAATTTCACCCTGCTGTAGTTTGGACCACACTGAAAAGACAATGTTACTCAAATGTATAATTAATGAAAATTGTCTCTAATTAAAATACGACCATTTGACGACGTAATTGGTACTACGAGTGTAACGTAATTGGATGGCCGAGTATTACAACTCAGTTCATCAACGCATAACAACGATTGCATCTCTATAGAACAGGACGTTAGGTTTTGTCATTATTAAAAAAGGTTATATATATATATATAACCTATCGCAGGATCACGATGTGGCGCTATAATTTGATTACAGCACCATCTATTGGTAGCTCTCGGAAACGTCAAGTAGTGCGCTTGAGTAAGGTCGATACAGGAAGTGAGAGAGCGGACTTGACGGTTATGAGTTGTGGAAGTCAATTGACATCGGACACGGGGGTCTGTTCTGGACGTGTTCGGACACACCACTTAGAAATGGGACGGCTCACGGCGGTGCGAGCGGTCATCTTCGTGTATCCAACGTGCAACGTTTCCATTCAATTACATCAGTGTGGTTAATAATTATTTTCGTTATTGTTGATTTTAATCGTACAAGTAAACTACAATGCTACGTGAAAACTTTTATTTTTTGCGTACAACATGTCCTATGAGGGATCTGACAACGAGTTGTCCTATGTGATCCACCTATCTCCGACATATATATATATATATATATATATATAACTCAACCATACATCTTACCGTGGTGCAGGTTTCTGGCAACACTTGCAACGTCTTGACCACGCTCGGCAACCAAACGGCGTTCTTGCAACCCGGGTAAGACAGGCAACTTATAAACAATTCCTCTGCATTACTCTTCTTCCTCCTAACCACCATTGCCGAACCGCACTTAGGGCACTTTAATACTGCGAAGAAAAAAGACATTATTCGATGTAAATAAACACAATAAATGTATTACTTAAACAACATGTAGGCATCTTTACACAGTATGAAACAAAGTCGCCTATTTTTATGCGTTTACATTGGAACACCTTACAACATAGATCAAATTAAATAATGAATGAATAATCTATATTGCACTAGCCGTGGTAAGAAAATACATTAAAATTGACAATTAACACCCGTGCCCAGCCGGGGCGGGTTGCTAGTTGATTAAAAAAATCCTCTACAAATTCTAGGCTTTATTTCTCAAAGGTGTTTTCACCTACCGTCGGTTTAGTCTCATGTTTGTTTGTCGTTTTAATGAAATCGTCGAACTTGACACACATTGACATAGTAAAGGTCACCTGAAGGCATATCGGCCGGTAGTGTCTCAATAGTGGGCACGTATTCGCTGGGCCGCTCGCTGAACCGCTCGGCGAGCGCGTCGTCGATCTTGTTCGCCTCCGCCATCGCTTTAACGAACGCCTCTTTGTACTTCGCTATCTGAACGTGAGAACTTAATATGAAACACACTAGTTTACATTGAAGTTATTGTTTAATGTTTACCTTTATTTAATTGTATTCGCGTTTATATACTGTAGTCTGTGAACGCTTTACCAAAAGGAGCTTGTGGAACAGTCAAATTCCGCGAGCTTAGCGAACGTATAGCGAAAAGAGTGAGGAGGAGAAGCAGGTGCCTTGGGGGACTCTTTAATACTTACTTATACAATGGACGCATTGAGAAGGAAGCAGCGTCCACTACACAATCAAGTGGTCTATTAGACCGCCCATGAACACCAACAACGCCAGTGGTCCACAATCAAAAGACTACGCTGTTCTTCTGTGAAGCCGTGGTGTTTTAGCCACGAAACTGGTAAGTATCCACAGTATTCAGATCAGAATAAAGATCTTGATTTAAAACCACGATGAGATATCAAAAACCATTTTTTTTTTCACGGGGCCTGTCCAGCGAGGACCTGAGACCACAATCGGCCAAAGAGGGATCAGTATTTTCCTCCTTCCTTTTTCCTTTTTTTCTGAAAGACATTTCCCTAACTGTACGATGTTCTGTTGTAAGTTAGCAAGTAATACATAAGTTACAAAAAAAATATTTCACGCGGACAAACACCCAAATCGGAAACAATCGTCTGTGGGTCACACAAATAGTTATCCCGTGGGGGAATCGAGCCCACGACGCCCGACGCCACAACACAACTTGGGTTTCGAAAATGTCCATGGGCGGCGGTTATAACTTGACATCAGGTGAACCGCCAGCTCGCATTCCACCTTCTCAAATAAAAAAACCCACCTGTTCGGCTAGCACGAGATGCGGCTGTTTAGTTCCGTCGCTTATAGCCTTGAGGTCGGCCTCCAGCTGCGCTCTTAGATGGGGCTGCGACACTCCCAGACCCATCGCATCATAACCCTCCACCAGGCCCATGCCCAGTAGACCCGGCACGAAGTGGACCCCGTCCGCCAGCGCCACGTACGCCCTGCTCTTGATCGTCTCTATGTGCTCGGCGTGAGTAGCGTCCGTGCCTACAACGTGAATGGAACGTGGTGTACACTGAAGTATTTTTTTTATGTGAAAGTTGCCAAACGAGCAGACGGTTCACCTGATGTTAAGTGAATACCGCCGCCCATGGACGAAACGCGAAAGTATTATACTTTCACTTTACGCGGGTCTTCTGTGAGGTCGTGGTACTTACCCGGACGAGCCTGCTCATTGACGAGACGAGTGAGACGAGTGGGGCCCTACCACTGTCAAAGTAGAAATTGGACAGGTACAGGCGGGTACGAGCAACAAGCAATCGAACCCCATGACCAGGGAATTGTATCGAGCTCCAATTGGGTCGGTACCCACGGGAAAAGTAGCCTTATATCGGCTCGGACAGTACGGCGATCGGATTAAACTAAAACGTCATTGCGGCCTGCGCATTTTGTTCACACGAAACACCTTTTTTATGTGAAAAGTTGCCAAGCGAGCAGTTGGTTCACCTGATTTTAAGCGAATACCGCCGCCCATGGACATCCGCTACACCCGAGGGTTGCAGATGCGGTAACAACCTTTTGAAAATTGGGCTCCGGCTACCTCCCTTACCCTACTGGCTGCTGCGTGGCCCAACCACCGTTAAATGCCTACTAATGACGTATATGGAAGCCAGATACGATCTGATGTTACATTAGCAGCGTAAAGCCTAAAATATTAAATTGAACATACATACACTTCGATGGATAGATAGAATTGCGACTTGCGCTTCGTAATTTCCTACGTTTTTCTATAGTTATTTTTTAGAAACGCATATACATAACTGCATACTCTTCTATGTATTAATGTGCGTATGCAATTATGCATGTATCGAATGCGACACAAAAACGGGCCAAATGAAGCGTACAAAGTTAGTTATAGTCAATCGAAAATAACTTACCGATCCCATGTTTCTCCATAAGCGCGATAAGGTCTGCCTCCGTTAACAAATTGGGCGGCGAAGTATTCCCATCCACCAGATCTATGCTTGTCGGATTGAAGGTTTGACCGTTCTGGAACACAACATTGAACTAAATCATACAAGTCATTACGCATTGCGCAGTTTAATGTATCGGAGCGTTGTGATGCCCTCTCGCTCGCGATCATTCATAACCAACACGCACACAAGTTCGTTTCAAAAGTATACGACGTATTTATAGAGGACTACCGCATTGTCAACAAGTTCTGTTTTTTAGGGAATAGATATGCATTTTTTTGGAAAAAAAAAAGTTTGTATTTATTTCAATAAACGATTTAGTATAACGGAGTCTGAACCACCTGTGTGAATTTGGGCACCTTTTTGAAAAGGCAGATGTTGGATAGCTTTTTAAGCGATTTATCACTCGACGGTACATAGATAGCGCTCTCACGCTTCATGGCTGTACTATTGATATGGATGCAAACAATTAAGAGTACTGACGCCGCGATCGACCATTCAACTGCGAAAAGTTAATAGTTACAAATATTTGGGAATTACTTAATTCATTTATAATGTAACACAAAATGTAAAAGTACACTGTCACATTTTGGCTTAAATGTTGGCCCAGAGAATGTAGATTGAGGATATTTTGGTTAAAAAAATAAATAAAAACGTGCATATGCTCCAATGAACTTAAAACAAATGAAACATCAACAATTGAAACATCAAAAACTGTCAGTCTGTAACATATTATCAGTTACCTCATACACGTGAATCTCCTTAGAGGACCATCTGTCATAAGGGTATACGTCCAGGTAATTCCTCGCCGTGATCATAAGACCACTGGCTGAGAACGTCTCGTTGGCTATTTCTATGCTGACTGAGGTCTCCTGGCCTTGAGCATCCTTGGAGCAGCAGGCGAGGAAAGAGCGCACTATAAACTCGTATAAACGCTGCTCGTTTCCCGACAGTCCTGCAAAATAATATCAAATCCTTAATTTTAAACAATTTTGTCGTTATGTATACATCTCCTAGATGTACAAATCTCGTCGATATAACTTTATTATATTTTAAATTTGAGTACATCTTCGAATATTTTAAATTTAGTCAAGCGTCAGCACTTTAAATTTAACTGAAAAATTTCATTGGTAACGGCATCGGGTTTTGAGTCGTTTTGCATGAGTTTTATAAATTAAAAGCATTAAGCATTTATCTGAAGTTGGTCCCGCTAGTTCTAAGTATGTATCGAGTGCAAATATTTACTTTTCGCCTAAAAAAGCTATACTATATACAAAAAAAAGTCATTAATACGAATAACATCGTTGCTCGCGACAGTACAGGGTGTAGTGCGAGTGGCTATTGTATTTGTATTTTGTGTGGAAGGGTTGGGTAGTAAATCCCAACGGCCACAGCAACCTATAAGATCTATTGTAGTCGTTCCTTCGAAAATATTGCCCCTTACTACAGAATAATTTATGTAAATTATCCTTTGTTAAGGACGTTTTACATAAATTTCACGATGCGATATATTGCAGCTGGCCAAAGGCCCGGCATACACAAGCCTCGGGGCCATGTCCCCATTACTCGGGCGTGTATCTCGACCAGCGAATGGCTGGTCGGTGGTGAGGATGGTCAACGGCCATCCCTTTCCCTGACCGCGGTAGCGGCCCTTGCGGGTGTACGGCGTTACACGCGGTGTGTAACGCGAGGACGACATCGTCTTCGACACAGGGGCGAAAATGCGTTCGGGTCTGGCCCCCTAATGGCCTGTTCCGACCGCAGTAGCTCTCGCGGGAGCGGGCGACCGTCAGGAGGACGGGCGTGGAGCGGAGCGATATTCCCCAGGTGTGGGTGTGGTCCGTTGTCGGCCCTGTCGTACATGCGACGGGCCATCCGGACCACAAACTCCTTGATGGACTCCATCCTTAAGTCGCGGGCGATTACGTCGTTCCTGACGTAACGCCCGGCCCTGACGATTGCTCGAAGGGCGAGTTTCCGCTGCGCCTGAAGCCTGCGCCTCCGCGAGGCGGAAACCAGTGCGTATAAATTTCACGTGCAGAAACACCCATGTTCGAATGTTTTGTTAAGTTAAGTGGGTCACACAAATATCGAAACCACGACTCACGACGCAGGAGCCAACAATACCTTGGCAACTGCGCCACGGAGTCATCTGGGTGTATCAACCTGTCGCCCGCGCAAGAGCTAGAAACTGCACCATCCGTGAGCTGTGTACTGTCGGACGAACAGTCAATGTATAATATACTTACTATTTTTTTTATGTGAAAAAGTGGCACACGAGCTGGCGGTTCACCTGATGTTAAGTGATATCCGCCGCCCACGGACATTTACAACACCGGTTGCAGATGTGTTGCCACCTTTTAATGTTTTAATACACTTTATAAGAATAGTTACCGTTGGCGTATTTAGTCGGATGTATGGGAGGATGGGCTTTGTCGCTCTTGTTGCCTTGCCTGGGCGTGGGTCCCCCGCTGTCCAAAATGCCCTGAGCGAAATTGCCCCAGTTGGGGTCCGCGGTCTGCATCCCGACGAGGTTCCCCAGGTTCATCTCCTTGGGGTACTCGTTGGTCTCCGTGCGCGGGTAGCTGATCAGACCCTGGGTGTACAGCTTCTCCGCCAGTCGCATGGTCTCCTTCGCGTTTATCTTCAGCTTCCTCGACGCCAGCTTCTCCAATTCCTAATGTTAACTTTGTAAGACTATTGAATGTCTCACCACTTGGCCGAACACCACGGAAACCTCAGAAAGATTCCACTTGCATTTATTAAATTCGGAAAGATGATTTTATAGAACATATCTTATCCACCTTTTTATGTACTGGCTTATCATGTTATATGTATACTAGTGCTTGTACATCTTTGCACAGTAACATGATCAGTCATAGAATAAGAATGTAATGCAGTCTATTTCACTAATAAAGTGAAACTTTAAACAAAGTGAAAATACTCATATAACACAGTATTAATATCATGCCTTCCTTACAAGAAATTTGTTAAAGGTTTTCTTATGAAAACATTCACTTTATTCTAATTGTCTATAGAGGCAAAAATAAGCTTTAAAATTATGTTTGAATGATGGAATTTGTTGAAGAATTATGGAAGTTGTGGCATAGATCATAGACCTATGTTCATCTAGTCAACTTGACCAGAGTAGACTAACAGAAGAAAAAATGTAGTAAAAAATATGATGTACTACTATTCATACATTCAGGTGATTGGCCCTTACCATCAGGTCAAATTCTTAGTCTATGGCCATCACTATTTGAAGTAAAAAAATAGTGAACTTATAAGCGCTGGAAATATTTAGATTAAAATATTTGATACATTTTATATAATGAAACTTACAACGGTGTCGAGAGGCAATGGTCTCCATTTGGATTTCGGCTTTGTTTTAACACTGATCACCTTCGCTATAGGTGTCTCTACACATATCTCGTGGAGTAGCTGGCAAGCCTCTTGGTCAAACAGTCTCACTCTGTCCCAGGAGAAATCCACGCTTAGATTGTTCATGGTATGGTTCACTAAAAAATTGGAAGTTCTTTGATATCCTAATAAAAGCCTATGTTCTCCTCATAGCTGTTGCCATATTTTTGTGTGTTAGATTTGTACAAAATAATCCAGAAGGACCAAATCTCACTCCTAGCAGATATTTCCTTCATTGGCATGAGTATGTAGCAGCTAACTCATGACAATAGGGGTATGTAAGAACGTATCACTTCGTGAAAATCTCGACATCTATCTATATGTCGCAAGAACGTAGATAGACATCGAGATTTTCACGCCGTGAGGTCATCGATCGCTTTGCTCATTACAATTTGGGCGCGATTACAAAAAAAAGGCAGGTTCCAATATGCAGCTACAAAAGTTTTTGTTCATTTATCTACTAAAAATTCACAATTTAAATAAATGCAGTATGTAGCACTAAAAACAAAAACTAGTACTAGAAACATATAAAAATGGTACTTCAACTCACCTTTTATTTTCCAAAATGTTTCTGCCACATAATTGTTCACTGCTCTATACCTCTCCACAACAAATCCTAATGTTGGAAACTGGCATGACCCATAACTTATAAGGCTATCAGAGAGTTTTGTAGGAAACACTTTTTGTAACCTTAAGGTTTGAAAACGTGTAAATGCAGCACCTTAGGTCAATAAAATATGAAATTGCACATTTGTTTGTGGTTATTGAATGAATAATACATGATGATAAATAAAGCTATTCACAAATTCTATCATTTTAACTTTGGTTTTAATTCCCAATGCAATCATATAATAAAAACCACAACTTAAGGCAACAAAGTATGTAATATAGATTTAATTTATGACAATACATTTTTTTAATGCAAATCCATTTAAAGTAGTAATTCGTCTCAATGTTCATGAAAAATTTACGAAACATTTTGTTATTCCAAATAGAATAAGCATAGTCAGAATTTAATTTTTATCACAATAAGATGATGATGATAATTTTTAGTTACTTATCAGGTTTACTATGTAAAATGATAGTTTCTCTTTAAAATAATCTAAGTTTACCTATCCTTAAATCCAGTTCTTGTCTCACATCAACTGCATTACTAATATTCTTGTTAGGCTGCTCCAAGTTGCGTAGTGCACGATTCACAGACACAGAAGTAATTTCTGAGAATTTGGCACGGTATATTTTCAAGTTGCTTTTAACAGCACTGCAAACCTCTATTATTTCAAAGCCTATATTCTCTCCTTCTCTATCACAATCTGTCCATATAATCAGACCTTGACAGCTTCGGACTTCTCTTTCTAAAGTTTTCTAGAATTGATAACTTTCTAGTATTATATAAACACTACTACAGTTTGTGTTTTTATTTACTTGAATAGTAATTGTTCTTTATATACTAGAATAGTAATGTAATATTTTTTTTTAAATTGATTACAACATGTAACTCTTAATCCAATGAGACCAAAGTTATAAAACTATATAGCAAATAAATATGCAGAATAGATTAACACTGAAGTAGACCCTAAACAGTGCATTTAAGTGTTATTTTATTTAGGTCTTTAAATGGACTGAATAATTTCTCATAAAATTTATATTCAAGCAGCCCTTGTAAATAGACACTATTTTTGTTTATAGTTTAGAAGTAGGTGTATATGTTTGTTATTGAATAATATGAAATTTTTTATTTGAATAAAGTTAAATATCATGCATATTCCAAATTTTATACTGGTATATTTATTTGTAACTTTATGTATGCGGCTGACAAAATCAGTACATTTTTCACAATGTACACAAATAAGGACAGCTTCATATTAAGAAATAGATATGGATATAAAAATTTGAGGTTTTTGGAAGGAATATTATTCACAAAAATTTGCAGCTATGAATGCATTAAAAATAAATGTTATTCTATATTTAATTATTCCATTATTTATATATATCTAGTAATTGACCATAATGAGAGCATTCCCCATAAAAGAGTGGTCTTCAACCTATGTAAATTATGGAAATAAAATAATTTGAATAACATACATTCAAAATCATTATTTGAAGAATTTTCATTTTTGTATAACAGTTGTGTACCAATTACCTTAATTTTTTCATAATTCTCTGGGCAGTACTTTATGACTGGTGCATTAAAAAGTGTAAGTGGGTTGCAAGATTGCCAGCTCTTATAAGAACTCACAAAATCTAATGCAAGAAGATGTCCTGATACAGAAGTCATGATCATTTGACATTTTTGCCCAAATACCTCTGCATCGAATTCATATATTTTATTGTATTGAGAAAGTCCTTCTCGCTGTAACATCGTAGTAAAAAATAATTTTTCCAAATACCAAAGGTCATTTAAAAGTAGTAAACTATTACTCAAAATATTATAAGTACCCTTTTAGAAGTGCCTCTTGACAAATGTAAGGCAATATTCTTCGCAGCATCATTTTTTTCAGCAACATTTAAATATTTCATTCTTTCTGACTTAAACCTTTGAGAAGAAACTGAAACATTACTTTTGTTTACACGTAAACTAACTTTTCTTCTAAGGCACAGTGCGAATCCAAAAAAAAATGTCATAGTTTTCGTATCATATAATAGTTATGTACTATTCATCCATTGGTAATATAAATTACAAAACTTAATGCCGCCAAAAGAAAACGTAAACAAATCAAATAATATTGACATTTGACAATGACAACCGGATCTGATTAATATTTTTTTTTTAATGTATTAGACAATGGTCATTAACGTTCTTTTTAAACTTTATAGCACAAATACAAGTAACTTAAAAACTTCAATTAAAATACGGGAAATCATTATAAAATCATAAAACTTAATAGTATGGGGAAATTAATGAAAAGAACTAATAATTACAACATATATTTATTTGTTATATTAATTATCTTCTTTAGGTCTCCTTTTAAAGTTATAATCAATAATAATTATAGTATTTGTACTATAATTCCATGCTTCGTACTATATACGATCCATATCTAAGGATAGTACGAAAATGTACTACAATTTCGTTAATTTACATAAATGACCAATCCAATATTAAAAAAGGGATATGGGGTCGCTATAACGTTATAATATTTTAAACAATACAAAGTGGATTTGTCAATTATTACCACGGATTATAATTAATTTTTATAAATGAATTTACGGGGCAAACCGTTATTTTTTTTTCTATACTTTGCTAGTTGAAGAGTGACTTTGCAAATTGGACTATGAGGTAGTTAATAGAGTTCATTGGTGTCTAATAGTACGATTAAGTTATTATTTCCTAAACTACGAAAGGAAATGAACCTTATCCATAGATGCCTTTTTAATGTGCTGTGACGCTATCAAAGATGGTAAAAAGCATGGTGAAATTTGTTCTGATTTTATTCCTACAAAAAAAGTTAAATTCTAAAGATGAAACTGATATTGAAGAATTGATGAACTTGAAAGAGGTTTAAACTAATGTCTGTTAAAATCAATATTAAAAAGTGTACTATATTTTTTTTTACAAATACTATCCTTTTCAATATTTTGTAGTATCTTTGTCATCATACCTAAATAAACCCTGGCCTGGTTGACAATCAATTTCCAATTTGACATTCACAGCACAGCTGACATATGCATAATTTTTAACGTCTACAATATTTTTAACACAGGAACCTTGAGATTTTTAACCCTATGTATTTTAAATTTAGCCGTTAAACTTTTGTTACTTAATTTTATTACATGTCCCTTTAATGTTAACCTTTTACATTTAAACGTTTAAGAAAAGTCATCACTATGGCTTTCTCTGTGAACTCAAAGCGCATTATGTATTAGTGATGTTTATTACGTTGTTTGTTGAGTACATAACAAATTGTATAAATACTGTGTATATATTTGTTCTATTATTATAATGTTATCTGCGTTTCAACTGCCACACAATGGTGTAAAATTCATAAGAATGTGTTTCTTAGTAAATTGTCTAAAACGCTTTAAAAGTTCACAACAATGGTTAAGTCGTCAAAAATCTGATCCTTATGTTGAAAAAGCCAAAGTATATAATTACAGGTTCGTTTTTTATAATAATAATTTATTCTAAATCTTATTATTTATTATTGTTTTAAAACTAGTATGATAATTGTCAACTATGACACTAATTATCTAAAATTTACTATTAAAATAAGTATTATTATATTAATATTCTTATAATATATAAAACAATTGTTTAATAGATGTCGCAGTGCTTTCAAATTGTTGGAAATGAATGAGAAAACAAACATTCTCACACCAGGGTTAACTGTCATTGATCTTGGGGCATCTCCAGGCTCTTGGACTCAAGTTGCTGTGCAGAAAACAAACTCTGATGGTGCTGACAAAAGTAAACCAAAAGGGACTGTGTTATCAATTGACAAACTTCAAATTTTTCCAATAGAGGTATGTTGATATTTTTCACTTGGTGAGAAATTATTCAACCCATTTAGAAATACAACTACTAATGCAAATAAATAATGATAAAACTTTCTAATTTTATAAAAACCTTGTTCAAAATATGATTTTTTTTTTACATTCAGGGTGCAACAATTATGAACAACATGGATTTTTCAACGATTGAAGCACATGATAAAGTTGTGGAGGTCTTGAATGGCAAGAAAGTAGATTTAGTGCTGTCTGATATGGCCCCAAGTGCCACTGGTATAAGGGAATTAGATAAAGATAGAATAATAGGCCTTTGTTATATGGCTATAAGGTTTGCTGCTCTAGTCACTAAAGTGGATGGTACTTTACTGTTCAAAGTTTGGGATGGAAAGGAAGTGCCCATATTGGAAATGGATTTAGAAAGGTTCTATAAGAAAATAAAAATATTGAAACCAAAAGCAAGCAGATCGGATTCTTCTGAAAAATTCATACTTGCTAAAGGTTTCAAAGGCATCCAAAGGCCATTGGAAAATGGACGCTGGGGCTGAAATTGACTCTGTACCTATTAATAGCTTGAGTCAGCAAATTATATTCGATCTAGTGATATGACATTATAGTCTATCTACATATTACGAATCAATAAATTACCACCAACTAACTAAATACCACATTTTAGTATTTCAATTCAATAATATATAATTCCATATAAATTATTAATTTAATTATCCAACATAATGCTTTTAATGCATAAAGATTAATAAAGCAGAAAATTATATAATATCTCTGCCACTGCTGGGCAAAGGGCTCCTTGGTAACTTGTTATTCTTAGTAATATCCTGGATAAAGCTTTCCCAGTTTGGATTGGTGCTCTGCATATATCTTATAGATTTTTGTTGGATATGCAGAGATTTTAAAAACAGTAAATTTAAAAAAATCACTGAAGTAATATTAGTAATGTTGCACAGATAGTGCCCAAGTCTTCCATTTTATTATGTATATATTACTCCATTAAAAATATATTAAACTAGTATTTCATTACTATTAATTTGTTTTTAATTTCTTATAATTATTAGGTCATATAAGGTAATAGTGGTTTTGTAGATAGAATGTACTTAAAATACTTTCAAATTTTTGTGGAAATATTTTAATGTAAAGTATTTTTAAAAATTACAAGACTATTATAACAAATTTTAGTAAAGTAATTACTATTTTGTAAAAGTCAAGTCTTAAAATAAAAGACTATATTTATAAAATGAATATATTTATTTTAATTCAGCAAATTTGTATGAGGCAATTAATTTTACAAATACAAGATCATAAATACCAAAATTAAAATAATAATAATAATATTACTATTGTCAGCTGTACATGTCCTTGTAAAATAAATACTTTATATTTTTTAGTAATACCACAAAACTTTTTTTCTGATTAAATGAAACATTTAAAAGTTTAGTTAAAAAATATCACAAGTGTTGTAAAATAACAACATCTAAGCATCAATGTATTCACATTTGGACGCAAATTGATTGCATAATCTTTTAAAAGTTTTAAAAATATAAATCTTGCGTTTGAGTAGGCAATATTGTCAGCAAGCTTAGTTTTTAGCCAAATTTCGATGAAGAAAGCTGGCCTTATTAGTTTTATTTGTGGATTACAATATAATTAAAATTACTAAATATAATTTATGTGATTGAAAGAACTTGTGCACAACACAACCACAAGTATAATGTTGAATTATCTAATTGGCAATACTAATTGCTACTATTTTGTTTCCTACGCATTGTCTTGTGAAGTTTAATCACTTAACAACTTATGCTCATGGTCTTTCACTATAATACAAACGAAATAACTCCCTGGACAATTTATAATGTTGGAAAAATAGTTGTTATTAATATGCCCAGTCAATAAATTTCTGATAAATAATAGGCAGGCTAAACTATAGCTGCAATTAACAACTTGGCAATCCAAACTTCGCTAATAAATGCGAATGATCGAAATGATACAGTGTGACGACTTTTAGTACTGAAGGCTGCCGTTGAGGAGTCTTAAACAAATTGGGTTCTCGTTCCGTGCGACAATTTGTTAAGCTGAGCCGCGGACAGTAGGCTGGAGTGTGCGGCGTGGTCCAGAAGCAAGAGCCTTTCGCCTCTTTCGTCGTTGGACGTGAGCGTATTACGTACGCATTGCCCTCCTCCCGTCTCCAACGCGAAACTGCTCACGGCGCAAATTGCGTATATAAAAGTGAGCACAAATAAGGCGCAACCAAAGTCTGAAATAAATAACGTATACGAATTTAAATCTCACATTTCATTACTGTGTAAATATAATTTACTAGCTGATCCGGTAAACGTTTGGTGGAATTTCGTACGCTTTATGGTTCCAGAGAAATCTTGATGAGTCAATTATCGGTGGAAATCTCATATATATATATATATATATATATAGATAAGGGAATATTTGTGAGGTTGCATAAACAACAATACTTTGTATCAATTAATATTGTTTATAAAGTATAAATTGTACTAACGGTATAGATTATGGCCTCCGAAGAGATTCACCACGCACGGGTGTCCATCCCCAATTACGATAGCTACAATCAACAATATAACGCCAACGCATGCTGCCATTATCCAGGGTAGTATATATTCTCGCTTGTACTTTACAGCTCCGTGAAGTAAAGATATACAACACATCAAATATATTGATGTTAGAATGGTGCTCGTATAAAGGAATATGACTGTAACTGAAACAATCCAGATATAGTAAACACAAAAAACTAAGATGAAAATTTTGTATGGTATATATTACGTAAGTATGATTACTTGACACGGACTTGAAAAATAAGTTGTAAATAAATTACTTACGAGTCCGTATTACTTGATCACAAAAATAGTATAACAGTATATATAAATAGTATAACAGCACACACTAGAATTTCTTCAAAGGTACTTTAAGTACGCAGACAGAAGACAAATCTTTACTATTTACCATTTGCATTATCATAAAACACGCAGTAGGTAAATAAACCAAGTTGCTATGAAATATTGAAGTTGCTGATTAGGCTACTTAGATTCAATAATATACGTTTTTTTATTAATTTAACCTTTAGAACAGAAAAATTCTTATGTTTACCTGACGCAAGATGTTGCGCTTTAGCGAATCTCCTTTGGTTATTAGTGCTGACTGACATCCCCTTGATGGAAGGTCAATTGATCACCATAAGCCACTTCATAAAATCCTCGTCTTTCAGCGTCATCTTCCATGTCGTTGTGAAGCATGGAAAGCATTTCGCCAACATGAGAAATACCTACTAATAGTATAATTAAAACAAACGATGATAGCGCCTGAAAGTTTTCAACAGCAATGTTACGCGTCGGTTATATGAAAAGAAAACCCTTGAAAATTAATAATTTTGCGTTAACTGTACTTACGATTTGATGGACGGCAATGAGAATTGTCCCCTGTCGTAAATTGAAAACATACAAAAAGTTGTTCAAACGTATCATCATCTTGTGAGATTTACATTTCTTGGTTTTGAAGAACATTTGTATTATTTTTACAACTAAGACATACCTAGTGAGAGTAACCGACATAAGACGCCTAAGTACTTGGATGAGCCTGTAACGCGCATGTTTTTATCTATCGATTTTTTTGCCTAACGCTACATAACGCGCATGTACTTTTTGTTTACAAGCCAAAACTAAAACAGAAGGCTAGTTCTGTTGTAACAACATAGTACGAATGGTTTACAGAAAGTATTTATATCACTGTAAGAATTATCGAGTATGTTGAATTGCTATTCTGCATAATGTTTCTTAAATTTGTATGCAGCTTTGTAGACGTATTTTTAAGACTTTTTGCATTTTTATAGTTACGAGGACTTTAGATTTAGGAGATATCGAGAGGCAGTTAATAAAAAATCATAAAACTATTATAAATTAGTTTTAATTCACAACTTACAATAGTAGTGATAACATTATGACTTTATGAACCAAACTTTTAGTTGGCGTTAGTATATTTGGATTATTATATATTGAACTAAAATCTATCACAAATAAAATTATATGTACAAAGTTTTTCTTAATTGAATTCATTTGATTTCGAAAATCATGCAGTTAATACATAAATAACATAATTTTGATAATTTAGAATTAAATGGAATAAAAGCTAAGCCAATAAAGCGACTGCAACAGCAACTGCAGTTAAGACGTGTTTACGATAAAAAAATATATAAGGTTGATGTTAACAATCATGATAAAGATAATTCATTCAAATTTTGTAAATAGTCTTCAATCTTTTCAATCGTTGTTGATGCAGTTTGACGTCACCTAATAGTCTACAGTCGTCATAACTCGAATTACTAAAAATATTTTACATTTTTAAAGTTGTTACGAACAAAATTTTATAAAATTCTATCTTAGAAATATACACCAGACGTTCAAATCATGTGTTTAAACAGGCAACCTAAAGAGGAGAATAAAATACATAAGAATAGTTCATATAATTTTGGCGCAAATTAAAGAAATTATTTTCCTTTGCCAAACGTCCAAATTTCGTTTGATGAAATGGTTAACACAATCAGTGCATGCAAGATCTGTTTGTACAGTCGAGTAGTTCGTAATCAGAATAATAGTTCGAAATAAAAATGCGATCGCACATATGAAAATCGAACTGTGAATTAGTCAATTACACGACACAAATCGATACGAGTAATTTAATACGTTACGTTCTAGGGACGGATTGAACCAAACTTGTTTGATTACAGTTCGTAAAGTTCAAATAACGCAAGAAAACTGCACATATACCTCAAAACAAATTAAGACATTTCACGTGACACTATTTCACTGAATTCGGAGTTTAGCGGTTACACTCATTATTCAAATTTGCTAATTACACATTTTTCATGAATATCAATACAATATAGACACGGGGTTAAAAATTTCAATAATGAGAAACAGGAAATTATTATGAAGGACAGATTGTATGTGACAAGTATCACCAGTGTCTAGTTTACATTACAAATGAAAGCACCCAACCTGTTGAAACATTTTAGAACTAAGGACAAAATTTTATGTATTGAAAATAATATATTTTGCCGTCAATACTAAGCAGTTCTAAGTGAAATGATAAATGCAAAATCAAAGACGTTTTGTCGCATGATAATGTTAACACAATCACTATCTGCATATCTGAATATAGTGAAAACATTGCTAACTTTACAATAAAACATGTAGACTATTCCTAGAAAATATGCGAATGTAAATAACTCCTACCAAAATAGCCATTGTGGACACATTAGTATTTAAAATTTCGATTTTTTTTTTTGTGATGGCATGTATATTCTTATGTCATGTCATGTAAATGCAATTAGAATATAAATGTTAGACAAAATATTAAATGATTAATCAATTCTTTACACCTTACTGGATACTGTAGGTCACATTGTATTATATTTATTCTAATTAAAAAAAATGATGCAACTGTAAAAGGAATAAAAATTTAAAGTATATTTTCTAATACATGTATGTGCGTAATATATAAATGAGTAAAGTAAAAGTAATAAGTATTCTCAACCATTTTGGTAATAATTTCGGAAAATAATCATATTCTTTTTAAAAAACTCATGTCATGAATTTAAAATTTAACCAACATAGTCAACACAATTTAGCAAAAGTTTATATCATTAATCTGCCAATGTAAAAAAAAAATCCTAATTCACAAAGAGTATTTAATGGTTTGCTAGCTTTCTGTACGTTTTTTGTTTTGTACACCTCATACTATCCACAACTCTAATATTTATCGTCATATCGCTTAATGGCCATATGCAAATAGGGACAGTACATGATTGGCAGATTTGGAATTGATCCATTGGCAAGTCAATGTCATTGCTAAAAGGTAGACTGTATACATGAATGTGTGTTTATAACAAATAGGTATATATTTTTTGATTAGATGAGAAAGTATCATATATTCAAGTATCAAAACAATTTGATGTAAAAAATGTGTTGATAATTTCAAGAAAGAGTAAAGCTTTCTTTATGAATATGCACATCAAATTGCAAAAAACACAAAAAACACATACAATAATTAATGTACCTCACAACAATATCACCAGATTATAATGTTAACTCTAATTTATTACTAGGCACATAATGACAATAGTACAATACAAAGTTAAAAATATTACATAATTTGAATAAATGGACAATCAGGAGGCTACATTATTCAAAAAATGTTATAATTAAATAACACTTATATTCACAATGTAATTGTTAAGTAACATTACCCTATACTAAAATTAGCTTAATATACTAATCACAAATCCGTTGTCAGTTACAGCCTGTATTCTTTTAGGATTTTAACCATTGGACAATATTTGTATCTCAAGATTTAGATTTTTACAGAAATCAGGTCACCTTTTTCTTCAAGTCCATCTATATCCGGATAAAACTACACATTTAAGAGTTGCTCAATGCAAAATATACATTATTGGTACTGAAAGTTCAATATAAATAATATATATTAATTTAAATGCATTTAAATTGTTTTTTTCACCTTTAAGTTAGTTAAGTTTTAGTTGTAACACTTGTCTAATTTGAACCTAAAAAAACTTTCAAATTTTTTAAGGCACAGTTGACATAACAGTGCAATGAAAAAAAGAAAGTAGAATATAAAATTTAAACAAGGACAACACAAATTTCGAAACAGAAAATACCAATGAGTAATAAATTTTGAACAGCAGCTGAATATTGAAAAATGTATAAGATGATTTGAACAACTCTACCTCTTCAAAAAGTTATTTCAATACACTTTTGGGCACAATTTATATAAAAAAATTCACGTAATAGTACAGGAATTTCTACCGGTGCAGTTGAGTCGCGTGTTATGTGGGTGTTTGGAAAGGCGAGCCCGATGCCTGCTGGGTGCAGCAGAAATTGCGTATGACTTCAGGTGAGATTTCAGTGTGGTAGGTAATGGTAATCGCTCTAAACCATATACAGATGTCCGCGCCACAATAGCACGACAACAGAGCTCCTGCAGGCTGAGCACTGCAATGAATTATTTATTAATGAAACAATTGTTTTACATGTAATACAAATAACAATCAATTGATGGCAACAACAGATTCAACTGAATTGCATTGCATTTGTTATGCATGGCAGTGTGCATGACAAAACAAATCAATCAATGAAAAAAGAAAAGATAATCTAAAGTTGTGGACTAAAGTTAGTGAAATGTACAAAAGGGTAGTATAGCTTGCATTATAGTCACGTAAAATTATATCAATTACACTTCATATATTTAAATTGAGCATTATACCCGAAGAGGCATGGTCGTAAATTTATTTAAAAAGTTAGATTTAGAATTTCTGGATAGGAAAAATCTAAGTTAAATTTAGATTCCTGTGTTCTTTTTCTGTTTCCGATTCTAGAATTTATAAACCATTACATACATAGGGTTTATTACCTTTATTGCTTCTCCACAATCTTTCCATGCCATTTCTATGTAGAGCCATGCGTGATAGCTCACAGAAACTCTCTCTAATATTGAAGTCACATAGAGGGCTCACTTCAAAAAATGCCATGTGATTTTTCGCCGCATACAATTCGGCGTCGCGTTCTTGCACTTGTCGTTTGAATGCGAGATGCAACCGATTGCCAACTAATACTTTTGGCACACCAGGTGCATGCTAAAACATGAATTAAGATTGGCTTGTTTATCAAGTAATAGCTTTTGTTGTTGTTTTTTAGCACTTAAAGCAAAGAAAAGGAGTGTATTGTGATGACCACATAAAATACTTTAAAAAAGCTCAATGCAAAATTGTTTTCCTTTACCTTCTCAACTTCTTCAAGCCACCTGTCAATGCTATCAAAAGACCACTTGTTTGTTATGTCATAGACTAAAAGTATGCCTTGAGCACCACGGGAGTATGAGCGAATGATAGTGCAGAAACGACCTTGACCGGAAGTGTCCCACAGTTGGAGTTTAACTCTCTTTCCATCAAGTAGAATTGTAGTCGTTTTGTATGCTGAAAAGTGGGTATAGGTTTGTTTATAATACAGATTGTATGTGTCTATGTACATTATCCTATTTATACTTTTAACAGTATAATAAAATTTTACGCTTTATTCTTATGTCAATTATTTCAGTTATTTAATAATAAATGAAATAATGTTATATTCATTTATTATATACAATATACAGCATGGATTTACAACCGTGACAATAAATTAACACACTTCTAATGCTACTTTTCAATAATCATAAAAAATATCCTTAATTTAAAAAAAAATAATTTTAAAACAAACTAATTAAATAAAAAAGAAACAAAATTTGTAGCATCCTTTACAACTAAATCTGACTGATTCATAAATTCAGAGATTATTTCATTCATTGCCGCAACATTGCATTACAAGTCTCTCCTTCTAACAGAATGTCTTATCTCTTTTAATTTCATTCAACCAATTCATATGCTTTGGGACCTTTACAAATGAACCTTATGTTACAGTTTTATGCACAAGGGTGTTCTAAAATTATTTGTTATGGAAAACTTAATAACTTGGTAAATATTAATGTTTAAAGAAAGTAAATGTTTAATACAATTTTAAAAAATTATCTTCTATGTGTGTTGATTCATGGTCCTGTTGGTTTATGGCATTAACCCAGCCAGGCAAGATAAAAATAATTGCCATATTTTTATAGTAATAGGCTCAATAACTAATTATATAATAAAAATGTGACCTTTTTTGTTATATTATTAGTATCCATAGCCCAAATTTTGCTTAGTCTGGGGATAGATAACATTTATAAACAATACATAACATTGGTAAAGATGTGCCCTGAAATATTTAATTGTTGGCTAAATTGGGTTTGTTGACTTTGTGTCAGTTGGCAAGGGATTGTTTCTGCCCTGGGGGCTGTGGGTTCAATTCCCAAACGAAAACACCAATTGTCTCTGATCTGGGTGGTGTCCACATGAAATTTATGTATGTAAAACATCCTTACAACACAGGATACTGTTATTGTACAGTAAGGGGACCTTTTTTTCAAAGGGAAAACTACAATAGATTTTTCTAGGGTGCAGTGGTTGTGGTGACTTATTACCCAACCCCTTCCACTTACACAATGTCCATCCTTTTTAGATCTGAACTACATCTAATTTTTTTATACAAAAATTTTCTTTCCTTCTTACACGGTTAATTCCAAAATAAACACTTAAATAAGATAAAAGCCATCAAAATAATAATAATTAAATTCATTAATCAATCCACTGTTGAACATGCTTACCACTTCCACTGCAGAATGGTGAATCTGCAGATCCATCTTCCAAGTCTTGTAAAATTTCTTGTTTACCCACATCAGAGTCTCCTACAAGAAGCACCTTTAAGAGGTAGTCATAAGATTTTGGGGCTGCAGGTGGTCTACCTAAAATATGATAATACGTATAACCTTAAAAATACTTTCTGTTACTGCTATTTATTAAGTTCTGAAATTAAAATTATAAGACACTAGACCCTAGGCATCTTCATACAATGATTTGTTAATGTCAAATAAATCCTTTATATAAATAACATCACTCAATTGTAATATAATAATGTGTAAATAAGTATAATTATCAATTAAAGGTATCTTATATTGAATAATAATATTTTTCATTCTAAGTCTTTTAAGTTCATAGTCAATAGATTTTTTTACATAAATTTTTAAATGAAAGTTCTTTTATGAACAAAATATTTTTAATCTACTTGTCTATTTTTCATCAACATTGGCAGACATAAGCTTTAAAATGGTGTTTGAATCATTAAATTTGATGAAGAATTATGGTAGGTATGGTGTAAAGAAAGAAAGCACATTTGAGAAATTACATATACAGCGTGTCATTACAACCGCAACAATAAATGAACACACATATAGAGGATAACTTTTTTTAATTGTATTAAACATTTATATTCTTTAAACATCAATATTTACCGAGTTATTAAATTTTACAAAACAAACTATTTTAGCACAGCCCTACTTTTTATTTAATTAGTTTGTTTGAAAAACATATTTTTTAATTATGGAATTTTTTTAACATTTATATTTTTTTTATTGGCAAGTAGCTCACAAAATAAACATTTATAAATTCTACAATTATTCATCTTGCCAATAATAAAAAAAATATATAAACGTTAAAAAAAGATGTGTGTTCATTTATTATCGCGGTTGTAATTACATACAGTATACTTTCTTTGACTGATAAATAATTGTAGAATTTATATATGTTTATTTTGTAAACAAGTCTCAAGTATACTACAATTATGTAAAGTGCAGTTCATTTAATTATAAAAAGCTTTTGTTTAACCCTTTTTGTAACAAAAATAAATTAAAAAGAAACTATTTTTTTAAATTATTTTATGTATTATTTTTTTAAATTATTATTTTGAAAATGTCTGTAAACATTATTTCCATAAATGCACCCTCCAGATTTAAAGACTATTTTGTGGTCATAATTGTTATTTCCATCTTTAATAAAATTAATAATCAAATGAATCTCAAAGAGAACTAAGACAGTAATAAGCTAAATAATCAGATTTGCTCTACTTATTTGACAGAATGTACATATTATGTGTAACAGTTTTCATAAAAAGTGGTATTCAGCAACAAAAACAGTACCTGTTCTTTGATGATGAGATCTCGGTAATGTGGTGCTCCCGTTTTGAGCAACCTGACTAGTCGCTTGCTGTGGTGCTGCTACCATTCCCGTCGTGGTAAACATAGTTCGATACAATTTCGCCTGATCTCCAGGTGGTCTTTACCACACGCAATCGCATACATAATACCGTCCAAAATTAATCTATTGTCTTTTCCATGCACCAATTGTTCTTCATATCAAGCAATAACGATTATTATGTGACCGCCTTTTACAAATGTTTTGATCAACACTTGTAAAAATATTCTCTCAGAATGTGTACAAAATTATCATATGACGATGTACACAAGGTCGGCAATTATTACCCATTCTACTTTGTTTATAATTACACAGGAAGGTTTAATTGCTTTGACACCAAATTGTTCATTTAGCTACAACCAACAATGAAATTAGTTTTGCTTCGCGACACAAAAACAAGTCAATTTGCACGAAAATATTATCTCGTATGAATGGAACGATGAAATTTTACATTTACCACAGATAGTAACTCAAATGTACTTGTAATTGTACAGACAAAAATCGTGAAAAAAATGGAGGCAATTTCTCGAAACATCGATTCCAATTTCAAGTAGATGGAACCCATTTCTGCTCCCACCCCGGGTTGAGTGCTTGCTTTCTCGAACTCTATATCCACCATTTATACCAAAATCATTATCAATCCTTCATGTCACATTCGGCCATCATTCTCGGTCCGCATATTCCATGGGAAAGTAAGGTGCAATATTCTCGAGTAACTCCCTTTTTTCTCTTTCGGAGGGAAAACTCCTTAATGTGGGGTCCTTTTACTAATATAATTAATTTAGTGTTTGTTGTTATTTTCAATCATTCACTAAAAAATAAAATCTGTTTACTAGTAAACTAAAACTGTGAACTGTAAACCTTCTTCTAGCTCTACTCCTAGGAAAAATGCCTGCTAATAAATTTAATTAATGAAATGTTATTTTTTTTTTATGTGAAAACTTGCCAAACGAGCAGACGGTTCACCAGATGGTAAGTGAATAGCGTCGCCCATGAACATCTGCTACACCCGAGGGTTACAGATGCGTTGACAACCTTTTGAAAATTGGGCTCCGGCTACCTCACTCACCAGACGAAACGCGAAAGTATTTGTCGTACTTCCACTTTACGCTGGTCTTCTGTGAGGTCGTGGTACTTACCCGGACGGGCCTGCGCATTCGTGCAACAGCCGAGGCTGCTGCGTGGCCCTACCACCGTTAAAAATGTTAGTTTATATTGACTTGTTAATTATTTAAACCATAGTAATGAAAGGTAATTAAAACTAAGATATATTTATTTACCTTAACATAATTAGAAACTCGTTTAAACAGTATCTTTGATTACAATACTTATAGGGATTTTTTAAATCTTTTGAAAATTGTATTTATTTTAGGGCCTTATTTTTAAATTGGCAACACTGGCTTGAAATTAATTCTCGTTACTGATCAATAGGTGATAATCAAATGACATTTGAAAAGACATTTGACAGCTGATTATTCAAATTTCAATTTAGTAAACTCCGGACGTAAGTTAAACTAACGACCGGTTTCTGAAACACTGATCATCGTAGAAGTCAACTAACCAGCTGTCTAATGGATTATCAAATGTTATTCGATTTGTCAAAAGGTTTGTTAAATTCTTGGAATTGATTATTAAAAAGATTATTCTGATCAATTCATAGAGTTTTATAATCCTTTTGGCAAATCACATAACATGTAGTAAAAGTTCGAAAAGATTGTCGCCGCTGTGGGAATCGAACCCACGTCTTCGACATTCGGGCCTGACGCTCTAGCCACTAAGCTAAACGGCTGATTGCCACACCGACGAATATATAATGTTTAATCTTAAGTATCTTGTATCTTGTATTAACTAATGTTTTTGCTTTCAGTCCCGAGACTATTAAAGCTTCATCTGACGCAGAACCGATGGGCTAGCCAGAACCCACGGGTTTGGGCCCTCCGCTGTGGGTAGGGCCATGCATGTGCTCATGCGTGCGTTTAACTATGGTGTGTCATCTAAGGGCCATCGAGGTCGCGGTTCGAACCGAAACCCCGATGGCCGTCGACTGTGCAATTAGCTAATCGGTGGCTGGGGGCGGTGAGAACCGCCCCGGAACGCGGGTGTACCTTGTGTACGCGTTGTGTTGGTCTCGCCGTGCTCGGAGGCGAGGGCGAACTAGAGTGTTTGTTGTTGCACTAACTGTGGGTATAGTGTTATCCGGCGGGACCCCCGGCGATGGGTCCGACGTATCTAAGTCCCCTTCCTCGACCGGGTCGATGAGGACGTTTCGCGGGCGACGCTTGTTGACGTTCGCGTTTGTGTCGGGTTGGTAATTTGCTGCGCTTACCACCAGAGGGTTGGGATGATGTTCGGCTCTATCGAAGAACCGTTTGGTCAGGTCTTTAAAATATTCGCGAATCGTCGGGAGTCTGCAATCGCTGTGCAGGTCGACGTTGCGTTGATACCACTGCGCACCGGTTGCGGCGGATGAACTTAGGGGGCGAAGGTCATGCATGCGTAAGACATGATAGGTCGTACGCAGGTCTTATATAATAATAATTTGTGCCTTAAGGGCATTTTACTTTTAGCGTTAGTTAAATTGTGTAGCCGGCCGGAGACGAACGCGGCTCTATTGCGAACGTTACTAATGTGCGTAGTAAATGACATACGCGAGTCGAAAGTGTCTCCTAAGTATTTGACCTTTTTCTCCCAGGGGATCGGTTGGCCATAAAGGGATATTTGCCCCAACTTTCTGCATTGACGAGGGCCATTATAAAGATGTGACGGGTAAGTACTTCGTGTGAAGTGAATCGCCACACTCTTTTCGGGATTTATTTCTATTTTCCGCGAAAACCGCGAGATTGACGTAGGGGTCTTTAGGTATATCGCTCGTGTAGAGCGTAAAGAGCAAAGGTGAGAGGCAGGAGCCTTGTGGTACGCCAGCCGTGAGGCGGCGGCTTGTGGAGAGGGTGCTTTCAACTCGATATCGAAAAGAGCGGTTCGACAGGAAGGCCTGGATGGTGTGTACGAGCCTATCTGGCACTTTGAGTGTGTACAGCTTGTAAAGCAAGCCGTTGTGCCAGACCTTGTCGAATGCTTTTGCGACATCGAAGAAAAGAGCCCCTGTACTAATATGTTTAGGGTGATTTAGGCCTTTTAGGATATGTTCCGTTAGACGGAATAGTTGATCGGGACAGGAATGTCTAACTCGAAAGCCGAATTGTTCCGCCGGCAGAAGGCCGTTGGAAAACACGTGCTCATTGAGCCTGTTTAATAAAAGCCGCTCGTAGAGCTTCCCCAGGCAACTGAGAAGGCTGATGGGACGATAACTAGAGGGCTGGTTGGCTCGTTTATTAGGCTTGCGAATGCCAATAACCCTGGCTTCTTTCCAGTCGTCCGGAAAGGAGCAACTGAAGAGTAAAGTATTGTAAATGGTCGCCAGTAAACAGATAAGCGGCCCAGGGAGAGCTTTAAGAATTTTGTTACTAATATTATCTGGGCCCGGGGCGGATTTGGGTTTTAAGTTTTTAATAATATCTTGAACCTCTTCACTTGGTCACTGAATTCAAAGGATCGCCTTCCGGTGGAAGCGCAGCCCTAATCTCGATTACGCGGTCCACCTCCTTTAGGTGGGCTGTATCGATGTGTTCGCGCGATGGCGTACATTGCTGCTCTAGGTTGTCCGCAAGGCATTCGGCTTTTTCGGAGTCATCTAGGGCTACTGAAGCGCTATTAGGTCTAATTAACGACGGTAGAGATTCGCGGGGGTCTGCTTTCAGACTGCGGACCAACCGCCAGTAGGCGGTGTGCGATGGCTCGATGTCCTCTAGGAGAGTGTTCCACGTTGTATGTCGGTGTTCCGATACACGATCTTTGACTTCTAGCTGAAGGCGTCGAAGTAGTGTTCGGTTCGATTCCAATCGGTATCGGTCGAAAGCGCGTTTGGCTGCATTTTTCTGCATTTTTCTGCCTAATTAGGAGTTTAACAGTTTAACCGTCCGTTCCGAGTCTGCGACTGTGGAAGTGATGGTTTCTCGGAGACTTGCTATCGCTCGATTTGCGTCATCGAACGTAGCTATCGTCTCGGGTAGGTCGACTAAGTCCTGGGGGTCCAAGGCCTTGAGTTTGACCTCAAGACGATGCCAGTCCACTATGGATTTGGTCGGAGGGACCGCGCCGGCGTTCTGGCCCAGTTTACACAGGACGGGCCTGGGATCTGAGTCTAGTTCATGGATTGTCTCTATCGACTCGATGTCGAGCGAGACTTCCTTGAGTAACATGATATCTAGGATACTTGGTGTCGCGTGTTGGTAGTTGTCCACCGTAGGATACCTAGTGGGAGTCGCGGGAGCAATTATGCTAAAGTTTAAATTATCGGATAAGCTAAAGAGATGCTTTCCGTTATTGTTTGGGATACTGTGGATGTCCCATGAGCCGTATTTGCAGTTTAGATCTCCTGCAATTATCACGGAAGGGCCTAAGTTGTGTAGCGTATCTAGGTCGCTTTGTAATAAGGTTTTGTTCCCCGAGAGGTAGGCTGAGACTAGTACAAGCGGCCTATGGCCGGTGAGCGCTAACCCACACGCGGATGCCTCTATATGGCTTAGCTCTGGAATGTCGAGCGGGCTACAGTGCAAGGACCGTTTGTAATAAATTAAGGTGCCTCCCAGACGGTTTGCTAACCGGTCGTCGCGGACTATGTTGTAGTTTGCGATTCTGGGATCGCGAACACTAGGTTTTAAGAAGGTCTCTTGCACTAGAAAAATATCTACATTATAATCGCAAAGGAAATCTGCAATTTCGTCCCTTTGACCCTTAATGCCGTTTGCGTTGAAATACGAAACAACCCGAGCCCGAGGTTTTGTTCTACCTGCGGTTGTACTTCCCATTAAAGTTTTTTATGAGTTCTAACTAACGACGCGGCGGAGCGCGGTTTTATTGCGCGGACTATTAAGTTTATGGTTGGCTTGTAAATGCCCAGAGGGCTTCTACAAGCATTTTATGTTCGCTAATGGCTTTAAATCGCGCGTTGCCAGATAATCTTAAGTGCAAAGAATAGCACTATAAATAATTTAAATTTCTAAAAAATCACATAACATTTGAAAATCCATTTGACAGCTGATTAGTTAGACTTCTATGATAATCAGTGTTTCAGAAACCGTTCATTGTTTATATTGTTTTCTTTTTTCATAGTTAATATTGACATAAGATACAAATTAAATATACAACTGTTTTTAATTGGAACTTTTATGATATATTATTTATGTCAGCTCCGAATTCGAACTGGTACTTGAATCTTCGAATTATATGCTCACATCGTAATCATGAGCGATTTTAACACCAATATCTTGTCCCATAGTTTTCCGTAGACATAAACTCGTACATATCATTGATTCAAGCTGTTTTCATGCCACCACTTAAAGGAACCCATCAAAATGACTCTCGTGAAGACCCTTGGCTCGATTTAATCCTGTCCTGATGATGGAGCTCCATCTTCAGCCGTCCATGGACATACGCATAGGGTTGCAGATGCGTTTTCTCCTTATAATAAAGTGGGCTCCGGCTACCTCACTCAACAGACAAGTAGTACTAGTAAAACGCAGTACTTTACGCCGATCTTCTGTGAGATTCCTATGACCACTCTGTAATGAAACAACTCAACCCCATTGAGTTTCGGCTAGTTTGATTCGTCTTGGCGAGTACTTAATTTTTGGATGGTTACCAGGGTATGATTTGATAATGGAGCTGGAAGATAGTCATATGAACTCAGTAAAGAAACGATGCAACCCTATTGTGTCTCGGCTCGTTTGATTCATCAGGACGAGTTCTGTAGTGCTAGATGGTAACCAGGGTCTAATGACAGAGCTGAAATGTGGCCATGGAACTCAGTCATTAAGGAACACAACTGCGTCGAGTTAGATTCGTCTTAATGGGTGGACCGTTTTTGATGGGTGGTGAGAGGTGGTGGTTTAGGGGACGTGAGTATGCGACCCCATCTTTGGGAAATAAAGTTAGTTCGTTTCGTGTGTTATGAATGTGGATTCTGTCTGTGATTAGATGAATTAGATGGATGAGCGCCGAATATTATGATTGAATGACTGAATAAATACTTTTTTTGTTATTTATGAACATTTTTTAACGTGGGCGATGAAATTTTTAGTTTGTGTACGGCTATTTTAGGAGTTTTCATTTGGGTTGATTATATATTATTATTAACCCGTGTTCCGATAGTCCCGTCTTTGGCTATTTGTCATTGAAGTGGAGCCATGTGGCCATGAGCCGTGTGGAGTAAGGGAATTGAAAATTATTATAACCAATACGACTTCATTAAATCTGGTAACGAAGAAATAAATAAAAAGAAATTTCAAAAATAAGTAAGCCTACCAAAATAGCTACTTAAAAATATTATACAGGGCGGCTTTTCTAAGTGTATCCATTTTTTTATTAAATTCTAGACATAAATAAAGTTATATAAAAATGATAAATATTTAAAATCACTCGTAATTTGTTAATTACTTTCATTTGAACTTATCTCAGAAAGTGCGTGATATATGGGCAACTCATTTATTTTACGCGCGATCATTCATAACTAACACGCACACAAGTTCTTTACAAAAGTATACGACGCATTTATGAATGCCTACCGCATTGTCAACAATTTCTGTTTTTTAGGGAATAGAATAATAACAAATTTTTTGAAAAAAAAAAAAAAAGTTTTTTTTTCAATAAACTATTATACTACCGAGTCTGAACCGTCTGTGTGAATTTGGGCACCTTTATAAAAGCCTGTATACTTTTGATACATTGATAATTCTAATAAGACATAACTTTTTGTATTTATTCCGAGGGCAATGTCTTCTTGGTAGTCAAAGATTTTTTTTTACATTGAAATTTAACTAAATTTTAACCTATTCATGAAAGTGTCGGTTTTGGCTGAACTTGGCGTTTCGCTCGGGCCCTAATTGAATAATTAGTACATAAACATATATGTATTTAAATATTAAAATTAAGTGTTAAAGATATACAACGCACTCGTGTGACAACAGTTCCAAAAAAAAAAAAATCAAATTACATAAAAGTTTTCATTTAATAATATAAAAAAATACAGATTTAATATCTTAAAAATAGATATTCGAATAGAGGAACATTTTAATATAAAAGTATAGTCTCATCTAATTAGTATTCTACGTAACCAGGTAGTGGAAAAGACGCACTGTAGGTTTCAATTTCATCTTTGAGATTGGCAACTTTGTTACTAATCTCAGTATTTTCTTCTATCACTTTGTTAAAGTCAACTAATTTTGGTCCGGAAATTTTTGTGATCTCCTGAGCAAGTTTTAAGGCCTTATCGATAAAGTCAACAACTCTATCAATGTCGGTTTCTTTCATGCCTCGTGTTGTTAACGCGGGTGTACCTGTAAAACATTTTTATATATGTATAATATACATTGTATATAATACCCTAATACATTAGACTACCCATTGTTTTCCCCCTAACACATTAGCAGCGGTTTGCTGTTAATGTATAAGGAATAGGATTTATGAGCGTGCCGTCATCCGTACGTTTGAGGAGCCATAGAATAAAAACGTTTTTATTGTCTCGGCACCATAAGTTAGTGTAGTAGTTAATTTCTGTGCAGTAAATATTACAAAAACGAATTAGTACAAAGTGTAAAAATAAAAAAAGTGTCTGAAATAAGTAACCGATTAATACCCGGAATTTTATTGTTAGTGCATGATAAATTTCAGTTTATAACTATAATTATCACGTAATTTTAATATAATAAATACCAAGAATATAATAATTTATTAAAGGTGTATATATTACTATAGGTAGGTATGCCCACAAAATGCTTACAAAAATTACCAATGTGACAGCACTGTCACAAAACACGACATTCACACGTTTCGTTCGAATGATATTTGTTTATATTTTATGTAAGGTGTCTGCAAGCAAGCTGGCGGTTCACCTTATGTTAAGTGATAACCATCACTCATGGACATTGCAACACCCGTATGTGTTGCCACCTTTTAATAAAGTGGGCCACGGCTACCTCAATCACCAAACGAAACGCAAAAGTATAACACTTCTGCTCCACGCCGGTCTTCTATGAGATTGCGGTAATTCCCCGGGCAACAGTGAATTGTTGCGTAGCCTTACCACGGATATAAAAAGGATACCGTTATTAAAGCAATAAGACAAAAGAGGACAGGCAACTATTTGTTATGTTTCGTGGCTTCAGTCCAGGCGCGTTACCAACATAACATCTGTAGTATAAAATATCATTAATAGAAACGACTGTAAAACAATATTTTTCCGAATATAAGAATAGAGAAGTCTTGCCATTAAATTTCATCTTTTATTAAGCGGCCAGCATCTAGACGTGTATTACTTATTCTGTGGTATCCATAATCGTTTTATTACGTACTAAACCTTCTAGATAGGTTAATGAGGATAATTACCATTCTTAAAAAAAGTAGAGTCATAGAATAACTATAATACGGTGGTTCCAGTTTCCAGTACGTAAGAGAACATTTTATGTTAACCACAAAATTCAAAAATTAAAAAACTATCGGACGAATAACTATTTCTTTTTTATCCGATTATCGCACGAATAGCAACGTCCAATTTTTAAAATTACTATTTGTTAGAATTAATAAAAATATATAATCTATCCGGTTACCGGTACTATTATATTACAAAATTGGTTACATTTTCATCAGCGAGTCGTCGAATAGCATCGATCCAAAACCGAGTTGACTAATTACACTTTACGTCGAGGTCAAAGTTGAGGGCTATCGTGGGGCGTGACTTCTTGCATTCAGTGGTTAATACTATGGTGGACAGTGAGATGGCGTTGGGTGCCCTCTTCGATCCGGTGGTGGAGGATCATAAAGAATTTTCCCCAAAAAGTTTCGCGGATCGTATTGTTTCTCACTCTAACTGGCTCTAGGAACAGATCGCTAGCTCGCTTACTACTCTATTCTGCTCGGTTCGATCACCAAATCGGCCCTTGAGTCGTCGCAAGCTTATCTCTAAACTCAATAGCGAGAGGTTGCCTGCGCTGCTCGAGTGACGCGGGCAACAAAACTCTCCTTACTCATAGTTACTGCCGAATCTATGTTTAACTTTTTAAGTAAAAAAATACAGCACAGACCAACGTTTTGATACGCGACACAAAAACTTAGTTACCGATAAAGTTAAAATTACTTTTATAAGCGACCCGCCCCGGCTTCGCATGGGTGCAATGCTGATATTAAATATATAGTATATTCATGTTTCTCTACAATATTATGCATGTATTGTATATAACCCTTTCTCTCGAATCACTTTATCTAGTAAAAAAAAAATCGCATCAAGATCCGTTGCACAGTTTTAAAGATGTAAGCATATATAGGGACAGACAGACAGCGGGACGACTTTGTTTTATACTATGTAGTGAAGTGACGACTAATTACGACGTACGCCACTAAATCAGTGTTAAAAATTGTCAAAGTTTTACCACTTTCGTGTTCATTAAGAGACGTACAAAAAACAGGAGGCCCATTTTACAGTAATCAGCTATTGTGATTCCATTTGTATATACAGCGTGTCATTACAACCGCGACAATAAATAAACACACGTCTAACGCTAATTACCAATTATCATAAAAAAATATAAAACATTAAAAAAATCCATAATCAAAAATTATTTTTTTCACACAAACTAATTAAATAGAAAAGAAACAAAATTTGTAACATCTTATACAACTACAACTGACTAACAGTATGTTTTTTCTCTTTTAAATTCATTCAACACATTCATATGCTTTGTGACCTTTACAAATGAACTTGACGTTACAGTTTTATATGTTAGGTTGTTCTAAAAATGTTTGGTTTGTAAAATTTAATAACTCGGTAAATATTGATGTTTAAAGAATGTAAATGCTTAATACAATTTTAAAGTTATCCTCTAGATGTGTGTACATTTATTGTCACGGTTGTAACGACATGCTGTATATCTATATCGTCCCTTCTACAAGTAACATAGACGTGTTCGTGAGTTGTAAATCACAAATATGGATTTTAAAACCATATGGATTCCTTACCCCCATAGGACAGGCATTGGCTAGTGTGCGGGGTCAGAAATAAATTTAAATGCAATAAGGCTTCTTCTGAATAAAGTTTATTGTTATTGTTGTTATTTGTATGAGAATAAAAAATAGTAAAAAGGTGATGCTTACCAAGCCGGATACCACTAGGGTTAAGAGCACTTTTGTCACCAGGCACCGTGTTCTTGTTGCAAGCAATACTGCAAAGTTCTAAGATGCGTTCAGCGCGAGCTCCAGTGAGGCCTACGCCTCTCATATCTACTAAGGCCAAATGGACATCTGTGCCACCAGTTGCGATACTGTAGCCACGGGACATTAAACCTTCGCACAAACGTTTGGCGTTCTTTATGACCTGGTGGCGAAATGTTAATTGTTAAACTAAACATTGATGTTAGATCGGACACAAAATTAATAATTCAAAAACTGACGGTAGCCCAGGTTAACTATGACAATCAGACGTCTAACACCTCAGTCTGTCCCGTGACCATGAACGCTGTAAAGGGTTCGAAACGTCGGGAATTAAAATTAAAAATAAACGCGATAAATCCGTAAAATTAGTTTCATTTATAAAACTAAACATTACTAAATAGCTGTAAGATCTGCGGAAACAAAAGTTTTTAAGACGACACTTCAATGAAAACGAATTATTTTTTTTTGCTTGAACATTAATATTTTTTCTCTATTCAATGTCCAACTGTTTCTTAACAAATAGTTCTGTAAGTAGTATGTTCTTAATCAATAACAAAAATATGTATTTAAATTGTTGAAAAATACGAAATAAATTTTAGTCTAATTTAGAATTTTATAAAAATAATCTATTTCTTTCTCAAGTGCTAATTTGTTATTATTACACTTACTTGTTTTTGATATTCAATAAATTCCGGGGATGTGGCTTGTTTCATTGCTGTGGCAATTGCTGCAATGGCATGATTATGTGGTCCACCTTGAAGACCAGGAAATACAGCCTGATTGATTTTGTTTTCAAAGTCATACATAATATTTTCCCCTTTAGCATTTGTTGAGCGCACCCCTTTGCGGAAGAATATCACACCCGCCCGAGGACCCCTAAGCGTCTTGTGTGTTGTGGTTGTAACTATGTCACAATACTCAAACGGACTTGGGATGACTCCTAAAATAAAATAAAAGTTAAGTTTCTTTTCAAATTGAAAGAAAAAAACAATAACATTTTTCCTTAAAAGAGCGTATCAATTTGGCTAGCATCTATTTCATCGAAATGCTGAAAATCGCTTTCGCGAAAAACCGAACGCTTTTGTGGCGCTACTTACACCATGTAATTTATTTGGTGTAAGTAGCGTTGGAGTACGTAAAACTTAACACGTAAAGGCAATAATTTTTATTTTTATTAAATAAAACATTAATTTATTCTAGTATCTGGACTTTTTATTAGAAGTAGTCTATAATAAAGGCTACTTAAAAATATATTTATTATTGTTTTATTATTATAAAGAGAGGCTTTTTAAGTGTATCCATTTTTTTTACTAAATTCTAGATAAATGTTATATAAAAAATGATAAATATTTAAAATCACTCGTAATTAATTAAATACATTTATTTGAACTTATGTCAAAAAGTGCGTATTTTACGCGGGATCATTCATAACTAACACGCACACAACTTCGTTTCAAAAGTATACGACGTATTTAAGAATGACTACCGCATTGTCAACAAGTTCTGTTTTCTAAGGAATGGAATGGCAATTTTTTGAAAAAATAAAGTTTATTTTTATTTCAATAAACGTATAATATTCTACAGAGTCTGAGCTGAACCTCCTGTTTGAATTTGGGCACCTTTAGAAAAGCCACCTTGTATAATGATCCAGATGAAAAATTAACAGATTTAATGAGCAAAATTTTTTTTGTAGATTTTTTGAAAGGTAAGGTAAAGTTCGAAAATATGCAAGTTTCCTCATTTCGGTTTTCTTAACCATTGAGCAAGAGATAAATCAACATTTAAAATTGGAATTAACAATTTGATAGCAGCCAGCACCGAGATTTGAACTCATATATTTCAATGTATATTAAAAAAAAAAGGGCCTGAAGACTCAGCTGTGAGGGTTTTTCATAATATTTTATTTGGAAGGGATTGGGTAGTAAGCCCCAATGACCACTGTGATCTAGAAGATTTTATTATTTTATTATAGTCTTCCCTTTCGACAATATTGTTTCCTGATTGTAAGATAAATATTACATAGACAAACACCCACATTGGAGACTATTATCTGTTGGTCATGCAAATAGTTGTCTTGTTTGGGAATCGAACCCACTGCCCCCGGTACTTGGCCATTCAATTCTCAAAGTATAATATTATATATTAAAGTTTTTAGTTACTATTAGGCCAAAAGTGATATTTCTTACCTGCTGCAACTAGACCTGATACATGCGACATGTCAGCCATTAAATAAGATCCATTTTCATTAGCTATTTCTCGGAATCGCTTATAATCCAAACAACGTGAGTAGCAGCTGATACCAGCAATAATTAGCTTTGGTTTAAATAATCTTGCAGTTTCCGCCAACTTGTCATAGTCTATTAAGCCAGTTTTTGGATCAACCTGAAGAAATTTTGTAATAAACATGAAACATCAATCCAATATGATGCCAAAACATGCATAGTGAATAGAGAACCTGCTTCTTGCACCTGAGGGTGTGGATTCTATCCCATTACTGCAAATATTTTAGTGATGTGTATGGTATATATATTTTTTGAGTGGTTAAGTATATATCTTTTTTTTAATTTACTTTTAAAAGAAATATATGTGTATATAAAAGTGTTAATACAAAATTTTATATAGACTGAATTAATTTCATTTTTTTTAATATGTAATAAATAAAATATATAACCTCAATGTTAATCCTTTATATTATATAGAAACTTTATTTTATTAAAAAAAAACTCTTTCTTCTTAAACTATGTAGACATAAAATTATTGTTAAAATTCAGATTTTTATATTGCATCTGGCAATGTCCATTGTACCACTACTTTTATATAGTATGGGGTCAGAAGTAAGAAGAGAGATCCAATATACAGCGTGTTGTTACAACCGTGACAATAAATGAACACACATATAAAGGATAACTTTTTAAAATGATATTAAACTTTTACATTATTTATCACCGTCTAAATGTTCTGGTAAATAACATGACATAAATAAACTTACTTTGTAAGGCATGCTTTCAAAGAAGATGGATGTGGCTGAAATTTTCTTTGTTGCAGTAAAGAAGCCATGGGTAAGATGACCTCCATCAGGCAGGTCAAGGCCCATTATTCTTCCATGTGGCTCGACCACAGCAGTATAAACAGCAAAATTAGCAGGAGAGCCTAAAAAAAGTTATTTCAAATTTGTCAATGCTTGCTTCATTTCTAATTATTAAGTAAACTGTTTTAAAAAATGTGTCTGTGACATAGTGTATAGATATGTCATACAATTTTATTTTATTTTTATAAGTAGAATAATATAGACAATGTTTAAAGTTGATACTTAATGTTTTTATTATATGATTGTTAACTGTTTGAATAGTGTATCATTGTGAGTTGATCCAATAGAGTAAATATTGTCAGTGAATAATGATAGAATGAGTAAAAGATATAAAGTAAAGTAACAGCCTATACATATCCTAGTGTTGGGCAAATGCCTCCTTTTTACAGAGGGTATTAAGGGCATAGTCCAACATACGACCCACTGTGGATTGGTGGACTACCCATATTTTTTTTTGTTTTTTCAAAAATATGCAGTTTTCCTCACACTGTTTTCCTTGACTGCTGAGCATGTGATAAAATAGCACTTAATATTTACAATTTTAACAAACTCTGGTTGATTTACTCAATAAGAAGCAAGAATATTAAGACAAGCACCTGGACACTAAGCTATCATGACTCTTACTTGAAATGTAGAGTTAGAATTAAATATATCACTTCATATAAATCAATTATTATTATATATTAAAATATGTAGCATTTCTTAATGAATTACAGCTGTGTTGTGTTAACTTCAGTTAAGAATGACAGCTATAGCTAGATGTTAGGCTTTCAAAATATAACATACTGCGTTCTGTAGATTATCAAGTAGTATTTGTACCTGAGTATGGCTGAACGTTTACTCCCCAGTCATCACTACTGACCCTGTATGCTTCTAATGATCTTTTTTGTGCCAATATTTCTATCTCATCAATAAATTCATTACCCCCATAGTATCTGAAATTTGTTCAAATAAAAGTTTATTGATTATGAATATATTAATATTTTATTACACAATTTATGCTTGTACATGCACAATGAATAAAACAAGTTAATGCTCTGACAAATTTTTAAATATGATAATTGATTTTAGTCATGTCACATGTAAAAATGAAATGAATTACTCTTTTGAAATATAAATTAAAACATATAATATGGTTCCACTTACCCGTAATAGTACCTTAGTAATGTTGAACCATTTTTAGGGTCAACAATACTAATTGAAAGAATATATAACAAACCCAAATTAAAATAATGGTAACTAGTATGTGACCAAAATAAAGTATATCATAATTTTATAATAATATTTAAAAAAAAAAATGGAAGTTTTAATTTATTGTACAACTCCCTTATAAAATAAAACTATCTAAATTCTGAGTGTTGATATGAAATTGTATCTGCTTAATAAATAATAATTGTTTAAAAAGATAAAGTTCTGCAACTAAATTAATAGTAATAGTTGTTTAAAAATTACCTTTGATGTGGCATTCCCTCTGAATACTTATTATGTAAACATGAGCTTAAACATTGCAGAACTGGAATAGATGTAAAGTTCTCTGAAGCAATCATTTCCAAACCATGGTGCTGCCTCTGTTTTTCTTTTTTTATAATATTAAATAATTCTGGGTCTGTATCCCACAAATTTCCATTAAGAAGATTGTTCATGACAACAGAAGTACTTAAAAATTTTTTAGGTAATAATATCTGGAATTAGAAAAAAAAAAACTAGAAAGAAATATAGCTGCGTACGCCAGACGTGGTTATGCGGGTATTGACTAAGATAGCAATTATTTAAAAGGTCTTTTAATACATAGATCGTGCACGAATTGACCCCACAATGTTATCTGCTTAACGCAATCAAAAACAAATGTTGATTCGTATTTGTTTCGACAATTCGATAACGTCAGTACTTTATTGCAACATGAAACACGTAATACGTAGAAGTTTCTTACAAAAGGACTACGTTATAAAACAATTGTACGTCTTACAACTTACATTTAAAATATCTTACAACAGAAAAGTTAACCTTTCTTAAAACGATACAAGTAGGTAACGAAACATGTGTTTAGTGTATTGTATACTTGAAGTTGTAAAATAAAAAGACAGACTTACCATAGAGTGTGATTTGCTATGAACAGAACTTATTTTAACTTCTACAGGTGTTAGTAAAATTGGGGGAATTTTAGGGAACAAGTTAATGTAACACTGTTTTAGTATCTTGCCATTCATTTTCGATATTAAATTCCTCCGTATTCCCTCAACACACACTTTAATATGCTAGTTCTTTAAAATAACATGGACAAAATTAATCAATCCTGATAACCCATATTGAACTTTACAATCATGTACCTTGACGTTTATAATACGTCCAAGTACATTACGGGGTTACCAACCTGTCCTTTATGATTTGTTATTAGAATATCGTCGATAAACGAAGTGATTGTAAAAAAAAACACGAAACATCCAATACTATGAATAACTATTAGGTACTTCGTTATTATTAAGCCGATATATTAATAATTTCTTCTCCCTAGGGAAAAGAAAGAGAATAAAAAATGCATGTAACTTTACAACATGAACCATAATCGATAGGGGTTAAATGAATGTTAAATGTCAATATTAATTTTAAGTGTCCAAAATAATTAATATCTTCGAAACTGATTTTTTCCAGTGGGTATCTTTAATTGGCTGATAACACTATAAATTGGTTGTTACCGGTCACATTCGAACTAAGAATAACATCTTATGCTTTTGTATGATTGAACCAACGAACGCTAACAAAGTGCATTGTCTTTGTCTCTCAGAAGTTTTTATATATATATTTTATTTTTATACCTTTGAAGATGCGTTCAAATACTAACAAGCACTAACTTCAAATAAAAACTAGTTCTAACAAACTACTATTCAGACTTTAATTCGGAATACTGTATAATATTGAAAACACAACATCAAGTTGAAAAAAATGTGTCTATATATTGCTTTCAAGTGCTGCATTTTTTTTTAAATGGCAAAATATATACATATAAATTTTTATATTTCTGTGCAAATCAATTACAAACAACTTTTTTTTTTAAACAACTATACAGATTTATTCAAACACTGTGTTGGACGTCTGCATTTTAGATATGCGGCGGAGCAATTCAACATGCTAGCAATAACATTTGTTCGGTTCAATTGAATCTGCCTCACTATTGCGTTTAAATTACAAAATTATGCAAAGTTAACAAAAGTTTGCACTTTATGGTTAGATCTGAAGTTCGTTTACACCTAATATCGCCCACCTTACGCGGGGTATGTCGGCCGATATACTCATGTTATGCTGATTGGTGATATATAAAATTGAAAAGATTAATTTAGTTATGGTTATTGGCTAGCATCGCGGCAAGAATAAGGAATTTTACAGCAATAGCGGATTAGTGCACAGTGGCACGCTTTCATATACGCAACTTCAAGTATTCTTGTATTGTATCACCGGACTCAAAAAAATTAAAATTTTAAAATTTGACCAAAGACGATCGACAGACAAAAATCAGCCTTTAGGCTATCCTATATCTATATCCTATATGTCCTATTATATGAATCTAAACAACTTATGTCGCAACATATCACAGATATTCCCTTACTCCTGTTAGGCACTCGCGTTTATACGTACAAACTTAGTGTTTCTATGCACGACCGTGCACAATGATTTGTAAAACTCAATTGTTTCAATGGAACAAAATCATTAACAATTATCGACTATATGGTATTGACATTGTTAATGCCTTTATATAATCAAAACATTTATCCTTGACCAAGTTATAACAAAACATTAGAAAAAAGAGACACACTTATTTTGGTACGCTACAAAGATATGCGGTGGTTAAAACTAGGTACTAAAGTAGTAGTAAATACCAGAATGGTAATGTGTTGGGAAAAACTAGAAGCGCTTAGGTTAGATACATTTTGGACTTTTTGGGTTGATAATTTTTAAAGACGTTTAGACGTTTAGTTAGAAGGTTTCAATATGCACAAATAGGGCCACGCAGCAGTATTCGCAGTTGCACGAATGGGTTGGCTCGCCCGGGTTAGTACCACGGCCTCACAGAAGGGTGTGAATTGGAAATGTTATAGTTCACCGTTTCGTCTGTTGAGAGAACCGCTTTATTAAGAAGTGTCAACGTATTTCCAACCACACGGGTGTTGCAGATCTCCGTGGATTGTAATTATCACTTAACCTCAGATGAACCGCCAGCTCGTCACTTTCTTACTTAAAAAAAAAGTCAAATTATGAACAATCAGTAGAGAACCTGATCCTACCCGTTAAAGAAATTTTTACCACACCTCTGATGTTATGAGTCCGTGGCCGGTGGCCCACCACCAACACCACCGTTCACGAGTCGGGGACTCATCTCAGCGCAGTTCAAGTCTTTAGACCAGAAATTTTAAGTGAAAATTACAATCAAAAACAATATACAGCGTGTCGTTACGACCGCGACAAAAAATGAACACAATTGCCAATAATCATAAAAAAATATTAACGTTAAAAAAATCTACATTTAAAAAAAATATTTTTCAAACAAACTAATTAAGTAAAAAAGGAACAAAATTTGTAACGTCCTATACAACTACAACTAACTGATTCATACATTCAGAGATTTTTTCATTCGTTGCCACAGAGACTCATTACAAGCTTCTCCTTCTAATATCAACCCATTCATATGATTTTATACGTAAGGGTATTCTAAAATTCTTTGTTTTGAAAAATTTAATAACTCCGTAAATATTGATGTTTAAAGAATGTAAATGTTTAATACAATTTTAAAAAGTTATCCTCTATATGTGTGTTCATTTAGTGTCGCGATTGTAAAGACACGCTGTATAATGCTTTATGTTGTTAAACCATAACCAGTGTAGACAACGTAACATTTATAGAGCCTCTATACCTGTGGTCAGTAGTTTGGTATTTATGATAAAGATTTTATAGAGGGCTATGTATAAATGTATAAACTGTTAGTTACACGAAATTCGTAAAAGAGAATACCAAAACGTATTACTCGTAAGATCACCGCAACTTAAGATCAGTATAAATTCACACGGCACCTGTCTGTTTGTCTGTACGTTGTAATAGTGCTTCGTGGTATTCTACGGAGCTTTCTTCCTACCCCAGATGGGATGATGGCCAAACACCAGTCACAGCCATACTAGTAATATAGCTGCAACTAACTGCATTTTTTTCCTGGACTAAGGCGTGCGAAGGGGCTTATTGGTAAGAAGGATACTACATAGTTTATGTCACAGGCGTAGAGTAGTCAGAGGTATTCTATGTTATATAACGAAGTGCCTTCGTGTCTTTAACTCATCACTATAGATTTAAATATAGATTAATGAAGTAATTAAGCGGAGAGCTACGATCTGGCCTTGTCCTAGGAACATTCAAACCCTTGATAATATATACACACTTATATAATCCAAGATTTAAATATTGCTAGCCTGTTTGAGTATAAATCAAAGTGTAACAAATTAATGCTAATGTAAAAATTTAAAGAGCTCATTTTATTTGATTATTTAATGTAGTCTGGCTCGAGGTCGGTGGTGAAAGAGGAAAGATATCTCACCGAACAAAGTTATGATGTTAGAGTTATGGGGTGTTTAATTACGACAAGCAGAATTAAAAAGTTAAAATTAGTCGTTGCAAGTTGGAACCCGTTTATGGATTGAGAGCATAGTTCACAGTTCATTAATTGTGGATTGGGCGATATCATATCTATATTAATAAGATGATAGATGTCTGCCGTTTTGCGCGCATCACGGAAAAGCTATTGGATATACAGGGAGGCTTTGTTAAGTGTATCCATTTTTTTTTATTAAATTCTAGACATAAATAATGTTACTTATATAAAAAATGATAAATATTTTTTAAAATCACTTGTAATTAATTAAATACATTCATTTGAACTTATCTCAAAAAGTGCGTGATTGGGATATGGGCAACTCATTTATTTAACGCGCGATAATTCATAACTAACACGCACAAGTTCGTTTCACAAGTATACGACGCATTTATGAATGACTACCGCATTGTCAACAAGTTCTGTTTTCTAAGGAACAGAATGGCAATTATTTTGAAAAAAAAAAAAAGTTTGTTTTTATTTCAATAAACGATTATACTACCGAGTCGGAACCATACATACACAGTCACATATCTTCGAAATATATATTTTTTTGTTATTATTTCGAAAATACGCAGGTTTCCTCACGATATTTTCCTTCACCGCGGAGCACGTGATAAGTCAGCACTTAAAGTTAACAACAGCCGGCACCTGGGATCGAACTCAGTTTGCTCAAGTATATTGGATTAAAAGCGAGCGCCCGGACACTGAGCTATCACGGCTCATGACGACAATGCAATTGATAAGTTTAATTAAATAACTCTGATTTAGATGTAAATGTCAAAAAGTCGTATCATTTCGATTTTGGTGTGCTCGCGATCGTTAAAATTCGTCACAATTTTTCCTACTGTGCCAAAAGAAATTTATCTTCAATAATTTGTATTCAAAAACACATGTGCACTGTATCAAAATCATAGAATAAAATCTTTTTAAATATTATTAATTAATTTTGATTAAGTGTTTTACAAATTAACCCGTATTAAAACTATAAAATAATAGTATTATTTCATTTTACGTAAAAATATTATAAGTAATAATTACTAAAAAATAGTCATTAGGTATAAAGTTGCTTACACGTGAAATCTAATTTAGCTCACTGAAAAAATAGTTATTTATGTCTGCTTCATTGCAAACACTTAATGCCAATTGGGTTTCTCTAGCAGTCAAAAAATGTATGAAAATAAATTGTGCTAAGTTCAATAAATAGAAGAAAGGATGAAATGAGTGAAATGTAAACAAATACGTAGGTATATGTTTTAAAATCATAAGACGCAAATTATACGAGATTATATAAAAATAGACTATACCTACATATAAAATATGCCGTATATACACCCTATATACAATTTAAACCTTAATACATATACTATATATTAATTAACACATAATAAAAAAATAAAGTGGCGAGTAAATAAAATTTAAGACAGGATGTGCACTTAAAAACATACCAATTTCAGGATTGTC